CAATTATTGGATACAACCAACTCGTGTCTGAAGTCCTTAAATAATTTAGGCATAAAAATTGAAAACTGGGATGTCATCATCAATTATCTAATTGTCTCTAAACTTGATCAAGAATCACGGAAGCAGTGGGAAGTATATGTAAGCCAATCTGATTCTGATACATTGCCAACTTGGTCAGATCTAACCAAATTTTTAGAAACACGCTTCAGGACATTAGAAATGATTGCTCCACATAAACAAATAATCAAACAAAAATCTTTTCATTCTGCAATTGAAAATGTAGCAACCAATACACGTAATAGTATCTGCACTATGTGTTCCAGACCACACATGTTATATCAGTGCAAACAATTTGGCAACCAGTCTCCTGAAGAAAGGACAGAGTTTGTACAATCAAAGAGACTGTGTTTCAACTGTTTGGCACATAATCATTCTGTTAAGTTTTGCCGTCAATCAACTTGCTGTCGACGTTGCGGCAGACGACATCACTCCTTGTTGCACCTTGAGAGAAAAATAGAATCAACTCCTAACGAAAGCAAGGAGCCAAATGAGCAAGTTACTAATGAAAAGGAAACTAAAATATCAACTCATTTTGCACAAGAAACACAAGGCGAAATATTATTAGCAACAGCTCTAGTGAAGATTAAATCAAGCAATGGATATTGTCAAATTGTACGAGCGCTAATTGATCAAGGTTCCGAGGCATCATTCGTGAACGAAGCTACAGTGCAAGCTTTGGGCCTTAAAAGATCTGCCGTAAACGGTCTTATAAGTGGAGTGGGTGATGGAAAGACTCGCACGAAAAGTATGGTGTCATTCGTACTAGGATCACGCTTTAATTCACTTTCCATACCTGTTAACGCATATGTTTTGAGTACATTGACATCTTTTCTACCTAATAATTCAACTTTGATCACGGACTGGCCAGAACTTGAGAATTTATCACTGGCAGATCCTCAGTTTGGAGTACCTAGCAAAATAGACATTATTTTGGGTGTTGACATACTAACTAAAATAATTTTAAATGGTCTTAAAAAACATCCAGGTGAACGTAGTCTAATTGCACAAAATACGCAATTAGGCTGGATACTATCGGGAAGAATTAATAATATTAATCAATCAAATCCTAGAATTATCAATCTTCATCTACAAGTGAAGGAAGATCAACTCTTAGCCAAGTTCTGGGAAATAGAAAGAGGGCCAGAAAGTATAGAAAGGAAAATTACAAAAGAAGAAAGGTCATGTGAAGACTTTTTTGAAAAAACGACAACCAGAGATCATGACGGACGGTATATGGTAAAACTACCTTTTAAAGAAGAAAATCCACAATGTTTTAAAGGTGAAACTAGAAACATTGCATTACGGAGATTTCAACTATTAGAAAAGAAATTGAAAAGGGATCCAGACTTGTATGAAAAATATGTAAACGTCATCGAAGATTATATTATACAAGGTCATATGGTAGAAATTACTGAACAAAAGAATAGTTCTAAAGCAGTTTATCTCCCCCATCATGCAGTTGTAAGGGAGGATAAAGAGACAACCAAAGTACGATGCGTTTTTGATGCATCCTGCAAGGGAAGCAATAATGTTTCTCTGAATGATTGTTTTTTGATAGGTCCTAAACTACAACAAGACTTGAGGCATATTTTAATGAGGTGGAGAAAACATACTTACTGTATTGTAGCTGACATTGTACAAATGTACCGACAGATTCGTGTGCATAATGATGATACAGACTGTCAAAGAATTTTATGGAGATCAAATTCAAATCAGCCAATAAAATGTTATAAACTAGTAAGACTTACCTTTGGCACTGCTTGCGCACCATACCTTGCTGTAAAATGTCTACAACAATTAGCTATTGATGAGCAGTCTAAGTATCCAATAGCAGCGAAGATAACATTACACGATTTTTATATGGATGATTTACTGTCTGGTAGTGAAACAGAAAAGGAAAGTATTGAAATTTATGAACAATTAAAAGAATTGATGTTGGCTGGAGGATTTCATTTACAAAAATGGTGTACTAATAGTGAGAAATTGCTAAATCATATTAAAACTGACAAACAGAGATCAGATCAGTCAGTAGTATTTAAAGAAAATAACATGATAAAAGTACTAGGGATCTGTTGGAATAAAGATACTGATAATTTTGAATATACACTTGAGTTGCCAGTATCAGAAATGCCGATTACAAAGCGAAAAGTATTATCTGATATAGCCAGATTGTATGATCCCTTGGGATGGATCGCGCCAGTGATTATTACTGCTAAAATATATATTCAACAATTATGGAAATCTGGCTTGGCTTGGGATGATGATCTCTCACCTGAATTGTTGAAAATGTGGCTCGACTTTCGAAGGGATTTAATCAACGTTAAAGCTATAATTATCCCAAGATGGCTGCAAGTAAAAAGAACGGATGAAGTAGAATTACACGCATTCTCAGATGCTTCACAAACAGCATTTGCTGCTGCTATATATATCAAAATTAAAAACGAATCAGGCTATGCTATAGTACATTTGATAACAGCGAAGACAAGAGTTGCGCCCGTAGAGAAGGAAGTATCAATACCAAGACTGGAGTTGTGCGCAGCACTTCTTGCTACGCAATTAATGTTTGAAGTATCACAAGTTATGAGTATTGCAAGTGAAAATTTATACGCTTGGTCGGATTCTACTGTGACTCTAGCGTGGATTCGTGGTGAGCCAAGTCGTTGGACGACGTTTGTGAGCAATAGAGTATCAGAGATATTGACTATGTTAGATCGAGACAAATGGAACTATGTCAATACTAAGCACAACCCTGCTGACTGTGCCTCAAGAGGACTTTCAGCAAAGGAATTAAGCAATCACAAATTATGGTGGTATGGGCCAGATTGGCTAAAGGAGATAAATGAGTATAAAATAAGTAAGCCAGAAGATTTTGTAACTACAGAGGAACAAAGGCCTATTAAAGCTATGACTATTGAAGTGAGAGTAGAGGAAGATTTTTTGTGTACAAGATTTTCAATTTTACAGAAAATGTTGAGAGTATTATCTTATTGCAAAAGAGTATCATTATGGAAAATACCAAAAGAATTAAGGGTAATTCCGGAATGTATAACATCAGAAGAAATGGAAAAGATTTTAGAATTATGTGTAAAGGAAACGCAAAATATATATTTTAAGGACGATATTCAACAGCTAAAATTAAAAGGATCTACATCTAAATCCAGCAAATTGCATACTCTTTGTCCCATTTTTGACGAAAATGGTATTCTTAGAGTCGGTGGTCGCATCATGCATTCTCAAGAAAGTTTTGATAAAAAACATTCTATGATATTGCCCGCTACAAGTCATCTCACAAAACTAATAATTTTGGATGCACATATAAAAACATTGCACGGAGGACCATTATCAATGCTTCATTATTTAAGATCAAAGTTCTGGATATTAAGAGCGAGAGAACACGTTAAGAAGTGCTACAGAAATTGTACTGTATGTATTAGATATTCGCGACAGCAAAGAAATATCTTTATGGGCCAACTCCCGTCAGTAAGACTGAAACCTGAAAGAGCATTTAAATCTACAGGTGTAGATTTTACAGGATATATAAAAATCAGATGTGCCCCAGGTCGCGGTTTAAAGTCATATAAAGGCTATATTTGTATTTTTATTTGTATGGTTACACGCGCAATTCATTTAGAAGCAGTTTCTAATTTATCAGCTGAAGGCTTTATAGCAGCTTTTAGAAGATTTGTATCTAGAAGAGGTTACTGTAAGGATTTATACAGTGACAATGGCACCAACTTTATTGGTGCCGATAAGGAATTAAGAGCAATGTTTAATAAAGCAGTATCAGATTTTCCAAAAGAAGTTTCCTCGTTATTGGCCAATGAAGGGACCACGTGGCACTATATACCACCCCAAGCTCCTAATTTTGGGGGGCTTTGGGAGGCCGGCGTGCGCTCCACAAAGGGGCACCTAAAACGAGTTATAGGAGAGACTACACTGACATACGAGGAGCTATCTACCGTACTTACACAAATAGAGGCATGTCTGAACTCTCGACCACTGTCTCAATTGAGTGATATTCCAGACGATCCTTTACCACTTACTCCCGGTCATTTCCTGGTTGGAGAACCCCTGACCCTTATTCCAGATGAAGATTACTCTAAAAAGCATGTCACGGGCCTTCAACGTTGGAAATTGATTCAAAAAATGTTAAATGATTTTTGGAAGAGATGGTCTGACGAATACCTTGTAACATTAAATAAACGATTTAAGTGGACTATGAAAAGAAGTGAACCGGAGAATGGTGATGTTGTTATAATTAAAGATCAGAATCTACCACCAGCCAAGTGGCTACTTGGTGTAATTGTCGAGAAGCACACAGGGAAAGACAACATTACTCGTGTTGTTACAGTAAAAACAAAAAATGGTTATCTCAAAAGACCGTGCAATAAACTATGTTTCCTGCCTAAATCTGAAATACTCAATGATATGGATATTTAGTTTATTTTTATGTTAGCGTTTATTTTAGTTATTTTATTGCTATGTAAACTTGCATATTTTAGTTAATAGTTTGTTTATATTTGTTTTCTTACTTTGTTACGGTGGGCGGCCATCATATTATTGTATAATTTTAAACTTTGGTTAATTTTCTATTATTATATAAGAACTAGTTCTTGGTGGGCGGAATGTCTAATAGTAATACCCAGATGAAGATGTTAGTTCGTATAAATTAAACTAGATGGCGCCACAGAGAAAATTAGTTCTCGCTACCTTTTCGTTTTTGTTGTTTGCTATATGTCTTTGAAGAAAAACATTAAATTGAGTTTTTTCGACAGTAAGCTTGAGTTTTTATTTGAACCAAATTAGTGCAGTGCTGACAACCGCCATTCATCCAGATGATCAGGATGGTATTGTCATAAAATTAGTTCGTGTTAAGACCCGGTTAACAATATAAATAATGCTAAGAAGTTTATTTCTTAAATATATTACTATTTCCACAGATCGTTAGGAAAACTACGAAATCATATGAAGAATCACGCTGAGAGACAGAAATGTGAATTGTGCGAGAAAACGTTCAGAGACCGCGCCTCACTGCGGACACACCTATTGTGAGTACCTCATTATTAAAAATATTGTGAGTACCTCATTATTAAAAATATTGTGAGTACCTCATTATTTAAAAAAAAATCATAAATCATTTATTCATATACATACACGATTGACGGCCTCGGTGGTCTAGTGGTCTAGCACACCGCTTTACGACCGATGGTCGCGGGTTCGATTCTTCCCACGGCACAAACATTTGTATGCATAAGTATGATTGTTTGTATCGGTCTGGGTATTTTCTATATATATATATATATATTTACGGAAAAAAAATATCTATGTATTTGTATCAGTTATCTAGTACCCATAACACAAGCTTTAGCTAGCTTAACTTGGGTCTAGATGGCGCTGTGTGAATTGTCTGGAGATTATTATTATTATTATTATATAGGACATTTTAGCCGCTTATAAATATCAAATTTTTTTCATTATAATTTTTTCCCTACCGTCCAGTTCAGTATATAGATCTAATTGAGAAAAATTATATAGCAGACCCGGCCACGTGTATCTGTGTCTAAGGTTCTGGAATAAAATAACATTGCGACTATAAATTGAGATGTAAGCTATCCTATCTTTCAAGTTGGATCAAATTGCACACAATGTGCAAATCAAATTTGCAATCGGTTCAGTAGTTTAGGAGTCCATAGCGGATAAACAACGTGACACGTAATTTTTATATATAAAGATTAAGTAAGAATGTATATGTGTATAGTATACATCGCGGTGAGAAGGAATACGCGTGCCCGCAGTGCGGGAAGCTGTTCCTCTTCAAGAAGGCGATGGAAGTACATCTGATCACGCACCAAGCATCCGCCCACCTCTACTGCTATCAGGTCGTTTTTTTATAACTTTAACATAATTTAATATAGACTGCACTGTGTTAGAATTCACATCATTATTGTAGAAAAAATCCGATATTTTAAAAATATATTAAAAGAAGGTAGTTTGTTTTTAGTACTAATGAAGTACTCAATGTAAGGATTATTACGAATATTGTAAATAGCGCCATCTAGTATTTATAGACCGACCTACTACACTGACTTTGGTCTATAAATACGGAGGTCGGTAGTTGAATAATCCTCTTTCGTTGAATAAGTCGCGGCATTCAGTCGACGAGCGCAGAGCGTGCCGGTTGTGTTTTGGATATTATAGTGAATTGTATTAGCAATGGGTTTATCCCGGTCTTAGTTGGGCCTGGGGGGAAGCTGCAAGTAGTGAAGGTGAGTGTCAATGCATTCTAAAAGGGCCTTGTAAACTAAATTTAAATTTCAAAAGAAATTCATTTTTCCCAAAGTAAACTGAAAGCAGCTTTAACACAACTTATAATGGTCATACAGTTCATAAATCAAACAATGGATAGAAAACGGTAGATACTTATAACGACGGGCAAAACGGTCGTAGGACAAAAAGAGACAATAAAATATGTACAAAATTTTATAAGAAAATACTTTTAAAATCGGTAGAAAAACGAGCAGAGTTCGTAACGCAAAGGTTTAATCGTTTGATATGGGTGCAGTGCGACATGAACTTCAAGAACGCGATGTCGTACTACCAGCACGTGCGGTACAGCGCGCGGCACGTGTCGGCGGCTCGGCTGCGGCACGTGTGCGACACGTGCGGCGCCGCCTTCACACGCGCCGCCGCCCTCCGCCTGCACCGCGCCCGGCACGCCCCGCGCCCCCCGCACCGCGCCCCGCGCCCCCCGCACCACGCCTGCGCCGCGCCCGGCTGCCGGCACGTGAGTGAGACACTCCCCGCGCCCCCCGCACCGCGCCCCGCGCCCCCCGCACCACGCCTGCGCCGCGCCCGGCTGCCGGCACGTGAGTGAGACACTCCCCGCGCCCCCCGCACCGCGCCCCGCGCCCCCCGCACCACGCCTGCGCCGCGCCCGGCTGCCGGCACGTGAGTGAGACACTCCCCGCGCCCCCCGCACCGCGCCCCGCGCCCCCCGCACCACGCCTGCGCCGCGCCCGGCTGCCGGCACGTGAGTATAGCAGCCGACACGTGACTGAGACGACCGACAAGGTTGTGCGCTGCCCAACACGTGAGTATGACGGTGAACACGTGCATGTGGCTGCCAATACATGACTACGGCAGCGCACACGTGCATACCGCTGCCGACACGTGCGTATGGCGGCCAACACGTGCGTACGACGACAACCACGTGAGTAAAGCTGTTAACACGTGAGTACTATACGGCGTCCTCAAACATGAACATTAAGTTCTTTATTATTCTAGTAAATAATTAACACTTTTGTTCATGTAGTAATAATAATAATGATTTCAACGATGATGTTGATTATGATAATGTATATCTGTCTGTGTAGACGAGTTCGTCGCGTGCGGCACTGCGTGCACACGTGCGCGCGTGTCACGGCGGGGAACGAACCAGGAACCACGTGTGCCACGCCTGCGGGAAGGCCTACACCGTACGTAACACATTCACTTTCCTGTGTCCAGCCTGCAATCAATCTAAGATTATAAACAGATGTAGTAAGAATAAAGAAAGAAAGAAAGGTCACGGGTAAAGTGATGCCAGCACTGTCATCGTCTCTTTAGATGGTCCTGATTAATAGAAAGGTTCCAATGATCTACAAGTGAAACCATATCCCTTAATTTTGTGCCTGAATTAAAAACTCTAGTAGGGTCCTCTAGGTCCCTAACTACATCCTCCTCAGAGGATGCAGGAAACTAATAATATAATATCTCAGGACAATTCACACAGCGCCATCTAGTCCCAAGCTAAGCAGAGCTTATGTTATGGGTACTAGACAACTGATATAAATATATACATTTTTTTTTTATAAATATTATACATAGAAAACACCCAGACCGATACAAACAATCATATTCATGAATACTAATATTTGTACCGTGCGAGGAATCCAACACACGACTATCGGATAGTAAAGCGGTGTGCTAAACCACTAAACCACCGACGTTGTCAATAATGGACAATATTTGCAGATAAGGTCTTTTATATGAATTAAAAATTACAATAAGATACCAAAGGATATACTGGAATTACCCTTAAATAAATTCAAAACATCTGTTAAATCATATTTACTGAGCAAAGCCTATAACTCACTAAACGGTTACTTGAATGACGAGCGTGCATGGCAATAGTTGTTCATGCACGGGATTTTCATTTAATGTTAGACATAGACACCTATATAAATGTACATTGTAAATAAAGTGGCTTTAAAAAAAAAAATTCAAATGAGTTTCTTGCCAGTTCTTCTCAATTGAATCTATATTGTTAGGGTTCACATGGATATTGTCGAAAAATCTGATATTTAATATTAAAAGAAGGTAGTTTCATTATTACTCGGTATCGTTAACTAGTTGCATATAACCCGCACTCGTATCTTCTCTGTATAAAAGGGAGGGTTTTTGTAGGCCGCGGCATTCGGTCTTTGAGCACAGGATGTGCTGGTTGTATTTTAATTGCTAAAGTGAATTGTGTTAGAGACATAGTTAAATTAATGTTATATAGTTGTTATTTTATTATAATACATACTTTTACTAGTACATAGAGTTGATATATCTAACAATATGTTAAAATATTATAAATATCCCAAATGTCCTACATGAATAAATGATTTTTGGATTTGAAATAGACCAAGAAGACGCTGGAGGGCCATATGAGGAGTCACACGGGCGAGAGACCTTTCCACTGCACGCTCTGTCCATCCACCTTCGGGTACGAGGCAGCCCTCTACAACCACAATAAACTGGTGCATCTGAAGATCAAGGTATGATAACTGTAATGTCTAGAAAATACGAGAGCACAACAATAAACACCTGTAGTTCCAAACTCTCAAGTTTATTTCCAACTACCTACGAATAACTGGTTTACAGATTACCTACATTACAGTAACCAGTAATTTTTTTTGTAAGTGCTTAGCTGCTGCTTGCAGGGACTGGTCTGCTCTAATCACTATGACTGATTTCCTCTTATTAATTGTTTAACCAGTTGGTTATATATTCAATATTTTCTCTATTTGAGTATTTAATTGAATTAGTGCTAATTGGTGGTTTGTATTCACACACTTGAACTTAAAAATGTAAAGTAATAATAAAATTATTTAAAAGAGCAACACGCAAGTTTCTTGCTCGTTCTTCTTGTGATGAGACAGGTTTCCTAATGAGCGGCAGATTAAAAAATATGTGATGCTATTCAAAAGTGCTTAAATTAAGTTTATTTGAATAATGTTGCGGGTAATAATACGATGTTGTTGGTCGAGACGATGTATATTACAGATGATAATAAACTGACAATATGTACATAGAAATAATGATCTTATATACTAAATAACAATAGGAACATGTAAGGTGGGGTGACACAGTTTAGACACAGCAGTGCCTAGTAGACAATATTGAGTTTGTCTTACTAGACATTATTAAATGCAATTATTATTTTGATATATCTAGGTGACAGTGTCCCATAAATAAATTATTCTCTATTCTATTTTAATATTTTTACGGCTCTGGATATTTCCTTTTTTCCTTATTAGTTCAATCAATTCGGTTTCAGTCTAATAGAACCCAGTGATGACAGATTGGGGTTATCTCCCAAAATGAAGGGAGTTTCGTGATCTTGGGAGATTTTTGGGGCGACTTGAAAATATACTATTATAACAAAATGTATTAAAAAGTTGAGTTTCTAGCAAGTTTTTTCTTTGATAAAATATTTAAATTTGTAATATTTTTCATTAGTGTATATTAGACGTAATATGAATATAAAATTGTACTGTATTTAAATATTAATTTCATTAATAATAATAATCTCAGGACAATTCACACAGCGCCATCTAGACCTAAGTTAAGCTAGCTAAAGCTTGTGTTATGGGTACTTGATAACTGATACAAATACTTAATTTTTTTTGTAAATACATACATAGCAAACACCCAGACTGATACAATCATACCTATGAATACAAATGTTTGTTCCGTGCGAGGAATTGAACCCGCGACCATCGGAAGTAAGGTGGTGTGCTGAACAACTAAGGCTGTATATTTATCTGTTACATTTTAAGAACTAGAACTAACTAGAATGTTACAATATCTCAAGCAGGTTATCTATACATATAAATAAAATTGGAGTGTCTGTTTGTAATATTGAAATAACCGTTTTTTACTACATGCATATGAATATAAATACGGTACATAGGTACATCAAAATAACATTTTTTACAATTTTTATCTGTCTCTTTGTTCCGGCTAATCTCTGAAATGGCTGGACCGATTTTGACGGGACTTTTTTTGCCAGGTAGCTGATGTAATAAGGAGTAACTTAGGTTATTTTTATTTTAGATAAATAAAGTTAAAATCCACGCAGACGAAGTCGCGGATACAGCTAGTTAACTATATGTTACAGTATCTCAAGCTGGTTATTTTCACAGAGTGGTCGCGGGCGGTCGGCCACAGTGCCTCAGCCTCCACAGCCGTCACAGCCCGCGGAGCCCCCGGAGCCCCGGCCTCATTCGCCGCCCCCCACCTAGCAAATCCACATCACACCTCTCCGAATAAATTACTATATTTTTATATTAAATACATTATTTTTACATACAACTGATTTTTATTTACAACTAGCTATTCGCCCCGGCTTCGCACGGGTGTACATATATTATATATATAAACCTTCCTCTAGCATCACTATTTATTAAAAAACCGCTTCAAAATCCGTTGCGTAGTTTTAAAGATTTAAGCCTACATAGGGACGGACAGACAGCGACAGCGACTTTGTTTAAACAATGTAGTGATAACATACTAGCTACAACATTTTCGCTAGACGGAATAGTCAGACGCATCCTTTTATGGATGATAGTATAGTGCATGACAGTATACGCTGGCGGGGCACCAGTGGAGGATGATAAGAACATGAGGTCAGGTCAGTTAGCACATCGTGGTAAATTCACCAAGAATTTATAACGATGGTTCCCAAGGTGAAGATCAACCTGACATGGTGCATTGCTAGTAATGGGATTAGTCCACATTATTAACCATTCCCCACATTCGAAGGTATTGTTAACTGTCGATGTAGTAAACATGTCTAGACATGTCCAGATTTAACTACAACGTAGCATAGGTGTATAATAATGTATAATTTTAAGTAGTATAAATAGTTTTAAAATATAAACGTGTTGGCAATTAGCTGTAACTTTATATTGTGTTAATTAAATAATGTTAGCTTCAATACCTAAAGAACACTCGGTTGACTAATTTGTTACTTACATTTCATTCATTAAAAGCCATAGTGAGTCACGTGATGTTGGTGACGTCACGATTATGCCGCCACCAATAGGAATAGAGATAAAGAGGCCGGGACCAAGGAGGGAGCGGGATGCTCTCACTCTGTTCGAGGCGACCGAGACGACCAGACGTGAATGTACAGCGACGCGATTTATGTGGAGTGTAATTTGAAGAAAGGAATAAACTAAATGTACTGCTGCATCGACGTATCATTTCTGAAACTTCCCAATAATAAATAAATGAAATAAATAGGAAGAGTATACGGCCATCTTTCGAATTATTTTTTGGTTTGATATTACCGTGTGGCGAATTAATTATTATCGCGCGGCAACACCGTTGCCTAGTTACGACAGAAGAATGAAATAACAGGCCTGAGATTCGAGACCGAATCACCTTGTATATATGTCTATTGTAAATATTTCTATATTACTAGCTGTCCCGGCAAACGTTGTTTTGACATATAAATTAATAACGCTATAAAAAAATAGGGGTTGATGATAGAAGGGTGAAAATTTAGGATTGTATGTATTTTTGTATCATAAAAAAATAGAAAATAAAAATTTTGTCTAAAAAAAAAAAATTAGGGTGGACTACCCCTAACATTTAGGGGGATAAAAAATTGATGTTGGCCGATTCTCAGACTCACTTAATACGCTCACAAAATTTCATGAGAATCAGTCAAGCTGTTTCGGAGGAGTATGGGAACGAAAACTGTGACACAAGAATTTTATATATAAGATAAATATGTAAATAGTCACGACTGGTTTCTCTTCACCTCCATCTTCCTGGTGCTGCTTCTACATGAACACAAGAACACAATCATAAACAATAGCGGCTCCAACGTAGCCTCTAAAACCGTTTCCTTCACAAAAGTAAGATAGACAATCATAATAATGTTAGCCAGATTAAAAAGCACTTGTCTATTAACGTCAAAGTCGACTAGTAAACCACTAAATCTAAAATAATTGTATTTAAATAAAAAACACATTATTATAAATAAATAAATATTAAATGTACATTATTGTGCTATAAGATATTACAGCAGAAAATAGTAATTTATTTCTAAATATTAATAATTAAAAATAAAAACACTTATTGAATTATATTATCCAAAATATCGCATCTACGATATAGTAATTTCTATTTGAAGCACACCAAGTCATAACGGCTCTAGTGTAGTTAAGTTTCCAAATAATGCCAAATAAGCACGGCTTTTCTAAAAATCTAGCCATACTGGAAAGTGAACAATGAATATATAAATTTATTTCTAACACTGAAGAAACTGTGATTGTTTTTAAGTTTTTGTACTTTATGTTGGGCTAAAAAGGACTTGTATCCAGAGCCGTAAAATAATAATTAATAAAAAAAAACAGTGAAATAACTTCATGGATATAATACTTTGCTCTCTTCACAGTTTAAAAACGTAATATGTCAATTTGACATTTTTGACAGCACAGGACAGAGTAGTTTAATGTTATATATTTTTTCTTATAAGTCCATAGTTTATATAAACATTATTTATTTTGTGTTAACAATTTTGTTTTGATATTTAAAACAATCTTCCATAATTCACTGATCATTAGTTAGAGTTTAAGCATCTATCGTTTAAATAATTATTGGTTATTCAAATTTCGAACCTCAACATAAATATAACCTATAAGATACCTGACAAATTAAAGTCCTCTAAACAAATAACAAAATTTATATAAATGAGTTAATGAATCAATAAAAATGCAATTAATAAACTTAATAAAAGCCCTCCGTATAACTCTGGTACACACAACACGAAGTTACTCACAGGAATACACTCCTAAAGCTTTAAGGAGTTTAAAAGCGAAATCTACAAGAAACAATGTTCAGTTTTATGTTGACGCGTATAGAGTTAGAGCTGTGGCGGGAAATGGCGGAGACGGATGTATATCGTTCCTCAGTGCGTGGTGCAAGGACCACGCGGGCCCTGACGGCGGCGACGGGGGACATGGGGGTCATGTTATATTCCAGGTAATTTTTTTTATTATGCTTGATAATGGAGTGGTGCACCCGCCTGCGCTAACGGTTTAGGCGGGGCACCAGTGGAGGATGATCACGGGTAAACTGAAAAACAGGGAGATATATATATTATTACGCTACGACCTTCTCCAGTGGCGATCAAATTCAGACCGTTATTAAGTTTACACCCATATCGCAACACGTCTCTGAACGAGGCATCATCAGGCATTAAATAGAGTTCCGGTACAGCTTGGAAGCCTTGTGTTGACCCATCGGCGAACAAACCGCGACCGACCGTGTGAACATGTTAATGGTAGCGGAACTAAACAAAATAAATCCATTGAGTAATGAAATGGACTTCCAAATAACACCTAATTTGATTAAATATATATATAATTTTCGTAAATACATACATACATACATATTAAAAGAGCAACACACAAGTTTCTTGCTTATTCTTCTTGTGATAAGACAGCATTCCGATATGAGCGGAAGATTAAAAAAAAAAAAAATTATGACTATTCAAAAGTGCTTCAATGTAAGTTTATTTGAATAAATGATTTTCTATTTCTATTCTATTCTATTCATATAAATATAAAACACCCAGACCGATACAAACAATCATACTCATGAATACAAATGTTTGTGCCGTGTAAGGAATTGAAGCTTTGACCATTACAAGTGAAGCAGTGTCCTGTTTAGATCTACTAGGACATCAAAATTCAATCAAGACCTTAAAATCACATGTAATTAATTCCATCATAATCAAAATATCTTTATTCATGTAGGTCTATTACAGACTCTTATGAATTACAAATTTTATGGCAAATAAAGGTATTTACCTCTCTCAAGGTTTGGATTGAAGGATTTGCCATAAAATAATTCCTGTTAAGACCCGGTTAATAATTTAAATAAAGTAGACTCTTATGATATGTCAAATCTACCGTCAGTTCGGAATGATTTCGAGATGAGAAGAACTGACAAGAAACTCAGCTCATATTCTTGTCAAATAAATGTTGTACATGTTTACAATAATCCAAATTAATTTTTAAATTCAAATACAAACTCAAAATATCTTTATTCATGTAGGTCTATTACAGACTCTTATAATATGTGAAATCTACCGTCTATTCTGCAGGCAACACACTCAGTTAAGAGTCTAAACCACTGCAAGTCGGTGGTGACAGCAAAACATGGTGAAAAGGGGTACAACAAAGACTGCAATGGGAAAAACGCTCAGCATGTACTGGTTCCAGTGCCTCTAGGTAAGAAGAAGAAAGAAAAATATTTTATTCATTCATACATTATAAACAACAAACGAAAAAAGTAAGTATTTCTACCGTGCGAAGAATCGAACCTGCGACCATCGGAAGTGAGGCGGTGTGCTCAACAACTACATCATCAAGGCTGTTAATAAAATGGGGTAATACATCGTCGGCTAAATAGAAAAATGATAGTATTCGAAATGTATATTTTAGTCTTGTCTTGTAGGCAAGCATTCAAAGTTTTAAAAATTTATTTAAATTAGTTTTTTCCCTTTAAAGTTTTAAATTTACACAAAAGTATTGTATATCATTTTAAAAGTATTTAGATAATGATTAAGATGGCGTGGTTAATTTAATTGACTTATAATATAATATAATATCTCAGGACAATTAACACAGCGCCATCTAGTCCCAAGCTAAGCAGAGCTTGTGTTATGGGTACTAGACAACTGATATAAATACATGGATACATTTTTTTTTAATATTATACATAGAAAACAGCTCGACCGATACAAACAATCATACTCATGAATACAAATATTTGTACCGTGCGAGGAATCGAACCCACGACCATCGGATAGTAAAGCGGTGTGCTAAACCACTAGACCACCGAAGCTGTCAAAAATATATAAAAAGAGGCAATTTTAGCGCCTGATTTTGAAAAATGTAATTTTTCTATTTAATCGACATGTTGAATTAACTTATAGGTACCTTGGTAAAGGACGAGCGGGGCCGCGTGGTGGCCGACCTCTGCGTGGAGGGGATGATGTTCGTGGGGGCGAGGGGGGGCGCCGGCGGCAGGGGGAACAAGTTCTTCCTCACCGATACACAACAGGTACCGTTTTATTTTATGAGTACACACAGTCGTCGTACTTACAGCATGTTATCTCCCCTCCAATCGATCCCCCGTCCAATTCAAACGGGGATCTATGTTACGACGGCCTGAGCCGAGGTTCGAACCCCTAGCGGTGCCCTCAAACTGGCGTCGTATCCGTCAGGCGGGAGTTGTCCTTCAGCCGCTCCATAAGTCCTTTGGTTTGTGTCATCTGCACTCGCCCCCTATCGTCCGGTGAAGCTGTAAAGGCCAGCTGCGGCCAACAGCATTAGAGTAGTCAGAAAAAAAAGCATGTTATTTTTATTGATGACTAGCTATATTCGCCACGTCGTCCGCGAGGAATTTAAGTTTATTTTTCTAAAATAAAAGTAGCCTAAGTTACTCCTTATTACATCAGCTACCTGCCAATAAAAGTCCCGTCAAAATCGGTCCAGCCATTTCAGAGATTAGCCGGAACACACAGATAGACAGAAAAAATAGTAAAAAATGTTATTTTGGTATATGTACCGTATTTATATTCATATGCATGTAGTAAAAAGCGGTTATTTCAATATTACAAACAGACACTCCAATTTTATTTATATGTATAGATAATGGAATGATGCACTCACTTGCGTTAACAGTTTTCACTGGCGGGGCACCAGTAGAGGATGATAAGACGAGCATAAGGTCAGGTCAGTTAGCCCATCGTGACAAATTCACCAAGAATTTATCACGATGGTTTCCAGGGAGAACCGCGTGGAGGTCAAATATCTTTTCCCCCCAGTGTACTGTAGTTATTTTCATAGACTAGTATATACATATTTGTATATTTTTTATTATGGGGTAAAGCAGCTCATATACAGAAAGGATCCGAACCTTGGCTCATGCCGTCGTAATTTCCGTCTTCGTTTGAATTGGACAGAAGATCGATTTAAGATGAAAAGGTAATACAAATAGAAATAAATAGAAATAATCTTTATTCAAATAAACTCATTACAAGCACTTTTGAATAGTCATATTCTGATTCTACCACTCATTCGGAATGCAGATTCATCACAAGAAGAATGAGCAAGAAACTTGTGTGTTGCTTTGTTAATAGATGTTTTTTTTATATAAATAAATACAATGTAAATATTGGTAACATAAGATTTTTGCATTATGCAATTACTTCGAAAGATTTGAACTTTATTAAATTGCAGGCGCCAGATATAGCAGAGCTGGGCGCCGCCGGGGAATCGAACACGTACAACCTGGAGGTGCGGTCGATGGCGCACGTGGGGCTGCTGGGGTTCCCCAACGCGGGGAAGAGCTCCCTCCTGCGAGCCCTCACTCGCGCCCGGCCCACCGTCGCGCCCTACCCCTTCACCACGCTCCGACCTCACATCGGTTTATATCTTTATATATAAAAAAAAAATTACATGTCCCGTTGTTTGTCCACGGTGGACTCCGAAACTAGAACCGATTGCAGATTTGATTTGCACGTTTGCTCTCTCTTAGTATACAAACAAACATTTATATGCATTATTAATATATAAAGACTAGTCGTCCCGGCAAACGTTGTTTTGCCATATAAATTAATAACGCTATAAAAGAATAGGGGTTGGTGATAGAAGGGTGACACTTTACCCATAATCTCCATCTCTCCCCAACATCAGTACACTGTCATATTTTGCAGGTATGGTGCCATATGATGACTACGAGCAAGTAGCTATAGCCGACCTGCCGGGTTTGATTCCCGGCTCGCACAAAAACTACGGATTAGGTAATTTACATAAAACATTGTCATACATCACTACGACTGATTTAATCTTATTGCATATTTATATTTGACCCAAAAAATTAGTGCTGGTTGGTAGTTTGTATTCACACGTTTCGACTTGTAAATGTAAATTTAGAAGGATTATTTAAAAGAGCAACACAAGTTTCTTGCTCGTTCTTCTTGTGATGAGACAGCTTTGCGAACGAGCGGTAGATAAAAAACAAATTGTTATGACTATTCAAAAGTGCTTAAATAAAGTTTATTTGAATAAATTATTTTCTATTCTATTCTATTCTATTCATAAGTATACAGATGGTCTGTTCAGGTTGTGAACACTGATTAGATTTTTTTTATTATTTTCATATAGCATATGCTGGTGGTCACTCTATTCTCCCAAATTTGAATTTAAATGAAATAGTATAATTGTAAATACGTACAACATTAAAAAAAAAATACGAGCTGAGTTTCTTGTCAGTTCTTCTCATCTCGAAATCATTCCGAACTGACGGTAGATTTGACATATCATAAGAGTCTGTAATAGACCTACATGAATAAAGATATTTTGAATTTGAATGACGCTTTCACGTCAAAACTGCTGAACCGATTTAATTTAAATTTGGTACACAGATAGTCAAGACTCTGGCTGACATAGGGTACTTTTTAATACGAAAAAAGGGTTGTAAGGGGTGGAAAGGGTAGATAAAACGTATGAAGGGTATCGTCATTTTTAAAGCTAGAAGCTTGAAACTTATCCCTATGGTTTTTGGGTTAGATTATTAATTAATTTATGAGATTCGTGACCGAGTTGCTTGTGGGGACTGGTCTGTTCGGGTTACGAACACTGATTACACTATGCTTTTGACAAAATTGCAATATCATATGCTGGTGGTCACTCTATTCTCACAAATTTGAATTTAAAAATGAATCTGTATTATTGTAAACATGTACAACGTTTGTTTGAAAAGAATACGAGCTGAGTTTCTTGTCAGTTCTTCTCATCTCGATATCATTCCGAAGTGACGGTAGATTTGACATATCATAAGTCTGTAATAGACTTACATGAATGAAGTAGACATGTTCTGGAGTGAAGACCGCGAATTGGCTAACGTAGTGTAGGACGCCCCGCAGCTGGGTGGAGCGACGACATACGTAGAGTTGCGGGTAAAAACTGGAAGATAAGGGCTGAAGATCGTGCCCAGTGGCGTGGCGTGGGAGAGGCCTATGTCCAGCAGTGGACTGCAGTAGGCTGATGATGATGATTAAAGATATTTTGTATTACTAGCTGTACCCGCGACTTCGTCCGTGTATTAGAATGACCAAATAAATAAATATTATTCAAATGTCTAACCCAAAACAGCAAAGGAATAACGTTTTATGGTTCTGGTTTTAAAAATGAATTTCCATAAACATCCCATTTATTTTACTCCCTTAAGAGTAACATTTTTACAAATTTTGAATGTCATAGTTGTTTATATTTAAGTATATTTCTGTATATTCTATAAAAATATAATATTATTTGCACCGCCAACAACTTATCTCTGCACAACTGATGGTTGCCTGGTAGAAAGTGCTATCAGGTGTTAAGTCTGGTATATGTACTCTTTACTTATATATGTCGAGCATTAAATTTATTTATGCTCGTCATATATAAGTAAAGAGTACATATACCATATATATTTACTATGGGGAAAAGCGGCAGATATTAAAAATATATTCATATTACAAAAACGTGCCGTTCGAGCGATCTACTGTATGAAGAGTCGTGACTCATTAAGAGAGAAATTCAAAGAGGCAAATATTCTCACCGTTGCTTCTCAATTTATATATTCAAATATCCTATATGTTCATAAAAATCTTGACTTATTTCCAAAAAACAGCAATATTCATAATATTAATACAAGATTTAAAGACAAACTTGCTGTCCCCAAGTATCGTTTAGAAAAAGTTAATAGGTCTTTTATGGGAATAGGTATAAAAATTTACAATAAGATACCAAAGGATATGTTGGAATTACCCTTAAATAAATTCAAAACATCTGTTAAATCATATTTACTGAGCAAAGCCTATTACTCACTAAACGATTACTTGAATGACGAGTGTGCATGGCAATAGTTGTTCATGCACTGAATTTTCATTTAATGTTAGACATAGACACCTATATAAATATACATTGTAAATAAACTGGCTTTAAAAAAAAAAAGTAATTCAATTGAGCTTCTTGCCAGTTCTTCTCAATTGGATCTATACACCGAACTGGACGGTAGGGAAAAAAATAAAATTAGAATGTAAAAATTTGACGTTCATAAGCGGCTAAAATGTCCTACATGAATAAATGATTTTTGAATTTGAATTTGAATTTAAATAAATTTACCTCTCTCGATTAGTGCAACCTAGTCGAAACATCGAGAGGAAATTATTCGTCTAAAACGAATGTGGAAAATAACTGAAGATATTTCGAATCGCCAGGTATCCAGTTCCTGCAGCACGTGGAGAGGTGCCGTGGCCTGATATACCTGCTCGACGGCACAGACAACCCCCAGATCCAATACAACACGCTGAGAAATGAAATTAAACAATACAACAGCGACCTGATGGGGCGGCCATCTTGTATTGTTGTAAACAAAATAGATGTTAAGGAGGGTAGAGAGAATTTTGAGGGCATGAAGCGGAGGGTTGATGTGATCGGTGTGTCTGCGAAGACGGGGTTGAATTTGGGGGAGTTGTTAAGGGTTGTTAGGGGTATGTATGATAGTGGGGAGGTGACTGATGAAGTGCAATCTTAATTCTTAATCATTACATAGTATAAAACAAAGTCGCTGCCGCTGTCTGTCCCTATGTATGCTTAAATCTGTAAAACTACGCAACAGATTTTGAAGGGGTTTTTTTAATAGTGATACTAATATCACGGTTTATATGTATAATAGATGTACACTGTTAAATATCCCACTTTGAATATTGTCTCATTATTATAGCTGTTTGGGTTTGTTACGTTGCTTTTAAAAAGGTGAAATAACTTTGGCGCCAAAATGTAAAAAAATACATAATAATATAGAGACTATAAGCGAACTATAGAGAAAATATATATATTGTCGTATTTATTACTGAAATACAGTTTTAAAAGTTTTTTTTAAGTGATATAATAGTTGAAAGTACCTACAGTACAAGTATTTAAGGCTTCAAAATAAAGAAGTATATTGATTACAATTTTTCATTGGAATTATAGAAAATTCCCTAATTAAACATACACCCTCGTGAAACCGGGGTGGATGGCTAGTTAACATTATAACTGAAAGTAGGTATGTTTGTTACGCTTTCACGCAAAAACTACTGAACCGATCATCATGAAATTTTGTACACATGTTCTTGGAAGTATTAGAATGAATATAGGATACTTTTATTTAAAAAAACTATAATAATTACGTAGTATAAAATAAAGTCGCTGTCGCTGTCTGTTCGTCCTTCTCTCCGGCTTCGCCCGGGTGTACATGTATTATATAGGTATATAAACCTTCCTCTAGAGTCACTATCCATTAAAGAAAAAACCGCTTCAAAATCCGTTGCGTAGTTTTAAAGATTTAAGCATACATAGGGACGGACAGACAGCGACAGCGACTTTGTTTTATACTATGTAATGATAGTGTTATTTAGCTATATTAGTCATTTATATAATTAGTTATTAATTTGAATGTACATATTTTGTAAATAAAACATAAAATAAAAAACTTATTTTATTCATAAATCTATTTATTCCACTAAAATACAAAATACATTCAAATATCAATAATTATAAAATATTTAATACTGCAAGTGTTAATCACAATTTGTATTATATATCTTAATGGTCTAGTGGTTTCCACACATTAAAATGAGTCTTGGGTTCGAATCCGCTTAATGAAATTACTAGTGAGATGACATCTTAGTCCTTTAGAATGTCGGGTGTCACATGATAACGTGATGTCCGTAGTGCTGTTCATGGCGACGGTTACCACATACCATCAGGCGGGTCGTCAGAACACAGCGCCATCTAGTCCCACGGTAAGCAGAGCTTGTGTTATGGGTACTAGACAACTGATATAAATAAATAAATAACCCTGGACAATTAACACAACGCCATCTAGTGTCAAGGTAAGCAGAGCTTGTTTTCTGGGTACTAGACAACTGATATAAATAAATAAATAAATAACCCTGGACAATTAACACAACGCCATCTAGTGTCAAGGTAAGCAGAGCTTATGTTATGGGTACTAGACATAGCCATGTACCATGTCAGGATGACCTCCACTCGGTTCCTCCTGGAAACCATCGTGATAAATTCCTGGTGAATTTGTCACGATGTGCTAACTGATCTGACCTCATGCTCATCTTATCATCCTCCACTGGTGCCCCGCCAGCGTATACCGTTAGCAGGCGGGTGCACTATTCCATTATCATCTATAAAAAAAACTGCCTTGGTTTTCCTCTCCCCCTCTTTCCTTCTATCTTTACCTCAATAATAACTTTCATATATTCGTGCCGTATGAAGTGTATTAATATTTTTCCTTCATTTTTTTTCATTATCATCATTAGATAACTAGATTAGAATAGAAAATCATTTATTCAAATATTATTTAAGCACTTTTGAATAGTCATAGATTTTTTTAAATGTACCGCTCATTCGGAAAGCTGTCTCATCACAAGAAGAACAAGCAAGAAACTTGCGTGTTGCTCTTTTACATAATCCTTGTAATTTTACATTTCCAATTCGTAACGTGCGAATACAAACCACCAATTTATTCAGCTTCAGATATTAAGTACACAATAGGATTAAATCAGTCGTAGTGATAAGAACAGACCAGTCCCTACAAGCAGCACTCGTTCACGAGTATGACCTATGAGCCAGCCATCACTGCGCTCGACCATATTTTACTAATACATACATAGAAAACATGCAGACTGATACAAACAATCATAATCATGAATACAAATGTTTGTACCGTGCGAGAAATCGAACCCAAGCTGTGGTAAACAACTAGATCACAGGCAGTCAACATCACAAAATAATTTGTGACGTTTGTGATGTCTAATATCACTTCCTAATCTGCACTACAACCGAAACAACTTACAAAGCAAGCTGCTTGGCTGAAATAGGTGAGACTGAGGTACATACGAAGTTTTACAGTCTACTTCTGGTGGGACTTGCAGGTCCCGGCTGCAAGGCTTGCAGATTAGGAACCGGTAGAATGTCATCTCGCTTTATTCGTTTCGACTTCTTAGGCTGCGCTTTCATCTGTGAAATAACATGGTTATTATTGGAATGGGGTTGTTATGTGGACTAGCTCTGGATCTTCACCCGCTCCGGTCAAACATTTATAAAATATATATGTAGAAATTATATATATGACCCGCTGTACACGAGACTTCGTCCACGTGGAAAATTCCACTCGGACAAAGTCGCGGGGACAGCTAATCGTGATTATAATTACATTTAATTTTTACTCTTCATATGTTTACTTCAACTTTATGTAAGAAGCACTAATTATGATCGACGGCTTTGAAGCCGGCTACCGCAAGGGAAACCCCAAGTAGCGCCCGTGACTTGTGACACGGGTGTAGGTTTAAAAGGCCCTTTTAGAATGCATTAACACTCGCCTTCACTACTTGCAGCTTCCCCCCAGGCCCAACTAAGACCGGGACAAACCTATTCCTAATACAATTCACTTTAATATCCAAAACACATCCGGCACGCTCTGCACAGAGGATTATTCAACTACCGACCTCCGTATTTATAGACCAAAGTCAGTGTAGTAGGTTGGTCTATAAATACTAGATGGCGCTATTTACAATATTCGTAATAATCCTTACATTGAGTACTTCATTAGTACTAAAAACAAACTACCTTCTTTTAAAATATCGGATTTTTTCTACAATAATGATGTGAATTCTAACATTTATAAGATTAAAAATATCAGTTGCCAACTATTTTGATTAATTTTTTTAATATTTAACTAAAATTTTAATTATGATATCTTTTACTGTCTTTTTTCTCTACCACTTTCTATTACCAATACAATATCGGGATTAGGAAAAACGATCGGGATCGAGTTCTCTGTGGGTACCTTGTAGTGCACCTCCCTGAGATGCCTGTAGAGGCTGGAGTACCAGCCGAAGGCGGCGCCGCACTGCGGGCACTCGTACGGCGTCTCCGATGTATGCATGGCCACGATGTGATACTTCAACTTAGCCGCGTTCTACCAATACACACATATAATAATAATAAATTCATAGAAAGCAAAGTTCCATATTACAAATACAGCCCTATTAATGTATTAGAAAATCATCATCATCATCATCATTGCAGCCCGGAAGACGTCCACTGCTGGACATAGGCCTCCCCCAATGATCTCCACGACGATCGGTCCTGCGCTGCTCGCATCCAATGCCTTCCAGCGATCTTGACCAGATCGTCGGTCCACCTTGCTGGAGGCCTTCCCACGCTGCATCTTCCGGTTCGCGGTCGCCACTCGAGGACTTTACTGCCCCAACGGCCATCTGTCCTACGAGCTACGTGCCCTGCCCATTGCCACTTCAGAGTCGCAATTCTTCGGGCTATGTCGGTCACTCTGGTTCTTCTGCGGATCTCCTCATTTCTGATTCGATCACGCAGAGTAACTCCGAGCATAGCCCTCTCCATTGCCCTCTGAGTGACTCTGAGCTTTTTGATGGGGCCCATAGTTAGCGACCACTGTTGTTGTGTTTGTCTCTGTTCCGTAAGTCATAGTATTAGAAAATGATCACTGTAAACTGTACTGGGATAGAACAATAATTACTGACAAAACTGTACATCACAATAGACCAGACATAACATTACACGACAAAATCAATAAAAAAGTATATCTTGTAGATATAGCCATCCAAAACACACACAATATAAGAAAAATTTAAGAAAAAGATAAAACTTTTTCTACTAGACAATTCCTAGCATTTATATATTATTATTATTTTTTGAAAGCCTTTGGTCGCTTAGGTAATGGTCTGCGTCAACAGTTATTTGTATTTGAATTGATATTGATATTGATACATTTTGATTTATTTATTTTATTATTTTTTTCTTCTATTATTTTTATTAAGAATTAGTTTAATTTAAATTTTGGTAACATTAAGATTGTTGAGTGAATATGTCGCTGCACGCGATCGCACCACCACTGGGCTGCTACTGAAAATCAGTGTTTTGCTCGCTGAGCAAATTGTTCACTGAGTAGCTCAACCCTTTCGTATCCCTGTGGCACCTCATATATATTTTAATGTTTATTTTATGTTTTTTATTTTATGTGGAAGTTAAAGTATTATGTGTTGTATTTTTTTTTTATAATTATTTACTATTCTTATGTGTTATTTGAATTTTGTTTGTACTATCTTTGTTATCGGGATACGAATAAAGATTTTTATCTATCTATCTATCTATCTATACAGAGCACAGTCAATGAAAAACTAGCAAAGTACACAGATCTAGCAATAGAATTAAAAAAACAATGGAAAGAACACACCATCCACATAGTACCCATAGTTTTGTCATCCACAGGAATTATACCAACAAGTCTGAACAAACATCTAGACACGTTGCATATCCCCTCCTCTACAATAGACCTATTACAAAAAGCCGTCATACTAAACACATGCCGAATAGTCAGAAAATTTCTATCTTCATCACATAACTCATCCATGCTTGGCTAAGGCCCGCGTGTTTGAATATATTACCCCTGTAAAAAGGGAGATATAATAAATATACATATATATATAATAATAATTGTCATTGTTTGGTGACATTTACCCGCAATGACAAGTTTAACACCCCATCAAAGATATATAATATATATTTATAAACAATAATAATAATAATCTCAGGACAATTCACAGCTAACTTAACTTGGGTCTAGCCATCTAGAACCAAGTTAAGCTAGCTAAAACTTGTGTTATTACGAAATTATCCGAAACTCTCTGAATTCGAAATAATTTCATATCCGCATCCCGTATAATAATCATTCCTATATCCGAAACCTATCCGTATCCGATCCGAAATTTCATATCCATAACATCCTTATTTTCAAGTTAACAAACTGATTTTACTTAAATGTCGTTTGGCTAAAGTTAGTAAATCGTTTTATGGCAATTGCATAAGGTTTTACAATAAAATACCAGAGTCTGTTACAAATCTGCCAGAAAAAAGATTTAAATGTCAAATAAAACAGTTCCTTTGCAAAAAAGCTTACTATAAAATTGAAGAATTCGTTAACGATAATGTTTTTATAGAAAAACTTTAAATCCATAGCACTGACAATATTATCTGATTACACTAATAATGAGTGCGTAGCGATTTCTATGTTGATTGTCGCATGCCTCTTACTTGTTACACTGTAATTATTTATACAAAAAAACATCTATTAAAAAGAGCAACACACAAGTTTCTTGCTCGTTCTTCTTGTGATGAGTCTGCGTTCCGAATGAGTGGTAGAATCAAAATATGACTATTCAAAAGTGCTTGTAATGAGTTTATTTGAATAAAGATTATTTCTATTTCTATTTGTTATACTACGTCTACTTCATGTAATATACCATACCTGGTATGCCTTCCCGCACACGTGGCACAGGTTGTCTCGTCCTCGCTCTCGATGCACGTTCTGAACGTGTACGTACAGAGACGTGTGGCACTTGAACGGCTGCAATGATACCAACATTACAACATTTAATCCAATCTTAACACAACATAAAAAAAATGTGCATTTTATACCTTTATCGGACTACTGTAACACTGGCCGCAGCTGGCCTTTACAGCTTCACCGGACGATAGGGGGCGAGTGCAGATGGCACAAACCAAAGGACAAATGGAGCGGCTGAAGGACAACTCCCGCCTGACGGATACGACTACAGTTTGAGGGCACCGCTAGGGGTTCAAATTTCAGCTGAGGTCGTAGTAATTTCAATTCCCGTTTGGCACTCCAAACTAAAGGGATACGAAAGTCTGAGGGCACCGCTAGGGGTTCGAATTTCAGCTGAGGTCGTAGTAATTTCAATTCCCGTTTGGCACTCCAAACTAAAGTGATACGAAAGTCTGAGGGCACCGCTAGGGGTTCGAATTTCGGCTCAGGTCGTATTATTTTCGATCCGTTTCAATTGGATGGGGGATCGATTGGAGAGCGAAGCATTTTCTACCGTATATGAGTGAGTGCAGTCTATTGAGGGATTTCCAAGTGGGTCACAGAAGGTTCTGTCAAGTTGAATTAAGTTTAATGTAGCAGTATGGTTTCACTTACAAAGTCTACTTTGGCTCGTTGGTTAAAGCTTGTCTCGTCTCTTAAAAAGCTCTACCTGCTTTTTAAGCGTTAAGGAACACAAATGATCTTCTATTTAATACATGAACCTTTTTTTTGTAGCATATGAGCTTGTGGCTCACCTGATGGCAAGTGATTACCGGCGCCCTAGAGCACCCAACACCAGGGGAATTGCAAGTACGTTGCCGGCCTTGTAAGAAGGAATACGCTTTCTTGAAGATGTCAATATCGTATCGGTTCGGAAATTTCTGGAAGGTGATTCCGCAATGTGGTTGTGCGTGGCAAAAAGGTTAGGGAAAAATTGGTACCTTGTTGCAGAGTTGGCAGCGGAACTTGACCTTGTGCAGGTGGTCCCAGTCGATGTGGTCCCGGAGTCGAGTCTTGTTCACGAACTTCTTGCCGCAGTCGTCGCACACGAAACTATTAACGTTATAGAATAAAATGAATTTATTTCAACATACACCACAGAACAATTACATCGATATCATCATAATTGTTGGCGCCGTCATCGACATTGTTCCTAATTTATATCGGTACCCCGAGGCCTCTCCTGCGTGCCCTGGTGCCCCGCCTGCGTGCTCCGGTGCCCTGAACCCCGCTTGCATCCCCCGAACCCCGCCTGTGTCTCCCGATGCCCCCCGTTCGCCCTGTCCCCGGTCTCCCCGCCCTGTCCCCGGTGTCCCCCGCCCTGTCCCCGGTGCCCCCCGCCCTGTCCCCGGTGCCCCCGCCCTGTCACGGCAGCCCCTCGCCCTGTCCCCGGTGCCCCCGCCCTGTCCCCGGTGCCCCCCGCCCTGTCCCCGGTGCCCCCAGACCTGTCCCCGGTGCCCCCGCCCTGTCCCCGGTGCCCCCGCCCTGTCCCCGGTGCCCCCGCCCTGTCCCCGGTGCCCCCGCCCTGTCCCCGGTGCCCCCGCCCTGTCCCCGGTGCCCCCGCCCTGTCCCCGGTGCCCCCGCCCTGTCCCCGGTGCCCCGTCGCCCCTCACCCCGGTGTACCTGAACTCCGCCTCCGCGACATGTCTGCGTGAGACCCGCAGATGTTGCCGGTGCGTGGCGACGGACGCGAACCTCTTGTCGCACGTGGCGCAGTACAGCTCCCCGGACTCGCGCGCCTGCACGCACACCACAAACAAAACAAATTCACTTGTTTCTTGCCAATTCTTCTCAATTGAATCTGTACACTGAACCGGACGGTTGAGAACAAATATTTATATATTTATTTATTAACATCACTATTATTACAGGCCTAAGCCCAATACAATAGTGTATCTAATATTATATCTGTATTATACATGTTCGTTAATATAACATATAAGATACAATGTTGTTTTTGTGAATTCACACAGACTACACACAAACCAGTGAGAGTGGCCAGTGCGAGTGTCATGGACGCCTTGTTTAATAAATTAGTTCTGCCGCGAGGTACCGCTACTAACTGGGGCCTTCGTCGCCGCCCCAGGTAATTATCTGGTACCCTAAAACTTATCAAACCAAGAACCAGAGAATTGGTGATTTGTCCCCGAAACACTTTGAATATGTATAAGACAATAAATAGCCAAACCTAAATGAATTAGTGCTGGTTGGTAGTTTGTATTCACACGTTTCGACTTGTAAAATGTGAACCTACAAGGATTGTTTAAAAGAGCAACACACAAGTTTCTTGCTTGTTCTTCTTGTGATGAAACAGCTTTCCGAATGAGCGGTAGATTTAAAAAAATGTTGACTATTCAAAAGTGCTGAAATTAAGTTTATTTGAATAAATGATTTTCTATTCTATTCTATTCTATTCCAATTCCCTGCGTACTCGTAATTCATTTTATCCCACCATGCCCAATATTAATACAAAAACCTGGGGGGAAGGGGATTGTTAGAATAGAATAGAATAGAATTAAATAGAATAGAATAGAAATATCCGAGAGTATTACTAGCTGTACACACGACTATGTCCGCGTGGAATTTAACTTTATCATTCTAAAATAAAAGCAGCCTAAGTTACTCCTTATTACATCAGCTACCTGCCAAAAAAAGTCCCGTCACAATCGGTCCAGCCATTTCAGAGATTAGCAGGAAGATACAGACAGACAGACAAAAATTGCAAAAAATGTTATTTTGGTGTATGTACCGTATTTATATTCATATGCATGTAGTAAAAAACAGTTATTTCAATATTACAAACAGACACAATTTTATTTTTATATGTATAGACGTGACATGTAACGTTGTTTATCCGCTTTGGAACTCCTAAACTACTGAACCGATTGCGAATTTGATTTGGGGTACAAAATAACATTTTTTTAAATTTTTGTATCTGTCTGTTGGTTCCGGCTAATCTCTAAAATGACTAGACCGATTTTGACGGAACTTTTTTTGACAGATAGCTAATGTATTAAGGAGTTACTTAGGCTACTTTTATTTTAGAAAAATAAAGTTAAATTTCAATTAGTTTTTATATATAATGATATACACTATGTTTGTCTGACCTTGTGGCTGCGCATGTGTCGTCCGAGGTTGCTCTTCCACTGGTACACCTTCCCGCACTGCGGACAAGGATACCTGTTCTGTCCTTTGTGTAGTACGCTGCAAACGAACATACATACAGTTTATATAGCTGTTGCTAATAAGGAAATTGCTGATGAGGAGCACGTTGTACTTTGTGCCCGTACTTCATGACGAATCAGCGCCTCACATCTTCGCTGACCCACCACGCTGGTCAACTGCTACCTCGACATCTTATAGTAAGTCATATTCCAAAACGTTTGTATAAGTCGTTGAACTTAGTGAAAAATGTATAGCAATCCTAACTTTGTCTATTATATAATTCAATGATACGGTTTAATGTATGGCAGATACGGATGTAATTAAAAACGTTCTCTTCAACTGTTAACTCGACATCTTAATTACTGTTTCCGCGTCTCAGTATTTGTCACATTTAACTCAATTCGGTACCAACTTCGTCCGACGATAGTTATTGTCATATTTTAGTTTGTAATATTTTATTTTTAATTATAATATATTTCTAAATGTCATACAAATATACATAATTCCTCAATGTCAATTTTCTATATAAACAATTACAAAAAACAATCATTGTAATCCGACGCGGCACATCGAGGCAGCGTACCCAAGATACTGGCAGCGTTGCCTCTTTGAATGGCCATTTTTAATTAAATATATTAAAATAATTTCGGTTTTTTTTAACTCCTGCGGCTGCGACGCACGTAGTTCATATTATTAAATTATAAATATTATAAAATTTTAAAATAACAAAATACATAAAACAAACATACAAACGACACATGCGCAGCCACAAGGTCAGACAAACATCGTGTATATTATTATATATAAAAACTAGCTGTTCCCGCCACTTCGTCTGCGTGGAATTTAACTTTCTTTTTCAGAAAATAAAAGTAGCCTAAGTCACTCCTTATTACATCAGTTACCTGCCAAAAAAAGTCCCGTCAAAATCAATACAGCCATTTCAGAGATTAGCCGGAACAAACAGACAGACAGCTCAGATAAATTAATTACAACCTTTTAGTTTTCTGTTTAAACCACATCATTATTTTACATTACATAGTATAAAAGTCGCTGTCGCTGTCTGTCCGTCCCTATGTATGTTTAAATCTTTAAAACTACGCAACGGATTTTGAAGCGGTTTTTTTTTTTCAATAGATAAAGTGATTCAAGAGGAAGGTTTATATGTATAATACATGTACACCCGTGCGAAGCCGGGGCGAGTTGATAGTTTACAATAAAAAACAATAATTGGTAAAAAAAAACACAGTATTATAATGCACAGACTACCGATGGGTTGATGAGAGATATAAAAACAGAGCTTCTGTGGTGGGAGATAGTTAGGTTGTGATATTTTGTACATTCCAGGCGTTACAACACCCCCCCACTTGCAGTGGCGTAGTTAGGTAACCAAGTACAAGTGTGTTTTTTTTTTTCTCTCCTATTCTAATGCCACCTCCCACCTTTTGTTTTTTCTCCTCTACCCAAAGGTTGCCTGGAAGAGATTGCATAAGCGATAAGGCCGCCTTTTGTACCCTTTTATTTTAATTACTCTATTAATGTAATTTTTCCTGGTGCAATAAAGAGTATATAAATAAATAAATACCCTGGGGCAATACAAAAAATGGGGCCCCACTGTTCAGCAGTGGTGCCCTACATTACAGTTTTATTAAAACGCACATATCGCTATCCGTCAAATTGACAACACTGCCAACCCACAGAAAGAATTTAGGTGAATTCCGAAGGTATAACTTTAGAATTTCTCTCAACTGAGTTGCCATGATTAAAATTGGGTTACATGTCATATTAATTTGAAAATGGGAGAAATTTTCAAAAGTCCAGTTCGATCGAGATTTTCTGGTAACGGCTCGAGGGCCACCTGAGGTTTACAGCCTCGGAGCACTGCCTAGTCCCTAGGTAGCTACGCCATTCCCCACTTATAAAACAGAGTGAACTCACTTGAGGTGGTATCTGTAAGTCTTCCTCGAGCTGAACATTTTCCCGCACTCCACGCACTGCGGCTTCTCGTCCCGACTCACTTCCTTGCTGGGTTTCTTCTCCTTCTCACTTCCTTTTCTCTTAACTTTAACTTTACTCTTATTTATTCTATCAGTCTGAAATCAGAACAAAACAAAGGCGTACTGTACCTCAGATTCAGTTATTTTGTGATCTATTAGTTTGGATCTGGTCGCGGGTTCGATTTCTAGCAAGATACAAACATTTGTGTTCATGAGTATAATAGTTTCTATATATTTACAAGCAGCGCCGTCTTGAACAAGGCTTTTTGGCCCTTTTGGAAAGTAAAAAAAAAGCTCATTAGGTATAAGAACATAGGAATATGCGAAGTAATCGGTATAATGGCGTAGTATATGCCTTGTAAATACCTTCTGATAACATTACTGATTTGTGAAAAAGTGTAGTGTGCCCGACAAAGATCTTTTGAGAATAAATGTGTGAGAAATATTGTCAGTCCTTCGGGGACCCCTGAGAATGGGGCCCTGGGTACGGGCCCCGTGTGCCCTTATGGTAAAGATGGTATTGTTTACAAGAATTATTTTATGAAGTACTAGCTGATCTGCGCAACTTTGTCTGCGTTTTATTTCCCCACCTTTTGCAATATTTTTCATTGTAGCTCCGTTCCTATTGGTCGTAGCGTAATCTTATATAGCTTAAAGCCTTCGACAATTGGACTATCCAACACAAAAAGAATTTTTCAATTCGAACTAGTAGTTCCTGAGATTAGCGCGTTCAAACAAACTATATTAGTATAGATTTATATCAATTGTTTAGTACCCATAACACAAGCTCTGCTTGGCTTGGTACTAGATGGCGCTGTGTGAATTGTCCCGGGTTATTATTATAAAAAAAAAAATTTCGGACTACTCTAATGCTGGCCGTAGCTGTCCTTTACAGCTTCACCGGACGATAGGGGGCGAGTGCAGATGGCACAAACCAAAGGAAGGACTTATGGAGCGGCTGAAGGACAACTCCCGCCTGACGGATACGACGCCAGTCTGAGGGCACCGCTAGGGGTTCGAACCTCGGCTCAGGCTGTCGTAAAAACGGTCCCCGTTTGAATTGGACGGGGGATCAATCGGAGGGGATATAAAATGTATTGTAAAGATATAAAATACGAATTTATACCTGTTTATGTACAGTATCAATATGAGATCTCCATTCTGTTTCTAAATTAAATAACAAATCACATTCTTTGCACTTAAACTCTTCTACCTTCTCTTCTACAAGATCTGTAGATTCTTCTAGATCATTATTATCGTGGATAAAATCCTCTCTATCGCTTATACCATCAGAATTCAATTCCGTTTCTTCAATATTCGCATTCTTCTTTGTTTCAACTTTTAGTTTCTTTTTTTTCTTCGTCTTAATCTTTTTGTTTATTGATTTCTCTTTTAATTTCCTTTTTGATTTTAACTTCAGGTCCTGTCAATACAAATCACATTTATTTAAATATATTTAATACTAGCTGTTCCCGCGAATACGTCCGCGTGGAATTTAACTTATTTTTCTAAAATAAAATAGCCTAAGTTACTCCTTATTACATCAGCTACCTGCCAAAAAACGTCCTGTCAAAATCGGTCCAGCCATTTCAGAGATTAGCCGGAACAAACAGACAGACAGACGATAATTGTAAAAAATGTTATTTTTAAATGTTAGTTAAAAGTATTTATATTCATATGCATGTAGTAAAAAACGGTTATTTCAATATTACAAACAAACAATCCAATTTTATTTATATGTATTTAATATACATACTAGCTCTAAATACTATAAAAGACGTAGTGATGTAAATTGAAACAGTCATGCAATGTCGATATAAAGTTCAAAGTTGTGGCGGCGTGGTGGGCCGGGTCAATGTGCTCCCCTCTAACACGAAAAACGAGGGGGCGGGGGAGGGGCTTGTCAGTAATAGGAACAAGTAATTGCCATTGCCAATCTACTACCATGTTAGGTCGACCTCCACGCATTTCCTCCTGGAAACTTGGAGTTTGTCACGATGTGCTAACTGACCTGACCTCATATTCTTATCATCCTCCACTGGTGTCCCGCCAGAGTATACCGTTAGCGCAGTCAAGTGCACCATTAAATTCAAAAAAATTCAAAATTCAAAAATCATTTATTCATGTAGGACATTTTAGCCGTTTATGAACGTCAAATTTTTACATTATAATTTTATTTTTCCCTACCGTCCAGTTCGGTATATAGATCCAATTGAGAAGAACTGGCAAGAAACTCAATTGAATTACTTTTTTTTTAAAGCCAGTTTATTTACAATTACATTCTCATCTCCAAAAAAAAATTAAAAATACAAGAAAAAACGTGTCGTGCCTCCTGGAAACCATCGTAATAAATTGCTAGTAAATTTGTCACGATGTGCTAACTGACCTGACAACATGTTCTTATCATCCTCCACTGGTGCCCCGCCAGCGTATACTGTCAGCGCAGGTGGGTGCACCATTGCATACCCATCTTCAAAAAAAAATTTAAAAATACAGGCTAAAAGTGTCGTACCGTCGTAGGTAGTAAAAAACTCACTGTTTCTTTTCCAACATCCTCAAATACAACATGGAGGTCATTAACGAAGGTCTCTGGCTCACAGTGTTCTGACTCCACCTTTACATCAATACTCTCCGCATGGAAATATCCATTGGTATCCACAACTGGGTCTTCTTCATTCACATCTATGGTTTGCACGTTGAGGTGATCTGTGACTTCAGTCTTCACTTTGATTGATGGGAAACTGGTGGTTGTGATGTGCTGGATTTGAAGCTGTGATGCCTGCGATACAGTCTCAAGGTTGTTCTGTTGAAATAGATTTACTTTTTACTTTTCCAGTATTTTAAAACTAGATATTATTTCTCTACTAGCTGTCCCGGCAAACGTTGTTTTGCCATATAAATTAATAACACTATAAAAAAATAGGGGTTGGTGATAGAAGGGTGAAAATTTAGGGTTGTATGTATTTTCTAATGACACATAATAAAAATTTTTGCCAAATAAATAAAAAAAAAATATTAGAAGTGGACAACCCTTATCATTTAGGGGTATGAAAAATAGATAGTAACCGATTCTCAGACCTACTGAATATGCATATAAAATTTCATAAAAATCGGTGATGTTTTAGAGGAGTATGGTAACTATCATTGTGACACGAGAATTTTATATGTAAATTCAGGCTACATGGCCCATATTATAAATACCTTACAGACTAACATACATAAGAAATAATAATAAAATGTAAATATATTTATAAACTACTCTTTATAAAATTGCCGGACAATAGTCGACAAAGAGTTGTGAAGTCACAAAATTGGTGTAAAAAACGTTTGAAATCTAGCACTCTTGACTCTTCGCTCATGACTGCTGTTGTTATCAACGGATTCAACAGACGAAAATCGGTGTTGGCAAAGGTTTGTGAAATCTTTTTGGCAAAGGTTTGTGAAATCTTTTTGGCAAAGGTTTGTGAAATCAGTGTTGGCATAGGTTTGTGAAATCTTTTTGGCAAAGGTTTGTGAAATCTTTTTGGCAAAGGTTTTCTCGAGAGACTACAGCATGGGGTTTTTCAAGAAGGGTATATTACGGTTTCTTAAGGGTCGGCAACGCGTACGTGACACCCCTGGTGTTTCAGGCGTCCATAGGCTACGGTAACCGTTTACCATCAGATGGGCCGTATGCTTGTTTGCCAACTAAGTGGTATAAAAAAAATCACAACAATTTTATAAAAAAAGGGATGAAAATGAGCCCCTGCTCAACTCATTCGATGGAGTCAGTTGAACTCAATCTTAAATTTTGTTTCGGTGACCATCTTGGTACAAGCAGCAGTGGTAAAACTTTTGGTGCAGGCACAGTATGATTTTTAGTACTGTAACTACATTTAACTGCCAGACGAGATGAGACGAGACGAGATGAGATCAGTCTCTTTGACAGTGTAGCGTGGTGGTATCCTCATCACTGTAGCGTTATATATGTTGTGATGAGGTGGCGCTACATAATATATTATTTATTGTAGTATACAGGTAAAATGATTGCACTATTTATTGTACATTATTAAGTTTATTGGTAGCGTGCTACATAGCTTATTAATAACGCGTACAGTGGACGCGGAGTCGGGACGTAGAATGATTTTACACTTAACTTAAATCTATGTTAGTGGAGACGTAAACTAATGGAAGGGTTACAAGTGTCGACAGAAATATTACAAGTGTAGGCATGGCTTATTAATAACGCGTACAGTCGACGCGGAGTCGGGACGTAAACTGATTTTACACTTAACTTAAATCTATGTTAGTGGAGACGTAAACTAATGGAAGGGTGTCAAGTGTCGACAGAAATATTAAAAGTGTAGGCACAGCGCAATTAATCCCCATATGTCTAAATCTATGTACACTTGTGGAATGAAGATGTTTTGATGTTTTCTGAAGGTTTTCTGCAACATAACAAACATTGCAGAAAACCTTCAGAAAAAAAGTCCTGCTAAAGTTTTCTCTAGAGACTACAGCTTGTGTTTTAAAAGAGGCCGTTCAAGTATTATGTAAGCAGATTTATTCAAATTATTTACCCTCCATCCCCCTTGTCAAGAAAAGTAAGCAAAGCTCTTACCCCTTCCCCCCATGCTTACGTAAACATTTTTTAATTAATGTATTGTTTTTTAGCAAATCATTAGTAAATAACTGCCGATGATGTAATCATCATCTAGACTCCCCTATCCCCCATGTCATCGAAAATAAGCAAAGCAAAGACCCCCACCCCCCTATAGTTCTTACGTAATACTTGAACGGCCCCAAAGAAAAAAAATACTTACGTCCTGGATGTGAAGGAGTGACGTGTGTGAGCGCTTGACCAGATCCTTGAAGCGTTGCCAGCGCTGCAGTGTAGCACGGCACTCCCAGCACACTCGCACACACATCTGGGATGTGTTATATACCTAATTCAATTCAAAATATCTTTATTCTTGTAGGTCTATTACAGACTCTTATGATATGTCAAATCTACCGTCTGATCAGAATGATTTCGAGGTGAGAAGAACTGACAAGAAACTCAGCTCGTATTGTTTAATGTTTGTCATTTAAGTGATCTAACTTTATACGGATCCTATCAACCTCCAGGTGCTCCGCCAGTGTACACCGTTAGCATAGGTGGGTGTACCACACAATATAATATACTAGCTGATCCCCCCAACTTCATCATTATATTTCACCCAACTTGCATAATATCTTTTTAAATTATAGCATATAATAATAATAATAATAAATCCATTATTATTATTATATCAATATTATTATTATTATAGCATATGTGTTATTCTGATGTATAAGCTGTATTACTGTAAAGTTTCATGAAAATATGTTCCGTACTCTTTGTGTGAAAGAGTAACAAACATTGTTCTATACTCACAACCTTTCACGATTATTACATTTGGAAGATTTACAAAAACCATCACATGTAGCTATTCTTGAAGACTGCTGTTATGCCTCCAGAGGCAGAGCAGTGTGATCTACCCCCTACCCTATGAAGTCCAGACTTCATAGGGTGGAGAGATCACACTGCAGCAGCATCACACTGCTAATTTCACGCGGCCACAATACACGCGAATATCTTAAATTTCCGTTATTAATCATCAAAAGATCAGATACTCGGGATCAGGAACCCGGTACTATAAAATGTGTTACTTATACTACCGAGTGAAATTTCATAAAACCAGTTTCAATTTATTAACTAAAGTTGTGTGTATTGCTTCTAAACATACTAGAATCACTATAGTTCTTTATAAAAGCAATATAAATTGTTACTTACGGATATTTCATTCAAAATTTGTGAATACAAATCATAGAAACCCGTTTGCACGATGTAATACAATTTCCGTCCGGTGCACAGGCACGCGGTGCATAATTGTTCCATTTCTGGAAATTATACCGTAGTATACAATTATAAAAAAAATTGGAACAGTATTTATTTAACATTTGTGATTAAAATTACGAATTTAATTGCAATGTTTTTTTACAAACAAATCAGTAACAAAAACAGCGTCGCTATTCGTATGTAACTGACGTTGACATTCTTACTGATACCTGACAAATGGAATGACTGATGTATGAATGACATTTAAGATTCAGCAGTAGATGGAGAATTACTAGCGACCAAAGAACGAGAGTATCAGTGCGTAGACGAAGAATTACGACAAAAATGAATATTAAAAATAAATTAGTCCCCAAGCAATAGCAATGACTGGAAATATGTGTTAACAAAAAAAATATACACTTTCATTGCATTTCTGTTAGTTTCTTAAGTAGCCCGCCGTAAGAGGCTTAAATCCAGCAATATGGGCATTGTTGCCGTGGTAATGGGATTCACCCCGAAGCCTCAACCTTCACTCCTCTAAGGCTGTGGATGACTAATGCGTGTGGCAATATGAAACGCATATTTCCTATAATTTCTTTTGTCATAATTAATATCTTTTCATGTATTATAATTTAATTTCGTTGATCATTAATCAATTTAAGTATTACAAAAAATGTTTTAGTGATTTAATCGTTTTATTACTTTAGATTAAAAAAAAGAATTGGCACATTCAGCACTTTGCTGCACATTAGTATACTGTAGTTATGTAATTTTATTATGGGGAAAAGCAGCTTATATACAGAAAGGTTCCGAACTTTGGCTCAGACCGTCGTAATTTCCGTCCCCGTTTGAATAGGACAGGAGATCGATTTAAGATGAAAAGGTAATACAAATATTGGTACAGCTCGTCAGAATGTAAATAAATTTAATAGAAAATATTAAGTTATTTCTTTGCTCTTTTGTCTTACTGTTTCTATACGCTATTCACAAGTGTTGGTTGTTCCTCCTTTTTTTTCTTTTGCTTTTTCTTCTTCTTTTTACTTGGATTTTTTTCCTTGTTCATGTCATTATATTTTATTAATCTTTTATACATTTTCAATAACTGTTTCGCGTCCTTCTTCATTTCTCTAGTTACGACGCTCTCTGTTGCTTCCATTTGTGTGTCATTCTGTACGTCTTTGTCAGGTATAGTTTCTTTAACAGGATCTACATATTTGGTAGATCCTTCTAATGTGAGATACTGATCAATTGATCCTTCTTCTAAATTTTTCTTACATTCTACAACTACATCTTGTTTTTGTACATCTACTTCTAGCTCTTTATTTCTCGACTCCTCTAGCTTTATTTTCAATTCTTTGTTCTTCTTTCTCAATGCGTTTAATATATTCGACGTGCTTAATACTTTTTTTACCTTTTTACTCTCCAAATATCTATCTTTCCAAGAAATGTGTTCAACATTTTCATCATTCTTGTTTCCTTCGGTTTTCTCAGCTTCTGCTCTTTCGTGCTCGCGTATTTCTTCATCGGTAATTACCTCTTGTCTTTTTTCTATTTCGTCTATTTTGGCGGATAAGGCTTCTATCTCCTCTGCTGTAGGCTCCTTAGATAAAACGGTTCCTTCTACTTCATAACAAGACGAGTCATCAGATAGTTCCAAGATTTCGTAGACATCATCATCACACCTAGATGTTAGTGTTTTATTATTCAATATTTCATTTTGCTCTATATGGTTTTCATTGATCTTATCTTTGTCTATGATTCTATTATCCACAGACACCGAATTGTCTAAAACATCAGTTTCTGGGCATTCAACGTAAAAATTCTGATCACAGCCTTCACGAAAATCCGCTTTGGACTTTTTTGATTTCTTTTCCTTTTTATTCTTTTTTTCTTTCTTTTTGTTCTTCTTTTTCTTGTGACTGTGATTTGTTTCTTCATCTGATATGCAGACGACTTCGGGTTTTAAATCTACAGCTTCTACTTCGGAACTATCACGATCAGTTAATTCACCATCAGATAAGTTTTTTGTTGATTCCTTTCTAATAATGCTACTGGAAGTTGATGCGGTTTCCTGAACACCTCCTTTGATGGTATCACTTTGGGTGAAATTTTCATCCACATTACCATTTCTATCAACACTCTCAAGGTTGTCTTGTTGAATATTTTTAACATTTTTGTCCGATTCCTCAGGCTTGTCAACTGTAATATTTATATTAGAGACATCTTTGTCATTTTGAGTTGAAAAGGATTCAATATTTTCAATTTCACTTTCATTATTTATTTTTTCTGTTTCATTGGTGAAATCTTTAGTTTGTTTTTCGTTATTATCGCCTTCACATATTTTGGCGTCTAATTGTTCATTGACCCTTAACAATTCTGAATCAATACACAATTCAATCTTTGATTCTGATTGTCTATCAATCTCCGCCATTTCATTCTCAGATGAATTTATTTGAAGATTATTAACATCTTTTGCCTTCTGAATTATGCTTTCATTAGTTGTTACAGAATTATCGATTATTTCCTTTTCATTTGTTTTTGTCGACGTACCAGGTATTTCAACTGTTACTGTATTATTTTCTACCTTCTCTTTTAACGAAGACTTAGTTTTTTGCTTATTATTATCAAATTTCTTATTCACTGCAGTAGTTTTAGAATTACGTTCCTCTTCGGAATCTGAACTACTGCTTTCAGAATCTTCTGTACTCGAACTAGAAACTTTGTCATAATTTTTATGATCCAAATCTTCAAGTAAATCCATTTTTTCACTATCAGATAGTTGCAAAGTTATTTCGTCGTGATCACTTCCGTCCTTTTCACTGCTTTTCTTTTTATTCTTTTTCTTTGGTTTCCTTTTTTGCTTTTCATTAGATTTCAGATCTTTGTCTCCAACGTTAACAGCTCCTTTTAGAGTTTCGGCACGCGTAGTAGATGATGTTCCAATAACATGGCTCGCTTTATCAACTACAACAGCTGTTTCTACACTTGAAGCATTATTTGTATTTATAAGCAAGTGTGAAGGCTCTGGTATAACTTTGCTTCGTTTTAATGTAATTTTTTTCGTTTTCTTCTTTTGTGGAACTGTAATTACAAGATCGTTTACTCGTTTTATGATTTTTTGCGCGTTGTCCGTCCTATCTGGTACTTTGCTAGGCGAGGAAGATTTTTCTGAAAAATAAGTATAAAGGCATATAAATAGTCATGTGATTGATTCTATAGATACATTATACATTGCAATAATAATAATAAAGATGTTTATTTTGGCATCAATGGCCCATTTGTTAGTATATTTTTTTTCTAATCTAATGTTAATAAAGTTCTTAAATATCTAGTATTGCAGTTACAGTCGTTACAAGTACGCTCACACAATGTTGTATCATAGGTAAATCAATTTTTTTCATCAATGTGTTCAGAATGTTTTGGAGCTACAATGCATTATGATGAATAGGGATGCAGTTTTTTTTTCTAATTATGCCATAAAAGTCATCTGTTCGACAATAAAGAGGTTACTTACAGAAAAAAAAGAAAATACTGTTACCATTGTTAATCTGTGGTTTTTCATCTTCGCTGCTGCTGATTTCAACAATTTCAGCAGGCTCCTCTTTGACTTCCACTTCATCGGTTGACGAATCAGAGTTGTTTGTGGCTGCTGGTGCAGGTTCTATGGCTATTTCTAAAATAAATATATGTATAATTAACCTTTTTAACAGCAGCTTTTGCCATGCGTTAGGTTAGACAGTACACTGATACCGATACTGCTAGATTGGTCTATTTTAGTCATTTTCATAGTTTACTCTCTTATGGAATATTATGATGGGGAAAAGCGGCAGATATTAAAAATATATTCATATTACAAAAATGTGCCATTCGAGCGATCTACTGTATGAAGAGTTGTTACTCATTAAGAGAGAAATTCAAAGAGGCAAATATTCTCACTGTTGCTTCTCAATTTATATATTCAAATATCCTATATGTTCATAAAAATCTTGACTTATATTCAAAAAACAGCAATATTCATAATATTAATACTAGATTTAAAGACAAACTTGCTGTTCCCAAGTATCGTTTTGAGAAGTCAATAGGTCTTTTATGGGAATAGGTATAAAAATTTACAATAAGATACTAAAGGATATATTGGAATTACCCTTAAATAAATTCAAAACATCTATTAAATCATATTTACTGAGCAAAGCCTATTACTCACTAAACAATTACTTGAATGACGAGTGTGCATGGCAATAGTTGTTCATGCACGGGATTTTCATTTATTGTTAGACATAGACACCTATATAAATAACTATACATTGTAAATAAACTGACTTTTAAAAAAAAAATTTAATTGAGTTTCTTGCCAGTTCTTCTCAATTGGATCTATATACCGAACTGGACGGTAGGGAAAAAAAATAAAATTATAATGTAAAAATTTGACGTTCATAAGCGGCTAAAATGTCCTACATGAATAAATGATTTTTGAATTTGAAAATTTGCAATTTTTTTTGTTATTTCAATCCTTACTAATATTATAAATGCGAAAGTAACTCTGTCTGTCTGTCTGTCTCGCTTTCACGCCAAAACTACTGAATCGATTTAAATGAAATTTGGTACACATATAGTCTAGGCCCTGAGAAAGGACATAGGCTACTTTTAAATGCGAATAAAGAGTTGTAAGGGGTTGAAAAGGGAGATAAAGGGTTCTATGGAAGTATCGTCATTTTTAAAATTAGAATCTTGAAACTTATAATTAAATATAAATAAATAAGACTAAGTTTGTAAAATTGTTACCCTTAAGGGGGAAAAAATAGGGGATGAAAGTTTGTATAGAATATAATCATTTTCGAAACTATAACGAGGAATCTTTTTTCTTTGCCTTTTTTGATTATTAAATATTTTTTCTAGATTTGATCAAGGTCACTACAACACGCGGTTCGTCCGCGTGTTGCGGGCACAGCTAGTTATGAATATGATTTTTAAAACACTCACTAGCCGCCTGTTCCTGCTGCAACTGTGCACGTATCGCTCTGGCCCTCGCTTGTAACTCCAGTAACTCCAATACAGTTAATCCAGCACGGGAAGCTTTAGATTTCTCTTCATTCTCTTCATCACTATGTTTGCTTTTCTTACTCTTCTTCTTAGATTTAGACTCACGCCGTCGATGTTTATGCTGCGCAGAAAATGTTTAATAATGAATATTATAAATTAAACCTATCTCTAATTAATCACGTGTTTACTATGAGATATCCAAAAAAATACAGAGTAGTTTATATAATAATTACAACAACAGAGTAGATTACTATACTAGACTTAAGTAGTCTGTGTTCATTACACTACAATGAAAAATTGGGATGGATTTTGAAAAAGCATTTGAGTATACCATTCAGACTATTCTAAAACAATAAAATGAATATTAATATCAAGAAATTCAGTGGCCAGTGCCAATGCCAGTTTGTTTAGAGTCATAATTTTATCCATTAAATAAGAAATATTAAATTAGCTTTCTGTTTATATTTTATATCTTGTGTCACACAAGGTTCTATTCTAGGTCCAATGTTAATAAGTTTTTAAATAATACCTTTTTACTCTTTTTACTGCTAGTCTGACTGAGTATATCTTCATCAGATGAGATGCTGTCAAGGGATATTGTTTCCAACTGGTCTGGAGACAGAGAGGGACTCGACGATTCTGTGTCAGACGGGGGCTGGGCACCATCAAGTATTGCACATAGGCGTTTTGAACTTATGCCTAGTAACTGTAAAGATATAATAACATAAATGAGTCCTGTCTGTTTGTTAATTCATCATTATCAGCCTGAAAGATGTCTGCTGCTGAACAAAGTCAAAAATCTCCACGGTAATCTTGAAAACTAAATATTTAATTGGAAAATCTCCAAATTATAAATACTATCTATACAGAAAAACAAGTGGTATTGAGAATTTCATCTTTCAAACTTGCACATGCACTAGAATTATTTTTTATTCTAAATCTATAATAAATAACCCTGGACAATTAACATAGCACCATCTAGTCCTATGGTGAGCAGAGCTTGTGTTATGGGTACTAGACGTCTGATACAAATGCTTAGATACTTTTTTTTGTAAATACATACAGAATATACATAGAATACACCCAGACCTTTCGAGGAGGCCCATGTCACGTCATGACAGACTGTTGACATTCAAACGGGAAAGAAAAAAGAAACAGTGAAGTAATAAATATAAACTAACAGGAACACAGTTACTGCCTAAACACATGTATAAATTTGTAAAGTTAATAGTAATGGTTAAGGCTTTATTATTATTATTATACACCCAGACAATCTAGTCTCCACACAGTCTGGGTGCAAGAGTTTGTGCCGTGAGGAGAATCAAACCCGTGACCATCAGAAGGTGGTATGCTAGGTGCTAGACCACAGGGGTTGTCGAATATATGCAATATTTCAGAAGAAATTCTCGTAAGACATGTATGGGACATAATTACCTAGACATTTCAATGTAACACTAGCAATTGATTATGGCTAGTAAGACAAACAAACAAAAAACAAAAAAAAAAAATTGTCTAAACCAGAGGTTCCCCTTTTTTGTGTAGTAGACCCCTTGCCCCTTTTTTCAGTTTTGGGTAGATGCCCCATTGTTCCTGGATTTGATTTTTTGTAAATTTATAACTATAGTAAAGTTTAGTGTTAAAAACATAAGATGACCGCTGTCATAGACCTTGCAGTTTGTCATAGACCCCTGGGGGTTGATATAGATCACTTTGGGAATCACTAAATAGAATATAAGGTAAGGTGACTGTGTCACCTCACCTTACACTCTATTATTGCTATTTATTATATAAGATCAATATATTTATGCACATATTGTCAGTTTATTATCATCTATAATATATATTGTCTCTACTCACAACATTTTATAACTATTCCGCAACTACAGACAAGACAAGAAAGAAAAGAAAACAAATAATGTATACATAATAAATAGTAAGCCTAAGACCGGAAGACGCAGCATGGGAAGGCCTCCAGCAAGGTGGACCGAAAATCTGATCGAGATCGTTGGAAGGCGATGGATACGAGAAGTGTAGGACCGATCGTCGTGGAGATCTTTGAGGGAGGCCTTTGTGCAGCTGTGGACGTGTTCCAGCCTGAGATAATGATGAGTAAGTCTATTTATTATATATACATTCTTCCCTTACCTCCTCAGTACACAGTTCCTTTATATTATCAGTAGTGAGATGCCGTATGCATTCAGGAGTCATAGATTTCAGATCCTTAGGTTTGATGGAGGAGAAAATTTGGTGCACCAACTCAACCCGATCATGTATGTAATAAGCCAAATCATGCTCCTCTTGATCTCGCGAGGCAGAAGCAGACGGCTCTGGTTTCTCTCTTTTTATTTTATGACTTTTAATTCGCTTCATTTTTATATTTACATCAAGTAAACAGAATTCCAATTCAGAAAAAAATTGTATTAACTATAATACTACCAATTACAGTCTGTACGTGATTGTTTAGGAATTAACGTAACTACTGTGAACGTAATTTGGTAGGTTTATATATGGTCGATGTCAAAAACTGACAATTATGTGGATGCGTTCCTGAACAATAAATTTATTGATATGTAAATAAAAAACATAATAGTACTCAGTTAGAGATATTTTTACATTAGCAGTGTTTAAATGCTATATAAATTTATAAAATAAATTTAATATAATATATATCATAGATTTATAAAATAAATTTAATATAGGACACAAGAAATAGAAAAAGTAAACAAATAATTGATTAAAACCTTATTAGTACCCTTTTGTTTATGTGCCAGTTATATTTCTTTGTAGAAAAAATATTTATTTTAATTGACAGATAATCTGCAAGTCAGTTTAACGTTATGTGAATATAAATTATAAACAGAAAAATATAAAAAAAATATCCTTCGGGCAAAATGCCACTGGAGGAAATGTTCAGCGTTTGTTTAGATAGAGTTATTCAAACTGCGTTTGAATCACTCCTGCTGCATTTTTGTCCAAGGGTATCATTACGTGTGCCAACCGTACAAAATTTTAATAAGAAATACAAGTACTCGTTTAATTTAAATAAACCAATTTTGGGGTCTAAATTTTTCAATGCATATTGGAGGTAATGTGAATGCAGCTTTAACAGAGAAACAAAAAAGTAAATAATAAACATCAACATGACACTAAAGAAATTATATGAAAATGAAAATTATGTGATAGTGAATAAACCATATGATATGTATATTAACACCGACGACGAAAATGAAAAGGTATGCATCTATACTATAATTACTAATAGTCTCAAGTTACTAAGTCTCAAATATCGAAAGTTTTCATATGCATTTGTAGGTTACAGCGTCAACTGTTTTATCTAGACTTTTAATTACTCTGTGCACAACCTAAGAATTGCGTAGATCGAGTATCTCCGTCTATAATTACTTATAGGTCTTGAAGAATACCAAAAAAAAATAATAAAAAGAAATATTGTATTTCAATGTAAATAATAGAAAAATATACAATATAGTGGTTATTTTTCTATTACGCTAGCCGTGGCAGTGCGCAATATTCAAATTTCCTTCTTTTTTAGCATTGGGTAAGTCCACCGTTGGCCATATCCCTCGCTATCTATATGTGTAAAGATATTGTAATTTCATTTATGCATGTCAATTATTTATTATTTTACTACCTTCCAGTTCTGCTATCTATTTCAGTTGTTGGTTAATTTTAATATACTACCTTGCAGAATACAGTAACCTGCCATATAGCTTGTCATGACTCTCATTTGTCCACTTCCACGCATCCTCTGCATTTCGTGCAACGTCTTGATTACGCAACCAGCGGGGTGCTGTGTATAGCTAAGAATAAAGCGGCCGCAGCTACAGCTGGCAAGCTGTTCGAGAAGAGAGAAACCAGGAAGTACTACTTGGCTATTGTTAGAGGGCATGTGAAGTTTGAACTAGCTGACGTTCAATATAATGTTGGTGAGTTGGCGATATTAAAAGTTTTTGAATATTTTCTAGTTGGAAACGTGCGCGGGACACGTCCTTTCGGTTCGCGCGCTGCACTCATAATGCCTCTTTTTGTTCGCGTCACTGGTCATTTGCCGCCATCTTGTGCGCCACTACTCTCAAAAAACTGTGATAACATCTATGCTATTTGTAATCTAATTGAACAAGCGCATGACACGTCCGTTCTGTACGCGGGCTGCGCGTATAATGCCTCTTTTGTACTCGTCACTGGTGATATGCCGCCATATTGTTCCCCACTCTTAAAAAACCGGAAGTCATAACATTATGCTATTTGTTATCTAATTGAAATGGTAAAGAAACTGTCTACCCACTTGATGGTAAGTGGTAACCGTCGCCTATATACATGAACAGCATTACTAAAATTAGTAATTTAATCAGAATCCAGAGCGGAAGCAATTATGACCGTGTATTCCAGCAAATAAATCATTCATTTATTGATTCTGTACAGCTGTGGTTATCACCTCACCACTGTAGCGTTATATATGTTGGGATGATGTGTCGCTACATAATATATTGTTTATTGTAGTATGTAGGTAGTGAGCATACAGGTGTAATAATTGTACATTAGTAAGTTTATTTGGTAGTGTGCTACATGGCTTATTAGTGACGCGTACATTCCACGCGGAGTCGTAACGTGGACTGACTTTATACTTAACTTCAATCTATGTTATCTGTAGAGGTACTTTTTTTATGGATGACAATGGAATGGTGCATTCGCCTGCGCTGACGGTTTACCTTGGCGGAGCACTAATGGAGGATGATAAGATGAGCATGAGGTTAATTTCATTCGGGTTTCTAGAGGGAACCGCATAGAGTACTACCTGACATGGTACATTGCTAGCAATAGGATCATAAATCCACATTACTAACAATCCCCTTTCCTCCTGGAAAGGTACTAATGGAGGGGTGCCAAGTGTTGACAGAAATATTATAAGTGTAGGAACAACTCGACGCGGAGAAACTTCCGGTAATAGCCGGTTTTTAATAATAATAAATTTCAGGCATCGATCCTGCGACGGCAGACTCAAGTCACAAGATGTTAGCGTTAACTGATAACACAATAACATGTGTACAATCGCGTCGCGCGCACACAAGGGTACTTGTGCTAGAGACAGGCTTCTACAACGAGGAACCGGTGTCTGTGGTGTTACTGAAACCGATAACAGGCGAGTAGATTTAATACATGAACCTTTTTTTATAGCATATGGGACAAACGAGCTTGCGGCTCACCTGATGGTAAGTGTAGTAAGTGTAGTACGCAACACCAGGGGCATTGCAAGTGTGTTGTCGGTCATTTGAGAAGGAATGAGTTAATTTCTTGAAGGTTTCAATATCGTATCGGTTCAGGAATACCATTGCTGGAAGGTGATTGCACAATATGGTTGTGCGTAACAAAAGTTTTTAGCAAACCGCGCTGTGGAGGACCGCCATTCATCCAGATGATCAGGATGGTATTTTATTTGATTTATACATCATCATCATCATCCTTACAAATAACAAAATGATCGTTTGATATTGGTATGGATGTTATATTTGAATAAAAAATAAATATCTGTTTATATATCAGTTGTATAATAAATAATAATAATAATAAACTTTATTAAATCACAATCATGTACAGGTATAAATTCATTTTTTATAAACAATATGTTGTACAATATGTTGTATGGGAATTGCCTGGGAACTGAACTAGGCACGAGGCCTGTATCTCAGTAGACCAGTACTCACCCCTCGGTTGTGCGGTTCTACTTAGATTTAATAGTAAATATATATATATGTGTAGTAATGTTGTCAGTGTATGTGTGTATGTGTGTGTGTGTACGTGTGCCTGTTTTTGTTTTGTGCGTGAACCTATAATGATATGTAATAAATTAATCTCCATGTAGCACAAGTTAAGCAAAGCTTGCTCTAACACAAGCTGGCCAATTTCTTATTATAATGGGATCTAGACACGCGGTAGCGTGTCAAGCCGAGTTTCAAGTAAACTGGCCTGCAGCACCGTGTGTATATTTACACGAACCATTTGGAGCCACTTTTGACCCCCTCATAACTCAAAAACTCTTTCACACAAACCTGTCAAATTTGGTTCATATATTGAGACTTGCGAGATAAATATGTGTTCCAAATTTCATAAACATATCTCAAACGGTTATTTAGATATTAATGTCCAACAAATTACAAGAAAATATAGAAAATAACACAAAAAAAAGACAATTATACCCCGTAAATATACGAAAATACAGTAATTTATCAAAAATAATTTGGTATTAATTTAGTTATAAATAAGTACCTCGTATAATTTATGTACAAAAAGTAATGATATCCCATCAAAAACATAAATGTGAAATGATAGCCGAGTTTAATATTGTGATATATACCTTGATTGTTGACTTCTACGACAAAAGAGATGAGATCTTAATGGGTGCCAAGTTTAATGGTCTGTCCTGAAATGTATTTATAACAATATAAAATATCATTTCTTCTTATAACTTAGGATAATATACTGTAGCCTAAGGTCTAACTTGGCTAGTTTTCATATACGAAATATACTGTAGCCTTCGCAAGTTCTAAACATGTTACTTGTCGGTTCCTATTTTAATATTAATAGTAACTAGCAATCGAAAGTAATAATTGGTATATGAGAACTGGCCAAGTTAGACCTTAGGCTACAGTATATTATCCTAAGTTATAAGAAGAAATGATATTTTATATTGTTATAAATACATTTCAGGACAGACCATTGAACTTGGCACCCATTTAGATCTCATCTCTTTTGTCGTAGAAGTCAACAATCAAGGCATATATCACAATATTAAACTCGGCTATCATTTCACATTTATGTTTTTGATGGGATATTATTTATCAGATACTGTCTGACCTGCGCAACTTCGTCTGAATCACACTGACTTGTATATATTTCGCCCAATTTACATAATATATTTTTAATTTATAGTCTATGTGTTATACTGATTTGTAAGCTATATTACTGTAAAGTTTTGTAGTTTTGTTCTGTAGTTCTTCTCTCGAAATCATTCCGAACTGACGGTAGATTTGACATATCACAAGAGTCGGAGATGATGATGATGATGAAGAGTCTGAAGAGAATGAAGAGTCTGTAATAGACCTACATGAATAAAACTATTTTGCGTTTTGATTTTTTTTGAAGTTTCTTTAAAATCCGTTGAATAGTTTTTGCGTGAAAGAGTAACAAACATCCATCCATACTCACAAACTTTCGCGTTTTTAATATTAGTAAAGTAAAGAAACTTGTGCTAAGAATACCACAAGTTTCTCGCTTGTTCTTCTTGTGATGAGACAGCTTTCCGAATGAGCGGTAGATAAAAGAATGATAACTATGACTATTCAAAAGTGAAATGATTTTCTATTCTACACTATTTCTGCAGGTCGCCGTCACCAGCTCCGTGTTCATTGTTCGGCTCTCGGTCACACAATTCTGGGCGACTATACATACAGCAATACCATCGACAGCTCCCCGCACAGAATGTTCTTACACGCAACCAGGTAAGAACTGGTTTTTATAATATACAGCTTGGCTTTTTTTTACATTCTACTTTGTTCTATGTTTAAGATACTAAACCCAAGATTTGGCATGCTTCTTGTTTCTAGTTCTGTGTTTTGATGACATTAAATCCAGGATTAGGCCCGGCATCCTATGCGATTTTTAAATTTACTTCCTACTAGCTGTACTCGCGACTTCGTCCGCGAGGAATTTTACTTTTTTTTCTAAAATAAAGGTAACCTAAGTTACTCCTACTTACATCAGCTACCTGCCAATAAAAGTCCCGACAAAATCGGTCTAGCCATTTCAGAGATTAGCCGGAACAAACAGACAGACAGAGAACAAACAAGAATTCTAAAATGTTATTCTGGTGTATGTACCATATTTATATTCACATGCATGTAGTAAAATTATTTCAATATTAAAAACAGACACTCCAATTTTATTTATATGTACATATAAAACTCCTAAATTTTGTCACTGTTTAATAACAAATGAGGGTATATTTCTCTTAGGACGTGTCTTAGAAAAAAAATATCTAAGCCTTTCTGTCAGTTGTCTAGTATCCATAACATAAGCTCTGCTTAGCTTGGGATTAGATGATACTCTGTGAATTTCCCTGAGATACTATTATTATTATTAATCTGTAAATAATTTTACTCCAGGTTAGTGTTGCCATTGCAACAGGGTCCGTTGGATATCCAGACGTCGGAGCCTTTTTTTCAGGACGAACAATTCACAACAAAATGGAAATCGAACGTTGTGTTCTACAAGTACAGAAATCAAGAGGACTTTCAATCAGTTTGTGATATTATTGATAAGTCTTATGAAATCGGTGTCAAGTATAAAATATTTAACTGTAATTAAATTGTTAACAGCAAATATTTTTATTTTTTTTGATATATTAAAAAAAAGATATGAGAAGATAAGATCATACAGCACCATCCAGTACCAAGATAAGCGGAGCTTTTGTGGGTACTGACCAATTCATACAAATATTTAAATATATAATGAACTGCGAGGTAACAGATTAAGCTGGAATGGGCATGTTATGCGGAGGAACGAGGACCATGTCTTATGGAAAGTGTATAATATGAATGTGGATGGATGTAAAGGGAGGGGACGCCCTAAGAAAAGATGGATGGATTGTGTGAAATATGATATGAATAAAAGAAGAGTATGTTCAGATATGACGACCGATAGAGAGCAGTGGAAGAGAGTGACATACTGCGCCGACCACAAATAATGGGATAAAGACAAGGCAATGACGATGATGATTTAAATATATAATGAACTAGCTGTCCCCGCGATTTAGTCCGCGTGGAATTTAACTTTAAAATTAAGTTATGTTAAGCCTAAGTTACTCTTTATTACATCAGCTACCTGCCAAAAAAAGGCCCGTCAAAATCGGTCCAGCCATTTCAGAGAGTAGCCGGAACAAATAGACGGACAGACAAAAATGTAAAGAATATTATTTTGGTGTATGTATCGTATTTATGTTCATCTACATGTAGTAAAAAACGGTTATTTCAATATTACAAACAGACACTCCAATTTTATTTGTATGTATAGATATAGAAAACACTCAGATCAATACAAGTACATAATTATAATGTATGCATGAGTATGATTCTGTCTGGGTATTCTGGGTATTATAACACAAGCTACTAAACTACTGTCTAAAAAGACGTAAGATGTAATTAGAAATCTGACTCGATTTTTTAATGATTATTCAGTGATAAAAACACCTATAAAAATTTGAGAAGCGAATGTCTAGTTCCGTCATATCACATTCAAATGTCCTAGCTAAAAATGTATTGGGCAGTACAGTAAACCAACCAATATATATAATAATAATAGATATTTAATTATGTTCGTAGATAGGGCATCAATAAAAGAAGAAAGTAAAATGTGTTAATATATTCACAATGAAGTCTTTATAGTCCTTTATTTCCTAATATTTTTGAGATGACATGGAACGTAAAATTCAAATTTATATTTTCCTTATATGAACTAAAGAGTTGAGAGAAGAAAAAAATGGTGAGCGCTGTCTACATTTGACCCCTTATTACCCCACCTGGGGTTTCAGTCGTGAAGGAAAGCTTAATAGTAATGAATTATTAATTAGGTCATTAAGGAGACCTCACTTCCATACATGTAAAATAGTTATTACAGAAGAAATGATGTTTAGTCTGTGCTAAAATGTGACTTTTTTTTTATTCAATTTTTTCCGTCAAAGGGAAAGGCAAAAGGATTCTGCGCATACAGCCAAACAACTGACATATTTATTTGACTTTTTAACTTCAGTAATCTTCAGTATTTTTCAGTACGAAGTTATTGATTTTTGTTCTTTCATTTTTCTTTAATATTCCGTTTCAATTATTACAATGCAACTAAGTTTAATTTAATTTATCAAACAAGGAAGTATAGTGTATTTTATAATTATGTTTTACCTAAACTGCTACCAGTTTTCGTGTTTAATTTTTTAAATGTTTTGTTAATATTGTAATGGCTGCCGAGACCAATACCTTGGTAGGCGGAGATCCTCTTGAAGGCAGTAGCTACAACTTGTCTGTGACTGTTAAATCTGAGATCAAAGACGAGGATGACACCGATGAGGATGGCTTCAACACCATGTATGTAACTTTTCTTTTTGTAATTACTTCAAACCTGCCCCGGCTGGGGGAAAGGGGAGTGTTAGTAATGTGGACTGATGATCTTATTGCTAGCAATGTACCATGTCGGGTTGACCTCCACGCAGTTCCCCTAGTAACCATCATGACTGACTGATCTAACTTCATCTTATCATCCTCTACTGGTGGCCCGCCAGCGTATACCGTTAGCGCAGACGGGTGCACCATTACATTATCATTCTATAAAAAAAAATCTAGACGGCAGGGTTTTTTTATTTACACGCAGACAAAGTCGCGGCTACAACTAGTTAAAAATAACTTACCACTAGGATGGACATTCCTAGATTTTTTTTTATAGAATGATAATGTAATGGTGCTCCAGTCTGCACTATCGGTATAGGCTGGTGGGGTACCAGTGGAGGATAATAAGATGAATGTGAGGTAAGATCAGTTAGCACATCGTGACAAATTCTCCAAGAATTTATCATGATGGTTTCCAGGGGTGATTATCTAAGTATTTATATCAGTTGTCTAGTACCCATAACACAAGCTCTGCTTACTGTGGGACTAGATGGCGCTGTGTTAATTATCCAGAGTTAAAAATGTTATGCATGAATAAATGATTTTAATATACACAATTTTCTGTTACTAGGGCACTGCTGGAGCTGGCACAATGCGTCCAAACCAACCAGGAGCCAATCGACTTCAACACCACAGATGCTATGATGAATCCAAAAACTGGCCTCATGGTGTGCATGCACTGCCTCGAAGACGTAGACGCCAACCTGCTCTCCGACCACATGGTGAACGCCCACAATTACCGGCGCATACTCTTCAAATGCCAAATCTGTTGTAACATCTTCCAAGAGAGACAGCTCCTCGTCGTCCACAGGAAAGAATGCAAACCACCACAGAAAAGACACAAGCGGAAGTCATTCCAGCAGATTCTCCGAGAAGTAGAAACTGCTGAGGATACGGGAAACGATTTTGAGAATGTATCATGTCCAATATGTGTCCTGGAGTTGCCGAAGTACTGTTTGAAAGATCATCTGATATCCGAACACAGTAATCCGGATATGATTTTGACTTGTGGGAAATGTAATAGGAATTTCAAGTCGAAGCTGACACTCAGGGAGCACATTAAGCTGGTCCATGAGTCTGTGGAGGACTCGGTAGAGTGTGAATTGTGCGGACAGAAGTTCCGTTCGCCCAAGTATCTCTCAAATCATAAGAGGAATGTCCATCCTAGTGGTAAGTTATTTTTAACTGGTTGTAGCCGCGACTTTGTCTGCGTGGAATTTAACTTTATTTTTCTAAAATAAAAGTAGCCTTAGTTACTCCTTATTAATAGTAGTAATGTTATATAGCTTAAAGCAGCGATTTTCAATGTTTTATAAATTAGGGACCGAAAAATTTTTGTTCTGCACAGAGGGCCACAACATTTTTATAAGAAATAGAAATAATCTTTATTCAAATAAACTTAATATAAGGACTTTTGAATAGTCAAGTTTATTGATTCTACCGCTTATTTGTAATGCAGATTCATCACAAGAAGAATAAGCAAGAAACTTGTGTGTTGCTCTCTTGCTGTAAGATTTTTTTTATTTTATATTAAAGGTACTTTTTATTACTTATTTTTTTGTCGTTATTGAGAGTGCACCTATGCTGTTCACGGGCCGCAGAAAACATATGTGGGCCACAAGAGGTCCCCGGGCCTCGGGTTGGCTTAAAGCCTTCCTCGACGAATGGACAGTTCAACACAAAAATATTCTTTCAATTCAAACCAATAGTTCCAGAGATTAGCATCCAAACAAACAAACTCTTCAGTTTTATAATATTGGTATGAATTAATATGGAATGGTATATATGTGTGCAAATGGCGCTCCAAACCGCGGAAAGACTACTGGAGCGGCTGAACTTCAACTCCCGCTTGACGGATACAACGCCAGTCTGAGGGTACCACTGGGGGTGTGAATCTCGGCTCAGACTGTCGTAGTATCGATCCCCGTTTGAATTGGGATGGGTTGATAGCGCGGTATGTTGTGATTGAGGTCGTCGTCTTCGCCAGCGAGGACGATGTCGTGTGTGACGACCTATGTTATATATTCAAATATCCTATATGTTCATAAAAATCATGACTTATTTCCAAAAAACAGAAATATTCATAATATTAATACTAGATTTAAAGACAAACTTGCTGTCCCCAAGTATCGTTTAGAAAAAGTCAATAGGTCTTTTATGGGAATAGGTATAAAAATTTACAATAAGATATCAAAGGATATATTGGAATTACCCTTAAATAAATTCAAAACATCTGTTAAATCATATTTACTGAGCAGGGCCTATTACTTACTAAACGATTACTTGAATGACGAGCGTGCATGACAATAGTTGTTCATGCACGGGATTTTCATTTAATGTTAGACATACACACCTATATAAATACCTATGCATTGTAAATAAACTGGATTAAAAAAAAAAGTAAATCAATTGAGTTTCTTGTCAGTTCTTCTCAATTGGATCTATATACCGAACTGGACGGTAGGGAAAAAAATATAATGTAAAAACTTGACGTTCATAAGCGGCTAAAATGTCCTACATGAATAAATGATTTTTGAATTTGAATTTGACCCGAACCTACGTCGTAATTTCGATTTCTGTTTAATTTGGATTACCTATATGGCGCTCTCAATGATATGGTTGTCCACAGGCGATAAGGTTCACAAGTGTGCAGTGTGCGGTAAGGAGTTCAAGTCCCGTCTGTGCGTTCACCAACACACGAAATACGTGCACCCACCTCAGAGCGCCTCTGTTGCTTGTCCGCACTGCCCCCACAAAGTCTTCAAGTCACGGATCAACCTGCAACAGCATCTGAAGGTCTCACACGGCTGGAGGAAAGGAGATTGAGGTTCAATACTTGATGTGGAATCTAGGTTGTTTTTATGGATGATAATGGAATGGACCCGTCTGCGCTAACGGTTTACGCTGGCGGGGCAGCAGTGGAGGATAATAAGATGAACGTGAGGTCAGGTCAGTTAGCACATCGTGACAAATTCACCAGGAATTTTATGATGGCTTCCAGGGGAACCACGTGGAGGTCAACCTGATATGGTACATGGCTAGTAATGCAGTCATGAGTCCAGAGTACAGTTCAACCCTTGTTAACATTGTCGACCTCAGTGCTGTAATGTTTAACATTGCAGACTGGTTTATTTAGATAGTGGTCTAACGGTTTAGCGCAACAGTTTACTTCCAATGGTAGCAGGTTTGATTCCTCGCGCGATGCATGATTCATAGTGGACTGTATTTTAGAAAAGAAAATAATGGAAAAAGAAGGAGAAATAGGAATTTGACTAGGCAGAATGTCTTACACACTCCAGCAACATTAAACTTACTCTCCGTTGGTCAGGAATGTCCTGATGTAGTACAGTTTAGTGGCAGGCACTCTAGACTGTATATTTAAATAAAAACAATCATAATAAATATAATTATCTTGTTTTAAAAATATGAAGCGTCCTTATTATTTCAGTTTATAATTTTTTTTTGTGGGACAATTTTTTTATTGGGTGCCAGTATTATCAAGCTAACCAACTAGCTTTTGCCCGCGGCTTCGCTCGCGTTAATTTATCTCCTTAGAGTATACCTACCTACCTACGTCATAGCAGCTTTATGTATGCAAAGTCTCAGCCCGATCGGTTTAAAATTGACAAAGTTTCATACAAACTTTCATCCCCTATTTTTTCCCCTTAGGGATAGAATTAATCAAAATCCTTTCTTAGCGGATGCCTACGTCATAACATCTGCCTGCATGTCAAATTTCAGCCCGATCCGTCCAGTGGTTTGGGCTGTGGGTTGATAGATCACTATGTCAGTCACCTTTGAGTTATATATATTTAGATATCTTTTTTCTAAACTTATACCAATTTTTTTTTATTTGTGGCCAGTATTATCCAACGTTCTTATATTCAGTTTCTTTCCCCTTTTGTTATTACTCTTAAATTGATTGTTTTTCTTGTTATGTTTCTTCTGTGTAAATAATAAAGTGTTTATTATTATTAAGTCTAGAAGTTAAAAGTAGTATATGAGTTACTCAGTAACAAGTTTTTAGTATATGTAATTATCTTATTAATTTCTTTTTTTTATCTATCTTTCGACGGCCTCCGGTCTAGCGGTTTAACTCACCTCTTTACTTCCGATGGTCGCGGGTTCGATTCCTCGCACGGTACAAACATTTGTATTCATGAGTATGATTGCTTGTATCGTTCTCGGTGTTTTCTTTATATATTATAGTATTTATTTATTTTTCTTTGTATATTATAGTATTTATACACACAGGTATAGTCTAGTACAAATAATACAAGCTCTGCTTAGCTTGGGACTAGATGGCGCTGTGTTAATTGTTCAGTGTTATTTATTTATAGTTTAAAACGAAGTGGCATTCGCTGTCTGTTTGTTTAGACCAGTGATTCCCAAAGTGTATCTATAAAGACCCCCAGGGGTCTATGACAAACTGCAAGGGGTCTACGACAGCGATCATCTTGTTGTTTTTACTTTATGTTTTTAACACTAAACTTTACTATAGTTAGAAATTTAGATTTTTAACTTTAATAATTTTAACAATCAATACCAGATAAGAATGGTGTGTCTACCCAAAACTGAAAAATATGGCAAGGGGTCTACGACACAAAAACCTCTGATTTAAACCTTAAAAACTAATTTTAATGTAGTTTTTTAGATAGTGTATTTATATTTAGGTTTATATATATATTATAGATATTACATGTACATCCGCGCGAATCCGGGATAGCATTAGTTTAAATATAACAGTGGATGAATGTGAATGCAGAGGATGACAGAAGATGGATGGAGTGTGTGGAAGTGGATAGGCATAAAAGGAGATTAATTATTATTGTCATAGTTAAATTATTAACTTTTTTTATCATTATGGACAAGTATTATTCAATATTGAATACGAGGCGAGATGTTATAACAAATGCACTGATCTTATTCTAAAGAAGAATTCAAAAATCTGGTTTTGATTTTGTTTTTTATTTTGACAGATTTTGTGTTTTTTTTTTACTTTTTTTGTATTTAATTTAGGTTTTGATTATGATTTTGAATTTGATTTAGGTTTTGGTTTTAATTTGAAAATAGAATTTGATTTTGTATTTTGAATTTAATTTTGGTATTATAAATATATTGATTTGATAGTCAAGAAAGATGATAACATTAAATTAACATAAAAAAAACATTAGTGTAAGTTAAAACGTAAGTTTTTAAATTAATAATTATAAGTAATGTTAATTATTTTGATTTATTAATCTTAATATAGATTTATTTTAGTTTTATTAGCAACAAGTTCGCCTATTACTGGCTAGAGCTGTGCTGTGTCCGATGCTGAATTTCTTAGCTTATAGGTGTAAATAGAAAAATATTAGTATATAATATCATAGTTGTAATATAAATTATATGTTATGTATATATATAAGTACATCAAACAAATTGAGTACAAAATGGGAGTCGTGTCGTATCAAGAATTAAAGAGCATGATGGAAGATCGCGGAAAGTGGCAAGAGCTCCACAGACAAGACTACTCTCTTGTCTGTGGAGCTCTTAAATTATGAATAAATGAATATATATAAGTGACCTGTTGAGGCTACGCCCGGGCACCCATAGCATTGTAAGTTTTGTATGTTAACATATAACATAATATACAGGTTGTCCCAGAACTGAGAAAAATGTGTAATTATATCCCATAATTAGAGTAGATTTTCTTTAAAACGTAAATTGCGAGATTATTCTAATATGTAACCTTCCTATTATATATATAATACAATGTATATTATCTTATATATTGCTCGTTAGTGTGTACATTTTCTAAGTTATAATTGTCTGTTTTTTTTCTTTCTTCGTTAGTCTCTATTTCCTATCTTTTGTTACGTTCACTATCTGTTTTCACTTTTTCATTGTCAGACTATGTTATATGATATGTATAATTGTGTATGGTATATTTGATTTCATATTTATTTATAGATTGATATATATTATATGTATTTGTGTATGTATATGCATTTGTTTACATGTATTTACTTTTAGTATATGTATATTTTTTTATGATATTTCTCATGATGGTTATAATTAATCCAGTCACCCCATTGTCCCCATGTCGGCTTGACGTTGAGTTCTGGGACAGTTGTATATACTATTAGCTATGTTCGCGGTTTTGTTCACGTGGAATTGTGATCCTAAGTGTATAGTGATTTAATTATTTAAGCTATTTATTTTGTAAATAAAATACATACGTATAAATACTTTAAAAAGTTTTTGTCTCTGTTTTTCCTTTTTTATATAAGGTATAAAATAGTTTTAGGACTTTTAAGTACTTTTTTTTATAAACTACGCTTTGTGTTTTCACTTCTTTGGCCAACATTAACAGTTGGACAGACAGAGTTACTTTGCTAAAGTAACTGTGTGTCTGTTTAGCCCACGACACCGTCCTCGCTGGCGAAGACGACGACCTCAACCACAACATACCGCGCTATCAACCGGGCGCCTACACCCCTCCTATCGGTCCCCCGTCCAATTCAAACGGGGATCGATATTACGACGGTATGTGCCGAGGTTCGAACCCCTGGCGGTGCCTCAGACTGGCGTCGTATCCGTCAGGCGGGAGTTGTCCTTCAGCCGCTCCATAAGTCCTCCCTTTGGTTTGGAGTGCCATCTGCACTCGCCCCCTATAGTCTGGTGAAGCTGTAAAGGCCAGCTGCGGCCAGCATTAGAATAGTCCGAAAAAAAAGCCGAAAGAAAAGTTTCATCAAAAATGACGAATTTCCAAACTTTTATTTTCTAGTTAGTTATGAAGTTACTGTAAAACTGGAAAGGATCTCAACTAATCTGTATATAACGTGGGTTACATCTACTTCTTAAACTAGGTTAAGTTTAGTTAAACTGTAAATATTCTTATCAAGTTATATCCTTAGCTTAAGTTAAGTTTATCCTAAGAGGCGCCTAATCTAGTTATCCGAGTGTTGATGCCGGGACAAAGGGGCCTCTAGGCCCCAACTTTCTACCCCTAGGGGTTGTAGATGACTAGTGTTAGTCAGAGTTACATATTTGTTAATTGTTTTAAGTCCACACGTGTTTATAAATATGTAAGTTTGTTGTTTAACAACAATAAATTAATAAAATTAATATATTATTATAAATTAATAAATTACTGTAAATTACTTCCTAATTAAAGTATCATAAACATTTTTTTTATTCTGTTTATCCTTTATCGGAAAGGCAAAGGGAACTGCGCCCATACAGCCATTTACCACAAACATAAAAATTCACAAATATAACCTCTTTGTAATATTAGTATAATTATATTGACGTTGAGGTATTTTGTAGTTAATAGATTCATATAATTATTGATTCAAAATATATTCAGGTTTTATTTAGCGATATTATTATTTACCTTACTTAATATTCGACTGTTTTTTTATAAATTGTATTTAAAATAATAATATATTACGATATAAGTGCGTTATGATGATTATAACACACGAAGCGGAATTTCAAAATACACAATACACACGTACTCGTATATTGTACGACATTTTTCAATAAACTCAACCATAAACAACACACTGTTGCTTTCCCGCCCTTTTTACTTTTTTAATTGACGGCGGCAGAGGTACACCGCGCGGCCATAATGTTCGAAATTTAAATAAAATAGCAAATAGTACGGTTATTGAATATAACTTCATTAATTGAATTTATATATCGACAACCGGTGAAATTTTATCCATTTTACAAGCAAGTGAGTTGAAAATAATATTAAAATGTATTTTATATGTCAGATACATGACTTCATATTTTGTATTTAGTATTTTGTAATCGATTAGTGTCTAGAATAATCTACCTTTCAATGTGATTTAAAGCCGCTGAAAATCAGCGCTGCAGCTACCGCTTCAGCAATATGCTGAGCGGAATATTTTTAATACGTTACATGTTGCGTTATGGCATTATGATTTTTATTTTCATAAAAGTGGTGTAGCCATATGTATGTATAAGTGTGTGTACATGTCAGGGATGTTAGGGACCTCCGTAACCATAACCGAAACTATCGGATATCCGATAAAAAAAAATATTCGTAACCGTAACCGAATCCGAAATAAAAGTTTCGGATAATATCAGATAGGGGAGGAGCCTAATAGAGACACGATATATAACTATTTTATTAGCAGTTTGTATTTTACTTTTGACATATTAATATCCGTAACCGAAATTAACGGATAATCCGAAATAATTTAATGTCCGTATCCGTATCCGTATCCGAAATTTCATATCTATAACATCCCTGGTACTGTATACTGCTAATTTAATTTAAACTATATATATTTGTAATTCATAATAATGTTAACAATAGTTACTTAATAAATATATATTGTTATTATATAATTTCTGAATTCAATGTGTAGTGTAGATTAAGTGTTTAATTTGCTCATAACTTAAAAAAATTAAATGTGCTTCTCAATGTAATCACAATAAAAGTAATTGATGTAATTGTCCTCTAATTTCCTACACCCAGTTCACTTTCATAGTAGACAAATTAAACAAAATCATAGACAAAAAAATATGTCATATGAAACACTTCCTTTGCAAAAAAGCTAACTATAAAATTGAAGAATTCGTTAAAAATAAATAATATATGTTTTTATAATAAATAATGTTTTTATAGAAAAACTTAAAATCCATAGCACTGACAATATTATCTGATTACACTAATAATGAGTGCGTAACGACTTCTATGTTGATTATCGCATGCATCTTGTTATACTGTAATTATTTATATAAAAAAATCATCTATTCAAAAGAGCAGCACACAAGTTTCTTGCTCATTCTTCTTGTGATGAGTCTGCGTTCCGAATGAGTGGTAGAATCAAAATATGACTATTCAAAAGTGCTTGTAATGAGTTTATTTGAATAAAGATTATTTCTATTTCTATTTCTATACGCGGTAAACAATTTAGTATTTAAAATCATTGCAGTAATAATCAAGTGACGTATATTTAAATATATTTAATTTGTATGTTTCAATATATCAACAAACATTGATAAATTATTGAAATATTTATTACCACTTTTTTTTTAATTCGCTGTGCCCGCGGTTTCTATCGCATGAAATTTATAGTCTGTGTTATTCAGGCGTATAAGCTATTTTATTTTAACAAACGTCCATCCATACACACTTTCGCATTTAGCAATCCCCTCGGATCGATCCCCCGGCCAATTGAAACGGGAATCGAAATTACGACACGATCTGTGTACTCAGACTAAAGTCGGTAACCGTCAGGCGCGAGTTGGCCTTAAAAAAAAAGCGTTTCGTATTTCTATATATTTTCTGTGGTGTATCTCTCTTAGACGCCATCAAACATTAGAACATATATTTTTTGATTGCCCGGCCTTCCATTTAAACAGAATATTGCTCATTGCTAAGCTTCAAGAACTATATAAGATTATTCCGACATCGCTTCAAGAACTATTCAAATGCACTGCAACTTTTAAACCAATTTATGACTTCATCATAGCAACTATCGCAGAATTATAAACATTTCAATTATGGACACATATATGGACTTAACACAAACTTATAATTAATGAAAAGATTTGGCGATATCGCCTTGAAGAATTTTTGAATCTCATGGAAATACTACTGAAGATTAGGCTGTATGGTCTCGTACCTTTGCCTATCCACTTGTGGATAAAATATACCACTACTACACTACTACTGTCAACTCCACATGTCACAGGGCACAGAGTAATGTCTTGTTTTTGTAAAGAATTTTGAATGTTTGTTTAATCTGTTTTGCCATTACAAAATTTATAAATTGTTATTTAATTAAAGATATATTAAAAATTTCTTCTTTAAATGTAGTATTTTTCATTTTTGTGGTATATATATTGTACAAAATATAATTGTTGGACGTAGAACTTACAAATGGTTATTGCCGCGAAAGTTTTAATACTTAAGTGAACTCTTCAAGTACATTGTCTGTTTATTATGGAGGCAATAGTTTTGGGTACATTGTATGAAAAATATAAAGAGATATACGTCTCTAATTTGCCTTTTTGTGTGGTTTGTATGCGTACTAGGAGAGATGGGTACATGGTACCGCCAAAAGCTATAGTAGATTTTCGTGGGATCACCAAGAGAAATCAATTTGAGGTAAGGAAGTATTTTATATGTAACTTCTATACATATAAAAAAAATTGGAGTGTGTTTCTAAAATTGAACTAACCGTTTTTTACTACATGTATATCAATATAAATACGGTACATACGCCAAAATAACATTTTTTACAATTTTTGTTTGTCTGTCTGTTTGTTCCGGCTAATCTCTGAAATGGACCGACCGATTTTGCCGGGACTTTTTTGGCAGGTAGCTGATGCAATAAGGAGTAACTTAGGCTACTGTTATTTTAGAAATTTTCATTTATTTTAGAAAAATAAAGTTAAATTACATACGGATGAAGTCGCGAGTGCAGCTAGTATTACATATATGTACTAGCTGACTCGCGCAACTTCGTCTGCATTTCATTTCCCCACCTTTTGCAATATTTTTCATTGCAGCTTCGCTCCTATTGGTCGTAGCGTAATGTTATATAGCTTAAAGCCTTCCTCGACAAATGGTCTATCCAACACAAAAATATTTTTTTAATTCGAACCAGAAGTTCCTGAGATTAGTGTGTTCAAACAAACAAAATAAAATCTTCAACTTTATAATGTTAGTATATATTAATAGATGTATTTTATAAAAGAGCAACACACAAGTTTCTTGCTCATTCTTCTTGTGATGAATCAGCTTTCCGAAAGAGTGGTAGATAGAATAAAAAAATGTGATGACAATATAAGGACTTAAAATGTAAGTTTATTTGAATAAATGATTTTCTATTCTATTCTACAGGATATAGCAGTATGTTCTATATGCGAGGAGATAGCATTGAATGCAATGAAGCTGTTCAAAGCGATGCACTGTTCTCGGACTCTGATAAATGTACTGAAACATCTGCAGAGAGAGAATCTGTCACTACAGGACTTCAGCAATCAACTAGTCTACTTTAAAACTGTTAGTAAATGCTTTATAACTGTTTTAGTGTTGACCTTAATTTCAGAATGCATGAAAATTGCCCTCCGATTGATCTACTCTCTAATTTAAAAGGAATCCTCGTTTGAATTAGAGAGGGGTATCGATCTGGTTAAGGTAATGTAATGTAAGTTGGACTCCATTTTCCGCAATTGGCCTCTCTGAACGTTGTGCGTGTAGAGCCAGGCTACTAAAGTAGCCAGCCAAGCTCCTCCCAGAAGCGCAGAAGTCTCCTGGTGTCTTCGCAGGCTTCACATAGCGACCTCACCGTTCCGAGGATCTGATTACGTTGTGTGGTCACTGCAAGCACTCCAGGATTACATGAGCAGCCGTTTCCTCGCCTACAAGGCAGCCCTGGCACAGGGGACTGTCTGTAGCACCTATTGTGTACAGATGTTTGTTTAAGGGACAGTGGCCCGTCATTGTCCCTATCATTATTTTTATGTTGTGCCTGTCCAGATTTAGTAGGTGTTTTGTCATTCATTGGTTTGTTTTAGGAATTGCTACTTTTCTTCTTCTTCTTTATTTTAAATGGCCGGCACCAATTTTGATCGGTGATTTTGCCAATGTCATGGTTTGAGAGACACAGTGTAATTTGTAGCTGTGGCTTCGTTGATTGCCTTCAGACTGGCGTCGTATCCGTCAGGCGGGAGTTGTCCTTCAGCCGCTCCATAAGTCCTTCCTTTGGTTTGGAGTGCCATCTGCACTCGCCCCCTATCGTCCGGTGAAGCTGTAAAGGCCAGCTGCGGACAACAGCATTAGAGTAGTCAGAAAAATATAACATGAAAATTGCTGTATATATTTTGATTTCATTAAAGTAAAAATTATGTTTTTAAAAAAAACTTTCTTTTTATATATAGCAAGCTGATTGTTGCTGGAGTAGGCGTGTTCTAGAGTGGAGACCGCGATATGGCAAACGTAGTGTAGGACGCCCCGCAGCTGGGTGGAGCGACGACATACGTAGGGTTGCGGGTAAAAACTGGAAGAGAAGGGCTGAAGATCGTGCCCAGTGGCGTGGCGTGGGAGAGGCCTATGTCCAGCAGTGGACTGCAGTGGGCTGATGATGATGATGATGAAGCTGATTGTTTAACGTTGAAGACTGCATGGAAAATCTTATTTCTCAAATAGGGACCATTATTTTTTTTTTCTATTTTATTATTTCATTGAATTAGTGCTAATCGGTGGTTTGTATTCACACACTTAAACTTAAATTGTAAGTAAGAATAAATTATTTAAAAGAGCAACACACAAATTTCTTGCTTGTTCTTCTTGTGATGAGAGAGCATTCCGAATGAGCGGTAGATTAAAAAAAAAAAATGTTATGACTATTCAAAAGTGCTTCAATGTAAGTTTATTTGAATAAATGATTTTCTATTCTATTCTATAATTATTAATTATGTATACAGTGGATGCACAACAGTGGTGGTGCATACAAGTTCAAACTTGTTCAATCATGTATTACGAAGATTGTCAAAAAAATATTCAATACCATGTCGGATTAGAGATGTGCTAACTCGTAATAAACACGACTCGAGTTAACTCGAGTTAAAATTCATGTAACTCGAGTTAGGTACCTGGAATAAAAAGTTTTTTTTTATTTTTCGAACAATTCTAATGTTTTTTTTTTGGGCGCAGCTAGCCTCGAAAGCATCACCGAAATTCAGGGGCGAGTAGAAATGGCACTTCAAAGCCGCGGAAGGACTTATGGAAAGCACAATCATTTTATTGATAACATAATCGGACGAATGTGCGAAAAAAAATTATAACGACCTCAAATCAATATTGAAATATTTGTGACAAGTGAAAATGATATGAAATTGTCAGTTTGATGACAGAATCATACTCTCATTCTTTCACTTGATTCATTCATTTAATAGTTGAATTCTTCCAACTCGAGTTGGCAGAATTCAACTCGAGTTAACTCGAGTTGACACATCTCTATGTCGGATTGCACCGGGTCCACTGTATTATTTTTTAAATACATTTTTAGTGTACAGTAATTTGAGGTAGATATTATCAAAACACCTAGATTTATTTCAATTAAAATGTCATCACCCGGTACCAACGTGTAAATTTACTTTCGTTGCGGTGTGACCCACCGGTGGGCATGCAGTCTAACGTGTTACTGGGCAGTGGCCCCTTATCCCCAGTATTGTCACTCTGGGTATGAATCCCACACCCTCGTCGAGTGGCTGCTCTTTTGAATAATTATTTTTACCTTTGACTTTGGTCATTTTTTTCAGGTGAACAAGTATGGAGAGAAATCATCCATAGATTACAAATATTTATTGAATGTAGTTGAGAGTTATTGCAATTATGCAAAAACACAAGGATCGACTGTTCACACAGATCTCTCTACGGTGAGTGCAATAACCTCTATGTACACTTTGTAGAAAGTCATCTGTTATTTTTTTTTATTTAAATAACTTTAATGTACGTCATACATAACTAAACGAGTACATATACCGGACTTAACACCTGATGGCACTTTCTACCAGGCAACCATCAGTTGTGCAGAGATAAGTTGTTGGCGGTGCAAATAATATTATTATACTAGCTTTTGCCCGTGGCTTTGCTCGCGTTTATTTATCCCCTTAGGTTAGGGGATAAATTAGGACAGGTTTTGGCAAGAGTACAATATGTGCTCCAATGTCCAAAAATCATTTATTAATGTAGGACTTTTTAGCCGCTAATGAACATCAAGTTTATACATTATAGATTTTTTTTCTTACCATCCAGTTAAGTTAATACAATATTCTCAATTTACACTTTGGTCAAAGTCATCTCTGTTAATACAATATTTTCTAGTTACAATTTGTAGAAAGTCATCTGTGTTAATACAATATTCTCTAGTTACACTTTGGACAAAGTCATCTGTATTAATACAATATTCTCTAGTTACACTTTAAACAAAATGACCTGTATTAATACAATATTTTCTAGTTACACTTTGTAGAAAGTCATCTGTGTTAATACAATACTCTCTAGTTACACTTTGGGCAAAGACATCTGTATTAATACAATACTCTCTAGTTACACTTTGAACAATTCCAGATGAATTTATCACAATGTGCTAACTGACCTGACCTCATTCTCATCCTATCATCCTCCACTGGTGCCCCGCCAGCGCAAACTGTTAGCGCAGGCGGGTGCACCATTTCATTATCATATACAAAAAAAACCTATAAATCTTGTTACATTGTTTCAGAGTAACAAACCACCAGACAGTCCAGACACCAACAGCAACAGGTCAGTAGCTATTTTACGAGATCAGTCTCTTTAGCGTTATATATGTTGTGATAAGGTGGCGCTACATAATATATTATTTATTTAAACTTTTTATTGCACCAGACAAAGAAATAACGCAAAATGATATTTTACATAAACTGATACAAAAGGCGGTCTATTCGCTAAGCAATCTTTTCCATACTGTAGACCAGTAGAGAAAGTAACATTAAGATAAGAAAGGGGTAGGTGATGCACGTAATGAACCTAAATATATACATATATATAATAAAATATAAACTACGTAAACATACATATACTTAATAATGCACATATCTTCAGAAAATATTAAAGGAACTATGAGACAAAGAGGACAATATGAACTTAAACTTTAATATGAATATGATATATTATTTATTGTAGTCTGTAGGTAGTGAGTATACAGGTAAAATGATTGCACTATGTATTAGACATTATTAAAGTTATTGGTAGTGTGCTCCATTTAACTGCCAGACGAGACGAGACGAGATCAGTCTCTTTGACAGTGTAGCACGGTGGTATCCTCATCACTGTAGCGTTATATATGTTGTTATGAGGTGGCGCTACGTAATATATTATTTATTGTAGTATGTAGGTAGTGAGTATACCGGTAAAATGATTGTACTATTTATTAGATAAAGATAAAAGATTTATTTTATCTTTATCTAATAAATTGGTAGTGTGCTACATTTAACTGCCAGACTAGACGAGATCAGTCTCTTTGACAGTGTAGCGCGGTGGTATCCTCATCACTGTATCGTGTATATGTAGCGCATATATGTTGTGATAAGGTGTCGCTACATAACATATAATATATTATTTACTAGCTGCACCCCAGACTACATCCGCGTGGAATTTTACTTTTATTTTTTTTAAATAAAAGTAGCCTAAGTTACCTCTTATTACATAAGCTACCTGCCAATAAAAGACTCGTCAAAATTGGTCCAACCATTTCAGAGATTAGCCGGAACAAACAGACAGACAGACAAAAATTGTAAAAAATGTTATTTTGGTGTATGCACCGTATTATATTCATATGCATGCAGTAAAAAACGGTTATTTCAGTATTACAAAGAGACACTACAATTTTATTTATATGTATAGATTGTAGTATGAAGGTAGTGAGTATACCGGTAAAATGATTGCACTATTTATTAGACATTATTAAGTTTATTGGTAGTGTGCTACATGGCTTATTAATAACGTGTACAGTGGACGCGGAGTCGGGACGTAGACTGATTTTACACTTAACTTAAATCTATGTTAATGGAGACTATGGATCTAAACTAATGGAAAGGTCTCAAGTAGAAATGAAACGGATAGCAGTTTGGCCGGATACCGGATATTCGGCCAACCATGTGACCGAATAACCAGATATCCGGACGGAACTTAGCTAACTAGTAAATTCATTTTCTTTCTTTTTTTTTCGGACTACTCTAATGCTGTTGGCCGCAGCTGGCCTTTACAGCTTCACCAGACGATAGGGGCCGAGTGCATATGGCACAAACCAAAGGAAGGACTTATGGAGCAGCTGAAGGCCAACTCCTGCCTGACGGATACGACTATAGTCTGAGAGCACCGCTAGTGGTTCGAACCTCGGTTCAGGCCGTCGTAATTTCGATCCCCGTTTGAATTGGACGGGGGATCGATCGGAGGGGTTGTGTTGGTGCTGAGAATACTCATCCCATCTTCAAATAGTGATCGCAATAGTACTTTACATAACCCATCTTCAAGGGGGAAGGAACAAGTTAGCTGATAGTCTTGCACTTGAAGCCTGGCGCGTGGATGGAGCCAGTCTCCTCTGCCCCTTAGGGGGCCAGCTTTCCTTATTAAAATCATAATGATGTAACCTTCAATTATTAACCTTATGAATGAATGAAATGAATGAAAACACTTTATTGTTCCTCTCACAGAAAGAGTAATTACATAAATTAATATGTACATTAAATATGAAAATAATAACAAAATAATTATAATATAGAGGTAACAATGGGCGGCCTTATCGCTAAATAGCGATTTCTTCCAGGCAACCTTAGGACGGAGAGGAGTGATTAGACTGTGTCTGGTCGAGGTATAACAATTTGTTGTTGGATGTACAATTTACATATCATATACACATACATATAACTACATAATAATCATTATATATAAAATATACATACACATATATATATACATACATATATACATATAAATAAATTAAATAATATCTATACAATAGCGACGTTACTATGCAGATAAGTTATAATTATTTCTATTTCTATATTCAATATAAATAAATCTTATTTACAGAGTGCCAGAGACAATTCTCATAGATGACGACAACGACGCACCGACAACAACACAGTTAGCCAAATTATTGACCAAACCACTACACTTGCTGCAGAAGCCAATCAGTAACGAACCAGCAATGATGACGGGGATGAAACCAGAGTCTTATCTACATACGAACGGGCCATCGTTATTTACAACCCCTCCGGTTATTCGACCACAATTTCCACCCCTACCACAAATAAATATAGCAGCTTCATCCAACTTAAATATAATAAACTCCAAAATAAACTATGATATTAAAAACACTGTACATTTATTAAGAAACGATTGTAATAAGATTATAAATGGAGAATTAGATGTCAATATTAAAAAGAATTCTGATAATAATAATGAAAATAGTAATAATATAATAAATAAAGAAGTAAATGTTAATAAAGATATTCATAATAAAAGAAAGAGAAAAAGTCCTGATGATAATACTGAAAGGAGTAAACTAGACTTGGCTGCGGAGGCAGATGAATCTATTGTAGAACACGCTATAGCTCGCCCCCGGGCTTTGAACGCGTCCAAAGTGGACTGGGAGAATAAAATACCAATGGATTTCATTTACTTTACGGTGAGTCAAAATTACATTATTAATTTAATAAGCTCTAATGCAGCTTAATCTAAGCAGCTATCCCCAAGTATCGCCTGGATAAGGTATTTTATGGGAATAGGTATAAAAATCTATACATCTATACATATAAATAAAATTGGAGTGTCTGTTTGTAATATTGAAATAACCGTTTTTTACTACATGCATATGAATATAAATACGGTACATAACTGAAATAACATTTTTACAATTTTTGTCTGTCTGTCTGTTGGTCTGTTTGTTCCTGCTAATCTCTGAAATCGAACCATTTCAGAGATTAGCAGGAACAAACAGACCGATTTTGACGAGACTTTTTTTGGCAAACATCCATACTTTCAAACTTTCGCATTTATAATATAACTAGCTATCCACCCCGGTTTCGCACGAGTGTACATGTATTATACATATAAACCTTCCTCTTGAATCACTCTATCTATTAAAAAATCGCTTCAAAACAATTTAAGCATATATAGGGACAGACAGTGATACTATATATGAGTCTAGTCAATTTGGCAGAAAAAAAAATTCAAATGTGTTATAAAATATTTTCTTTGTAAATAAAAAAGCTTATAAAATTGAAGAATTTATAAATGATAATAATGTTTTTGTAGAAAATATCTAACTTAAAATTCATAGCGCTGACAATGTTATCTGATTGAACAGAGATTAAGTGCGTAGCGGTTTCTATGTTGATGGTCGCATGCCTAATCCTTGTTGTTAATTAAATATAAGTAAATCAATATTTATTTAAAAGAGCAACACACAAGTTTCTTGCTTATTCTTCTTGTGATGAATCTGCATTCCGAATAAAAAAACTTGACTATTCAAAAGTGCTTATATTAAGTTTATTTGAATAAAGATTATTTCTATTTCTATTTCTATACTATGTAATGATGATATAAGATTTTGTTTTTCAGGACCAAGGGGAACCGAGTAATGCCTCATGCCAAATTAAACGAATCAGATCTGTTACAATTGAAGAGAACGCCAGCAGTAACTGTTCGACTAGTACGTGGTAACAGAAGCCTGAAGTAATGCTGTATAGCAACGGAAATACCGACCATCTGGCAAAGTTAGGGGTAAAAACCGCCCAACTGGGACCTGAACCCTTCTGGGGTGTGCCTCGTTGCCTAAAACTGGGACGTCTCAAATTAATAACCAAACGAGAAGCACTGAATCACTGGCAAGAAATGCCAGGATTAACACATTCAAAAGACTTAATATCGGGCTACTCGAACAAATACTCCAATAGACTACTGCTATTGAGTAAAAACAACATATGCATGATGACTAGGGCCCTCACAGGACACTGCAAATTAAACAAGCATATGGCTAAGCTAGGCCTATGCACGATAAGTATCTGCAGATTCTGCCAAACTGAAGAGGAAACGCCGCATCACATCCTATGTGGTTGTAGCCCACTCATGCATAAACGAAATATCTCCTTTGGAAAGTTTACACTCTATCCTGAGGAGATAAAAACCATCGCTCCTAAGAATATCCTTCAATTCTTGTCCCTGACAGGTCCAGGTAGCGAACTTTGGAAAGGGCGAGCACAATAGATCTATATAGTTTGCAGGGCTACAGGTACTACAATCACCTGACAATAGCCCAAACAACCCAATAAACAAAACGAAGGTGCCAGTCGATCCATTGGAATCACAATTATCTTACACTTTGAACAAAGTCGCTAGTCCTACTTCAGTAACACCTATTCCAAACATCTTGTTTTAAAAGCTATTGTTGAAAATTATATCATCAGCATCATCATCATTGCAGCCCGGAAGACGTCCAGTGCTGGACATAGGCCTCCCCCAAAGATGTCCACGACGATCGGTCCTGCGCTGCTCGCATCCAATGCCTTCCAGCGATCTTGACCAGATCGTCTGTCCACCTTGCTGGAGGCCTTCCCACGCTGCGTCTTCCAGTGAAAATTATATATAAAACCTATATTACAATGTTATATTATTTCCTCACAAATACAAATTAAATAATCATTTATTCATGTAGGACATTTTAGCCGCTTATGAACGTAATCTTATATATAAAATTCTCGTGTCACAGTTTTCGTTCCCATACTCGTCTGGAAGGACTTGACCGATTCTCATGAAATTTTGTGAGCGTATTAAGTGGGTCTGAGAATCGTCCAACATCTATTTCTCATCCCCCTACATGTTAGGGGTAGTCCACCCCTAAATTTTATTTTTTATTTTATGGCGAAACAACGTTTGCTAGTTTTTTTATATTATAATTTTTTCCCTACCGTCCACTTCAGTATATAGATCAAATTGAGAAGAACTGGCAAAAATTTCAATTGAATTACTTTTTTTTAAAACCAGTTTATTTACAATGTATATTTATATGTCTATGTCTAACATTAAATGAAAATCCCGTGCATGAACAACTATTGCCATGCACGCTCGTCATTCAAGTAATCGTTTAGTGAGTAATAGGGTTTGCTCAGTAAACTTATTATTACTCTTTGGTATCTTATTGTATTTTTTTATATCTATTCCCATAAAAGACCTATTGATTTTTTTTAAACGATACTTGGGGACAGCAAGTTTGTCTTTAAATCTAGTATTAATATTATGAATATTCATCGAAAACAAAGATACATACAGTACAATGGCAGTCATATAATAACCCTGGACAATTCACACAGCGCCATCTAGTCCCAAGCTGAGTACTAGGCAATTGATAGAAGTACTTATATATTTTTATATACATTGAAATGGTGTTACATCACGCTCTTCCTCGAACTACTGCCTCGGTCTAGCAGTTTAACTTACTTTCGATGGTCGTAGGTTCGATTCCTCGCACGGTGCAAACATTCGTATTAAGAAGTGTAATTGTTTGTATCTGTCTGGGTGTTTTCTATATATATTATATATATAGAAAAAACCTAGTATGTATTTGAAAAAATATATATTTATTTATATCAGTCTAGTACCCATAACACAAGCTCTGCTTACCGTGGAACTACATAGATGGCGCTGTGTGAATTGTCCAGGGTTATTTTTTTTTTTAAAGGATGATAATGGAATGTTTCACCCGCCTGCGCCAACGGTTTACGCTAGCGGGGCACCAGTGGAGGATAATTGGATGTCATGAAGTCAGATCAGTTAGCCCAACGGGACAAATTAACCGGGAATGTATCACGATGGTTTCCAGGGGGAACCGCGTGGAGGTCGATCTGACATGGTACATTGCTAGCAATGGGATCATTAGTCCACATTACTAACAATCCCCTTCCCCCCTGTCCAGGGTTATTTATTTATTTATAACAGTAGTCTAGTACCTTTAACTCAAGCTGCTTACCGTGGGACTAGATGGCGCTGTGTTAATTGTTCAGGGTTATTTATTTATTGTCTTCCTATCATCCTTTGGAGCTCCGCTGGCGTATAATGTTAGAGCAAGTGGGTGTACCATTAGGTACATTATCATATTTAAATAAATAAAACCCGACGCATTTCAAAGCAAATCGCCTGCCTTAAAATAGGTTTTTTAAAAAAGTACTAAAATCTTAGCATACTTAATCGAATTCAAATACTCTAATACTTTTTTAGTTGCTTTAATTATATTTCTCAACACAGACGGAGTAAAATTTCTCTGTCTACGGCAGTCTACAAGAACGACATCATGTAGCCAAAGACTACATAAAATTTTTTTGGTACAACAGTTTTATCGCTCTGGATGCAAGTCGTTTTGAAGCGCATTTTTTACCATAAGCCATCATCGAAAATAATAAGTTTATAATTAGCAATACTCAGTTTGAAGATATCATTTATTTTATATGTATGTTAGTCTTTAAGGTATATATAATATGAGCTTAGTTATATTGATAATATTAAGTTGCCTGAAGCAAATAAATGAATAAAAATAAATACATAAAAGTGAAGGAATGTATGTGAGTTAATGTGACCTAGACACAAAACTCTAGTCTTGTGGAACGTTGTGTATTTATAAATTTGTATAATAACAAGCTCGGCTGAACTTAGAATGATACGGGTAGTTCTTTATTCGAGTTGTATCTTTACAAATTTTTATTTTCTCAATTAATTGCTCTTTTAAATAAGTTCTCTTTCTTTTCTAATGCTTTCTAGAAAGTAGTTTCATTATGCGATTCACGATAAAATAATCAAAGTAATTAGTTACATGACACTTCAAACTTCATAATACTGGCACAAAGTGTCATTGTATTTGTAATTTTTTTTTCACATATATAATGCAGAAGATATTAAAAATATACGCAAGGCATGCAAATGTATGAAATACAAATATACGTAATGTTACTAGCGACATATATATTTAATATATCAGACAAATTATCACTGTAAGTAATTGAAACCCTTATTCTGTAGTGGATATTTGTTTTGTGTAATGTGTAAATGTGTATAATACTGGGTTGAGTGTTTGATGGAGTCAAGTATCTTTGGTTGCTCTGATAATCTTTCTTGCTCATCAGCATGCTAATCCACTTTGATACACGGGATTTTTTATTGGATATAATGGCGGATCCAGGGGGGTCATGTGGGGTCATGACCCCCTGAGCCCAGGACTTAGGTGGACCACTATGTGAACATAATGATTTTATTTATATATTTTGTCATCATACAGATTTTATGTAACCACATACCTTCAATATTTAATTAATTATATTTAAATAGTGTTTCTCTGGATGTCTTCAAGAGAAGATGGCAATATGTACAAGTTATGTGTTAAGTTTCCAAGTGTACAAAAACGAATAAATATTTTTAAGTACAGTACTTACGTACATTAATAAAATACCTACTGTTCTTGACTTGACCACGACTATGTGACCCCCTCCTGGCGCCAAAGCTGGATCCGTCCTTGATTGGATAAAGTCGGCGCGTGTTTGTCGAGCCCTATAGATAGATATGTTCAACAATTACGATACAAAAGGGGCTACAGAATGTATTACATACATCTAGAATCGTCGCCTATATACATTAACAGACTCTGTTACTATTTCTGACACCCTTGGTACCTCATTTTTAATTCCCTGACTAATCCTAACCCTCATTCAATTGTCCTTTACTAATGCCCCATGCCATAGGATAAAGCACAGCGGATGTAACAATCCATATTACCTGTTATAACGGTGTTGCTGAAATTGTAGGCAGTGTGTACAATTATTAGAAAATAGAATAGAAATAGAAACAGACTTTATTTAAATAAACTCATTACAAGCACTTTTGAATACTCATATTTTGATTCTACCACTCATTCGGAATGCAGATTCATCACAAGAAGAATGAGCAAGAAACTTGTGTGCTGCTCTTTTTAATAGATGTTTCTTTATACAAATAATTCAGTGTAACAAGTAAGAGGCATGCGATAATCAACATAGAAATCGCTACGCACTCATTCTTAGTGTAATCAGATAATATTGTCAGTGCTATGGATTTTAAGTTTTTCTATAAAAATATTATTATCGTTAACGAATTCTTTAATTTTATTTGACATTTAAATTTTTTTCTGGCAGATTTATAACAGAGTCTGGTATTTTATTGTAAAACCTTACGCAATTGCCATAAAATGAATTACTAACTTTAGCCAAACGACATTTAGGTAAAATCAGTTTGTTATTGTTACGTAAGCTTTTATTAGTGCAATCACTAACTCTTTTGAAACTGTCTATATTCTTCCTGGCATACATTGTATTTTCATAAATGTATTGAGAAGCAACGGTGAGGATATTTGATTCCTTAAAGCACTTTCGTAATGACTCCCTGGAACCCATACTATAAATGGAGCGAATGGCCCTCTTTTGTAAGATAAAATTAATAATAATAATTAATATATTCTTCCACAGATAACCAATTTATTACAAAAGTGGCGACATGGAAAAGCTAAAACCTCAATTGGGTCCAGCGTATCGGAATGCATTCCGAACTAGATCACGAATCTATGGTCAAGATGGGTGTCTTGGGAGAAATTATACTTGCATTCTAATTACTATTATATGCTTATTATCTACACTTTCTATTATTTTGATATCTGTACTGGTGTGGAAACGTTATGCTTAAATATGATTTGTAAGTTAAAATGTATTTTATTTCCCAATCAATATTAAATACACATATAACAAACATTTCTACGCAAAGGAATTACAACGAAAACAAGCATACAGTAGTATTTTGTGATGATTTAGTTATTATTTTTTATGTAACTCAGCAAGTAATCAGGATTAAGCAATGGTGGGTGAGTAAGTAATGGTAGCAGTAATCAACTAATTTAAATTCAATAATACATATCATAAATTAGATATATACAATATCGCTATAATAAGCTAGGCGCTCGAATAGAGACTCTATCATTAATAATTAATATCTATATCTTTCGTCCATTTTTATAGTATAGCACAGTTTCGCTGTATGAAGCTAATTGCTTAGTAATAAGTCGTCTGCCAGAGCCGTAAAATTATAAAAATGTTGAACCTTATCTATGATTATATACAGTGAAGTAAAAAAAAAAAGTTTTAGTACAATTTGCAAATGGCTTCTTGTCTTAACATAGCTGTACTGAAATTATTGTAGCATTATTCAATTTCTACAGTTATTTTGTAAATTTAGCTATTAATATATTCATATAAATGTACTAGGAGTTTATAATTAAGTGTAAATGATGAAATAACTATAATTATTTCACGACGTGTCTTAGCATAATGGTGTTTTTTATATGCGTGTTTTAATTTTAACACTAACGACATGACTCAGTTCTTGACACCTAATTTGCTTGCGCTGTTCGCGGCGCGGGACCCCATCCCGTATTTGCCGCCGGCAGCGAAGCTCCCGCACGAAAAGAAACAGAAAGGGTACGATGGCGTCGGCGCTTTTCTGGGAATATTTGAGGTTAGCACAGACATTAAATATTTGAATTCTAATTTGCATATAATTAATGGTCTTTACACAAACTAATCTAAGATGAGCTTTAGTACAAGCTTATCTTAGATTAGATCTATACGGATTGCTGCTAAGCAGAAGAAATTACTAGAATATTTTTGTAAATATTTCGAAAACGAAAATGAACGTAATATGCTTTAAAAAGAATAATAATAATTAACACAGCGCCATCTAGTCCCACGGTAAGCAGAGCTTGTGTTATGGGTACTAGACAACTGATATAAATAAATAAATAACCCTGGACAATTAACACAGCGCCATCTAGTCCCACGGCAAGCAGAGCTTGTGTTATGGGTACTAGACAACTGATATAAATAAATAAATAAATAACCCTGGACAATTAACACACCGCCATCTAGTCCCACGGTAAGCAGAGCTTGTGTTATGGGTACTAGACAACTGATATAAATAAATAAATAACCCTGGACAATTAACACAGCGCCATCTAGTCCCACGGTAAGCAGAGCTTGTGTTATGGGTACTAGACAACTGATATAAATAAATAAATAACCCTGGACAATTAACACAGCGCCATCTAGTCCCACGGTAAGCAGAGCTTGTGTTATGGGTACTAGACAACTGATATAAATAAATAAATAACCCTGGACAATTAACACAGCGCCATCTAGTCCCACGGTAAGCAGAGCTTGTGTTATGGGTACTAGACAACTGATATAAATAAATAAATAACCCTGGACAATTAACACAGCGCCATCTAGTCCCATGGTAAGCAGAGCTTGTGTTATGGGTACTAGACAACTGATATAAATAAATAAATGACCCTGGACAATTAACACAGCGTCATCTAGTCCCACAGTGAGCAGAGCTTGTTTTATAGGTACTAGGCAACTGATATAAATACTTAGATTGATTTTTGTTTATACAAAACACCTAGACTGATACAATCATACTCATGAATATAAATATCTATACAGTGCAAAGAATTGAACCTGCAACCATCGGAAATGAAACAGTGTGCTGAACTGCTGTTACATATACCAAACACACATACTCGTCATTCCAAAAAGCTGTAATATTAAACACAGAATAAAAGTAGTTATTAGGAAATTTTTGTTTTTAATCTATACATCTATACATATAAATGAAATTGGAGTGTTTGTTTGTAATATTTTTACTACATGCATATGATTATAACAATTTTTGACTGTCTGTCCGGCTAATCTCTGAATGGCTGGACCAATTTTGATGGGACTTTTTTGGCAGGTAGCTGATGTAATAAGGAGTAACTTAGGCTATTTTTATTTTGGAAAAAAGAGGTTAATTTCCACATGGACCAAGTCGAGTACTGCTAGTGATAACTTTAAATATATGGGGATTGTTAGTAATGTAGACTAATAACCACATTTACAATATACTTTGACTTACTTTGATTGACCTTATTGTAATTCCATTCTGGAAATCATTGTTGTAATTTACCATTTGCCAAGATGTGATCTGACTTCATGCTCTGTCATCACCTCAAGTTGATTTCCACATGGCTTCCTTGAAACTATCATGATAAATTTTTGGTGAATATGACATGAAGTTAACTGACTTGATCCTATATTCATCTTATCAATCTCAACTGGTACCCTGCTAGTGTAAACTGTTGCATCAGAAATAGCATAGGCAGGTGCAACATTCCATCCCTAGCAATGGGGCTCTAGTTTCTATTATTATTTATTGAGTTTTTATAAAGTACTAGCTGTTCCCACGACTTTGTCCGCATGGTTATTAAAAGTTTATTATTCTAGAATAAAAGTAGCCTAAGTTACTCCTTATTACATCAGCTACCAGCTAAAAAAGTCCCGTCAAAATTGGTCTAGCAATTTCAGAGATTAGCCGGAACAAACGGACATAAATTGTAAAAAATGTTATTTTGGTATATGTACCATATTTATATTCATATGCATGTAGTAAAAAACGGTGACTTCAATATTAAAAACGGACACTTCAATGTTATATGTTTATACGTATGTATAGATATGTATATGGTATGTAACGTGACCAGCACCCGTCGGAGACTCCGCCCCCGACGCGCGTGGAGACGCGCGAGGAGCGCCTGGAGCGGCGCCGCCGCGAGCGCGCCGAGCAGACCGCATACAAACTCGAACAGGAGATCGCGCTCTGGGACCCCGCCGCCAGCCCCCGCGCCACCACCGACCCCTTCAAGACGCTATTCGTCGCCAGGATCGTGAGTGCACTCCTACCATCCCTTAAACTCGAATAGGAAAACCTTTAAAGTAATAGTACTCATCTTTATTTGTCTCAAACAAAAACTGGTACGATTGCTGTCCATACGATAATAAAATTTAAAAGTAACAAAGGAGACAAAACGGTCTACGACTCGGAGGGGGCGGTGAGTCCACCCTCTCTTCTATTCTCTTATTGTCTTTACCAGTAAATTAATACAATAAGAGATCGGCGATGACGGCTTGTAATGTAATATAATGAAATAGAAATAATCTTTATTCAAATAAACTCATTACAAGCACTTTTGAATAGTCATATTTTGATTCTACCACTCATTCGGAAGGCAGACTCATCACAGAAGAATGAGCAAGAAACTTGTGTGTTGCCAGCCAAGCTCCTCCCAGAAGCACAGAAGCCTTCTGGTGTTTTCACAGACTTCACGGAGCAACACTGTTCCGAGGATTTATTAATTTTATTTATTTTTCCTTTCAGAATTATGACACCTCGGAATCAAAACTGCGGAGAGAATTCGAAGGATATGGACCAATCAAAAAGGTAATTTATTTACTCAACAGCATTACTTCCCCACCATGGGTGCTTCCCCCCTTAAGGGGAAGAGGGTGGGCAAGGTGTAATACCTCAGAACTTGTGACAGCATGACTTTCCACTGTATTAATTAATTAAATTTAGTAATTAATTTGAAATTTTTCGTTGTATGTTTTGAAAATTTACTTAAAAATTTCCTATTTCATCCTAAAATATATTATTTAAGTTATAAATTACTGACAGTGAACAGTGCAATTTTTTTATCTTATAAATTACTGGTTAATCCCACAAACATTGTTGTGACATATGTTAAAATCGCTATTAAAAATAGGTTAGTACCACATTATAAAAAACTAAAAAAAGATAGACTAGGGTCATGGCAGTAGTCAGTCAGTGGCTTAAAACACTGACTGACTACTGCAGTGAACTTTTGAACAGTCTTTTTTTTTAATCTACCGTTCAGTCGGAAAGCATCATCACAAGAAACTGCGTGTGATGATGCTTATTTATTTCATGCTCTATTTAGAAATATGGTCCTTATTTTAAGCTAAATTTAATCTTTTCAGATATACATGGTATATAATAAAGAGAATGACAAACCGCGTGGCTACGCCTTCATAGAGTACGAGCACGAGCGGGACATGCACTGTAAGTCACACACCTCAGTACATGTATGTGCGGGCCCCTCCACGCGCGGGGAGAAATGGCCGTAAGAATGGACAGAATATCGCGCAGTTAATGTCAAATCTGGTGACGTTAAGGTTTTAACCTTAACGGCTAGCTCATCAGGCGGGAGTTTGCTTTCAGACGTTCCTTTACTCCAAAAGTTCCCAAACTTTTTTGTGTCGTTGACCCCTTGCCATATTTTTCGGTTTTGGGTATACCCCCCATTCTTACCTGGTATTGATTTGTTGTAAATTTCTAACTGTAGTAAAGTTTAGTGTTGACCCTTGCAGTTTGTCATAGACCCCTGGGGGTCGATATAACCCTCTTTGGGAATCACTGCTTTAGTCCCTCTGTGGGTTTAAAAATGAACAGAATATCGCGCACTTACATATCCGTCAGGCCAACTGGCCTTCAGTCGCTTCCTATTGCCATCTGCACTCGCCCCCTATCGCGAGGTGAAGCTGTAAAGGTCAGCTGCAAACAACAGCATTAGAATAGTTTGAAAAAAAGCAAAATTAAATCAAAAAGAGAATACCATTCGTCTATACCGGTATTATATTGAATACGCGGTAATTATCGATTAATATGTTAAATACTACATTTATACAATTAGAATACAGTCAATTTATGCGTTATAAATAACTGAATACATGCATATATTTAAATAAAAATAGAATACTGTCCGCCTACAATTGTATAATGTGATTTATCGATTAATATGTTAAATACTACAATTATACAATTAGAATACAGTCAATTTATGCGTTATAAATGACTGAATACATGCATATATTTAAATAAAAATAGAATGCTGTCCGCCTACAATTGTATAATGTGATTTATCGATTAATATGTTAAATACCACAATTATACAATTAGAATACAGTCAAACTATGCGTCATAGATGTCTGAATACTTAAATAGCGCAACAGAATACACGTTTGGAAGTGTATGCTTTGTAATTACGAGCCATTTCTCTCTGAATACCGTACATACTTTGAAAATCATCGTCATAATATGTTAATAATGGTATTTAATACAATCTTTGAATACAACTGTGAAACATTGGTTTCAATATATGTATTATTTATTAACCGGAACAATTTTTTGTACTTATTTTATTTCTGTATGCTTTTTTTGTGTGAAGTACTTAATAATGATAATTAGTAGGTTTATAAACAAAATAATATTATTTTATTTTCGTAGCATTTATTTGCGTGTTTTATTTTCGCTTCGCTTTTTTTTTATTTTCTGTGTAATACATGTTCATATATAATTTGCAAACATTATGTAATCGATTGATAACCTTAATTTCACAGTGATAGAGTTTATTTTTGTAAAAATACGATTATGACGGTGAATATTCTCAAAGTCATACACGTGACGATGAGAATACAGACCTTGTTGGAGGCGAGTTTTGTGTTCTTTTCTAGTTTAAAGCAATTTGAACCTTATAATAAATATCCAAGTGTAATTATTGGATCGTCAGTGTATAGGAATACGGTTCATTTTCATCTGTTTATTGTGAAATATCTACGGACATTTATTTATTTAAGCTTATTGAATATTTTACACGGCTTTAGTTGGTGGGCGCGGTGTCTGTACGTTATCTGTAAACGCTTTATAAGTATTTAAAAGTTTCGTTTACTAGTTTTATCAGATTCTTTAGGTATATCAATTTTTAGATTGCATCAACTATTTGTGAGTTTATACATTGTAAAGAAACAAACATACAAAACATATATGTTAATATTAGAGAACACTACTCATTCTCACAGAGAAGACAGAGAAGACACATATTCTCATAGAGAAAAGTACAGATGGTATGGCGCAATAAAGAAAGATTTACAAAGTCAGCTTTTTTATGAATGTGCATGGGTGCATGGTTATAATGGTCGAAAAGGCCGAAACTGAGATGGATGGACTTTGTGAAACATGATATAGCAAGAGAGGGAGTGAATAACGAGATGACTGCGAACAGGGATGAATGGAAGAGAAAAACATATTACGACGACCACAAATGTATGGGATGATGAAGTAGCAGTTGATGATACAATGTTAGCTGTTTTCCGCGATCTCGTCTGCGTAGGGGAGGGGGGGGGGGTTGGGGTTGGGGAAGAGGGGAAAGGGGATTATTAGTAATAGGGGTAGTGACCGTATTGGACCTCCACGCCGTTCTCCAGGAAAGCATATTTGTTAAGTCCTGTAAGTAATTTTGTTCCTATTATATGGTCCAGTGTGAATAAGCCTTCTTTATTTTTTTTTTACTTGGAGAAAATCCCTAATGGAGACCCGCTCGTCCCGGGGGAGGCAAGCGGTGCGATCCTACTCACTAATATTTCCAAGGTATCCCGACGAAACGCCTATTGCCGGAGTCCCGGGATCGAATGTTAGTCCACCGCAACTCCGGCGGAGTGTGAATAATTCTCCAACTTGCTCCATCAGGACGAGTATTCTCAAGGTCATATAGATAATGCTGAGAATACAGATCTTGGAGGCGAGTTGTATTAATTTGTAGTTTAAAGAAATTTAAACCTTATAGAAAATATCTAAGTGCAGTTATTAGATCGTCAGTATATAGGAATACGGTTCTTTTTCGTCTGTTTATCGTGAAGTATCTACGGACTTTAGTATATATAAATTTTGTTTTGTTCCTTTATATATACATGTATGTACTCTTGATTTCATTATTGTTTCACGCAATACATAACTATTCCCAAGCAACAACAACACAATAAATTTGAAAGATTTTACTTTTTATTCCACAATCACTGCGCCTAATAGTCTTTCTGTTTGTTCCATTTTTCTCCTCCTTTGATGTCATCGGAACGTCTTTTCCCTCTTTCCCTGTCTCCTTACTCGTCTTTTGCCGATCCTAGCTTTTTTGTTAATTCTACAACCCATTAAAAATAATTATCTCAGAACACTCACACAGCGCCATCTAGACCCAAGTTAAGCTGACTAAAGCTTGTGTTATGGATACTAGACAACTTATTTGTTTTGTAAATACACTACTATTATACATAGAAAAAATCCAGACCGATACAAACAAAGATACTCATGAATACAATAGTTTGTCCCGTGCGAGGAATCGAACCCGCTACCATCGGGAGTAAGGCGGTGTGCTAACTACCATACTAAACGATCCATATAGCCATCTCCTTTCGATATCTACAGATAACCGCGTCCGCCAAAATTCAGCTCAATACGAACTATAGACAATAAAATAAATCACCTCCAAAAAGGTCGACACTCGAAACGTAAAGTTCAACCGTCGGTGTAATATACGAGTGACATTATCTATGATTAATAAGTGGTTTTTTTCTATTTCACAACACAGACCCAGCCGTATTGAGCCACAAACGAGTAAACCGGCCATTCTGAATAGGTTTGTATGTGGTAAGATGCCAACATACAAATATTGAATTATAAAACTGATAGTAGTGTCGTAATCTCTTTATAACATATAGGTGCCGTGGTAGAACCAACGGTGTTGAATGCAACTTGTTCTACTAACTTCTATAGTAGTCGAGGTCCGGTTGTAATGAGGAAAACCAAATAGAATAAGAATCTTTATTCAAAACTAACTGTGAACTATATTCTGATGCATAAGCTATATTACTGTAGTTTTATCAAAATTCATTGAGTAGTTTTTGCGTGAAAGAGTAACAAACAACCACACTCGAAATCTTTTGCGTTTATTATATTATAAGATTAGATAAACTTAATATAAGCATATTCATATTGAGTTCTATTTGCAAACTATAATTGGAGAATATTGAAAAACTAATGCCCGATTTACACTCAGCCCGAGTGGGCAGGGAAGTGAGCAGCGCGAGAGTGTAAACACGAGTGGAAACACTTCCCAGCGCTGCCACTCGCGCTGCCCGGCGCTCCCTCGATTGTCGGCTTTTCGTGCGCGAGTCAAAGGAGTGGCAGCGTGTTTTCACATTCAGCTCTCTCGCTCAGTTGTCGCCCGGCAACATTTCCGGCAGCGCTAGTGGCAGGGGAGGCGACTAAATGTACGTAGCATAAGATTGCGTTGGCACGTTCAGTGCGTACGAACATTCGGCGCCGTTCGATTGGCGTATTTTCAAGATGACGGGGCGTAGCACCCGACGCGGTTCGACACGATTTGTCGATTATTGATTACAGTCGTGAGTTGTAAACGCTGTTATTGAGGTTTTAAATGAAACTACCGTTCATTAGCTACCTTTATATTGATTGAGTAAAGCCTATTACTCACTAAACGATCACTTAAATGAGAAACGTGCATTTCAATAGTTGTTCATGCAAGAGCTTTTTATTTAATGCTAGACATAGACACCTACATATATAAGAGTACAATGTATATAAACTGACTATTAAAAAAGAATTTCAGTCGAGTTTCCTGCCAGTTCTTATCAATTGAATGTGTATACTGAACTGGACGGTTGGGAAAAATATAAATATTTGACGTTCATAAGCGGCTAAAATGTCCTACATAATTGTATGTATTTTGATTTAATTTGAATATATACTCGAGATTTTGGGTATGTAATATATTACGAATAAAACGGCTTTAAAAAAAAAAGTTCAGTCCAGTTTCTTGCCAGTATTCTCAATTGAATGTGTATACTGAACTGGACGGTAGGGAAAGAATATTAATAAAAAAAATAACGGCTAAAATATCCTACATGAATGGAAAATGTATTTCGATCCGATTTGATTTTCAACACCGTTACCCTACCACGGTCGGCCACTTTTTAATTTGAGTGGTTTATATATTAATAAAAGGTGTATCTGACACTCACAAACTAACAGCGACTGTACTACCCCCTCACACCTACCAGGTCCCCCGATCGATCCCCCGTCCGTTTCAAATGGGGATCGAAATTATGGCTTGACCCGAGGTTCGAAACACTAACGTTGCCCTCAGACGAAAGTCGTATCCGTCAGGTGGGAGTTGTCCTTCAGCCGCTCCATAAGTCCTTCCTTTGATTTTGAGTGCCATCTGCACTCGTCTCCTATCGTCCGGTGAAGCTGTAAAGGCCAGCTGCGGCCAACAGCATTAGAGTAGTCCGAAAAAAACCCTATGACGACATAACAAGTACAGTCCTATTTGTTTGCTGACGTATCAGTCCGCCGATTATTGGTATTCTTTTTTTATTATTTAAAAAGTTAATTGCGCATCGGATAAGTAAGTAAAGCGCACCAGGTAAAGTCGCCTTGTGTCACGGATTTTTGAAATAGTAATTGTGAAAAAAGTAAGTAAGTGACGCCATTTTGTTTGTGGTAGTTAATAAAAAGGTAGGTATGAAATGGTGGGTATTTTGGATTATTATAAATTTGTTGGTCTCTCTCGGCTCGGTCGGTAGGTATGTACTGTATTAATGTTATGTTATATAAACTGTATACGATATTCACTTTGCCTCGTTTGTTTTTTTTTATAATAAAAAAATAAACGTGACCAAGTGGTCTTAAAAAAATGTATAATTTTTTCTCAATATATTAGAATTTATGTTGTTTTTTTATTATAAAAACGATGTGAATTTTAGTATTCTCGATTTATATTTTTTTATTATTGTTTGTATCAATAATTTATGTATATATATATTTATATATTATATAATATCGACAACGAAAAACAGTAAGTTATTAGTTTACATGGACTATAGTATTATATATTGCCAGTTTTTAAATATAAATAATAAATGTGAAATATATAAATAGTTCATGTAAACGTTCAAATATTGTGATATATTTATTAATAATGTGCAAGTCTGAATTAATTAATTGGATACTTATTACAATTATCATTTCATTTATGATACAGACAGACAAGACGATTTTCAATACACAGTACATAAAAAACAAATGCATATCAATTTATAGTCTGTTTTTTAATCTCGGATACTATATTGCCGTCAAATTTCCTACAATATACAATGAGAAAATAGCTCACTGAGGACAATAGACAATTTAGATTTACTTTGAAACAATATTTATTAGACAAGAATTCTGAACGACGTAGATTAGTTATTTTTTATAATCCTACTGTAATCTAAATATATAACTCAAAGGTGACTGACGTAGTGATCTATCAACGCACAGCCCAAACCACTGGACGGATCGGGCTGAAATTTGGCATGCAGGTAGATGTTATGACGTAGGCATCCGCTAAGAAAGGATTTCGATAAATTCCACCCCGAAGGGGATAAAGTCACGCGAGCGAAGCCGCGGGAAAAAGCTATTGTTTTCAATCATATTTATAAGTGTAATTGCAGAAGACAGTGAAACTTACTGTTTCTTAAGACTTTTGTAACCTGTACTTCACAAATAATGAATTTGGATTTGAATATAACGATCATATATTCATACACACCTATACTTTGTTAATATTGTGTAAATGCGTATTAAATGAACACCCACCACCACACATTATTTGAGTGTAACCGATATAAATCGATAATTAATATTAAAATTTAATCGTGCCACAACACTATTTAAGAATCGCAAAAAGATGCCAACATAGATAATGTCAAATTTGTCTGAGTTAAAAAGCAGACGGATATAAATGACTGAATGCCAAGAATACCAGTGTGACTTCACTCAAGTTAGAATTTAAAAATAATAACGAATTAGGATTCAGACTCGCACAGCTCACACGGCTATACTATGCTAATCACCCGGCTATGTTTACAGCTGCGTACAAACACGCTGATGGTAAGAAAATCGACGGTAAACGCGTGCTGGTGGACGTCGAGCGCGCCAGGACTGTGAAGGGGTGGCTCCCGAGGAGGCTGGGTGAGTGTATTCATATTACTTGTTATACATTCATTCTTTCATTCATTCATTGTTATTCATAAATGTGAAAGTAGGGATGCTTGGTACTCTTCGGCCAGTAGTCCTCCTTCATGAAGGTAGCCAGCATGTTGGTGGGGACCCGGGCCACGAACGCCTTGAAACACGCGTTGTGACTCGACTCCAGGTGCCTCACATTCAATGTCAGGATACTCCTGGTAGTCGACAATGTCCTGTTCCTTGTAGGCGTGGTGTAGTCGGAATAGGGTTACTATGATCGGTGTAGCAGCACGGAGTAGGAACTTGGGACCATTAGGTGCAGTGCCACAGATTAGTCCTCTAGTACCACTTTTGTTTCATGATGAAGCCATCATCATCACGTTTACCAGTAGCAGCATACATAGGGTCAGTGCTCAGTGTTTTTGGCATACACTGATGAACTAAAATCAAATATGTTGCAAATTGTTGTATGCCCGATAGGGTGAAACTGTTGATACATAAACTATAATATTTATAAAACTATTCTATCTACATAATATTGGATTGTAAGCATAGTCGAGTTTTATTATAAAATATTATTTTTAATACTTACTATGTTTTCCCATACTAAATATTTTTTAATACAATTTTATTTTTTTTGTTCTACGTTTACATTAATATTAATAATATTTTGAAAATATAATTGAAATTCAAAAAATGCCAGCAAATTGACAAGTTACTTTAAAATATTGCAAAATTGTTATACCACCTACAAAAAAATGTACCCACACAGTTAGCAATAAAGATATATTCTATTCTATTCTATTCTATTCTAATGGTTTGCTAGCGACGATGGTAAAAAATCTCATTTTTGTCACCGTCGGATAACTAACCGTTAATAACCACATTTTGTCGATAGTTAACTGAAGAGGTTTCCAATGTGTCTGATGAGTGAGAGGTGTTGAGGGTTTTGATAAGGAAAATACGGAGATAAAATAATATGCGACTAATATGATAGCGATATATAATAGAAAGTTACAAAAAATAATATATAAAAAAAATCTTATATATAAAATTCTCGTGTTACAGTTTTCGTTCCCATACTCCTCTGAAACGGCTTGACCGATTCTCATGAAATTTTGTGAGCGTATTGAGTAGGTCTGAGAATCGGCCAACATCTATTTTTCATCCCCCTAAATGTTAGGGGTAGTCCACCCCTAATTTTTTTTTATTTTAAGGCAAAACAACGTTTGCCGGGTCAGCTAGTATAATTATAAAATTCAAAAATAGTATAAAACCTAACCTATTCGCTAAAGTTAACCATAAATTTGGTTAAATAGTAATAATAATGATAAATAATTTTATTGAGCAAAAAAAAAACAAATACAAAAGGAACTTAACTAAGGTTATATATCTATATTAATTCCATATACATACAATAGTTTTTAAAACTATTTAATATATAAAATAACGGTAGCTAACGGGTTTTGACAACTATTCGTGTGATCGCAGGCGGCGGTCTGGGTGGCACGCGGCGCGGCGGAGCGGACGTGAACATCAAACACTCGGGACGAGAAGACAACGAGCGGGAGCGGGAGCGGTACAGGCTCGAACAGCGAGACAGGGACCACCACCACCGCGCGGACCGTGAGTACACCTACACCACACACCGCCACCCTCACCACGCACACGGGAGGGGAGCGGTACAGGCTCGAACAACGAGACAGGGACCACCACCACCGCGCGGACCGTGAGTACACCTACACCACACACCGCCACCCTCACCACGCACACGGGAGGGGAGCGGTACAGGCTCGAACAACGAGACAGGGACCACCACCACCGCGCGGACCGTGAGTACACCTACACCACACACACACCACACTCAATACCATCTTTACCATAAGGGCACACGGGGCCCGTGCCCAGGGGTCGTATTCTCAGGGGTCCCCGAAGGACTAACAATTTTTCTCACACAATTATTCTCAAAAGATTTTTGTACACTTCCACAAATCAGTAATGTTATCAGAAGGTATTTACAAGACATATACTACTCCATTATACCGATTACTTCGCATATTCCTATGTTCTTATATCTAATGAGCTTTTTTTTTTTCCTTTCCAAAAGGGCCCCGAATTCTTGTGTGCCCAAGGGCTCCAGCCTAGTTTAAGACTGCGGTGACTATACTGCACGAAAATAACAGACTCAAGTCTTCCGCACTTTGCTACCTTACCCTCTGTGGTCTAGCGGTCTAGCACACCGCTTTACGTCCGATGGTCGCGGGTTCGATTCCTCGCACGGCACAAACATTTGTATTCATGAGTATGATTGTTTGTATCGGTCTGGGTGTTTTCTATGTATATTATGTATGTATTTACAAAAAATATATATCTATGTATTTGTATCAGTTGTCTAGGACCCATAACACAAGCTTTAGCTAGCCTAACTTGGGTCTAGATGGCGCTGTGTGAATTGTCCTGAGATTATTATTATTAAGTTTATTCGACGTTGACGGTAGGTGGTGCTGGTAACGCGGCGGGCGCCCGGCGACGGTCACGGTCGCGGTCACGGAAACGATCCCGGTCGCGGTCGCGGAGGAGGGAGCGGGAGCGGCCCAGGGAGGAGGAGACTGAGAGGTGAGGAGGTTTTTTTATATTTTCATGTAATTAGAGTGGCAGTGAAGGTGGTGAGTTGATGATAAGTGTTAGCAGAAAATGCCTGAAAACCAGCGCTGTATAGGTGCACCTCATTGAGGTTATTGTTAGTATTGCGGGTGAATAATACTATGTTGCTGGTCGAGACGATGTATATTACAGATGATAATAAACAGACAATATGTACATAGAAATAATGATCTTATATACTAAATAACAATAGGAACATGTAAGGTGGGGTGACACAGTTTAGACACAGCAGTGCCTAGTACACAATATTGAGTTTGTCTTACTAGACATTATTAAATGCAATTATTATTTTGATGTATCTAGGTGACTGTGTCCCATAGTAAGGTGAACTGATGATCTTATTGCTAGCAATGTACCATGTCAAGTTGACCTCGCGGATCCCCTGGAAACCATCGTGATAAATTCTTGGTGAATTTGTCACGGTGTGCTAACTGTCCTGACCTCATGTTCTTATCATCCTCCACTGGTGCCCCGCCAGCGTAAAATCTTTGTTTTTTTTAATGAGTAATGGGGGCTGCCTGATAACCAGCGCTGTATAGGTGCACCTCATTGAGGTTGTGCTTATAACAGCAACAGCTGAGGCAGCTCCTGTTTATTTATTTATTTAGGAAGATTAACGGTGTATTCTTACATGTTACTTGTCATATCAAATTACAATAGGACATGCCACTTAATAATCTTGACAATAATCTTGTAAAATTGCCAATAGTTGACAACTTTGGATGTTGTTTTTTATTTTGTGTATTATTTCTGTTATGTTGGCAATCAATTATCTATCTATACATCTATACATATAAATAAAATTGGAGTGTCTGTTTGTAATATTGAAATAACCGTGTTAGTACATGCATGTGAATATAAATACGGTACACACACCAAAATAACATTAATTATTTACAATGTATATATATATATATATAGGTGTCTATGTCTAACATTAAATGAAAATCCCGTGCATGAACAACTATTGGCATGCACGCTCGTCATTCAAGTAATCGTTTAGTGAGTAATAGGCCTTGCTCAGTAAATATGATTTACCAGATGTTTTGAATTTTTTAAGGGTGAATCCAGTATATACTGAAAGTAGAATCTATATACTGAACTGGACGGTAGGAAAAAAAATATGATATAAAAAAAAATACTTTCATAAGCGGCTGAAGTGTCTTACATGAATAATGGGTTTTGGATTTGATATATGTAACAAAAACGGGGAAATATGACACAGATGAGATTGCGCTGGTCATCTACCATAAATTCTAGATTTATGATTTAATTTTCTCATTGCTTTCTTGATTTAATTGATTGATTTTAGAAATATGAAAGCGTAGCGGTTATTGTATTGATTGCCGCATGCATTCTTATGTAAAATGTGAATACTATAACTATCAGATGGCAATTGTAAGTAGCTTTGACGTAGTCTAGTGTTTTGAGTAGTCATGCTCACTAAAATGTCCAGACTTGTGGCGGCGTGGTGGGCCGGGTCATTGGGCTCCCTAAAATATGGTCGAGCGCAGTGATGGCTGGCTCATCCGTCATACTCGTGAACGGGTGCTGCTTGTAGGGACTGGTCTGCTCTAATCACTATGACTGATTTCCTCTTATTAATTGTTTAACCAGTTGGTTATGTATTCAATATTTTTTCTATTTGAGTATTTAATAGAATTAGTGCTAATTGGTGGTTTGTATTCACACACTTGAACTTAAAAATGTAAAGTAATAATAAAATTATTTAAAAGAGCAACACGCAAGTTTCTTGCACGTTCTTCTTGTGATGAGACAGCTTTCCGAACGAGCGGTAGATTAAAAAATGTAATGACTATTCAAAAGTGCTTCAATGTAAGTTTATTTGAATAAATTATTTTCTATTCTATTCTATTATATTCTAGAGTACTAGCTGTGCCCTTGGTTTCACCCGTATGAAATTTCTATTGTTTTATTTCCAGACGCCGCCGTCGTTCTCGCTCCCGCTCGGAGCGCAGGCGCGAGCGTCGTGATCGGGACAAAGAACGAGATCGGGATCGGGATCGGGATCGCGACAAGAAGAGGTCGAGGCGCGACAAGGAGCGGAAGGAGCCCAAGGTCAAACCCGAGGATATTAAGATCAAGGAGGAGCCCATGGACGGTCAGTGCTGTCAACATGCATAAATACATCTATACATATAAATAAAATTATAGTGTCTGTTACGGAAGGAAGGAAGGACTGTATTAGGGCTGGTTAAAAATGAGACACGTTCCTAGGTGAGGTAAAATAGATGTAATCAGCTCGCTAGCAAAAATATGAAGACAATATGGCATAAGAAAACAAACGGTATACAAAAACAAAACGTCAAAATATAAAATTTAAATATATATAAAAAACATAAAAACTATCAAAAAGTCTGTTTGTAATATTGAAATAACCGTTTTTTACTACATACATATGAATATAAATACGGTACATATATCAAAATTTTGTATATGTTTACAAAAATGTGTATTTTTTGCAATTTACAAAATTTTGGTCTTTTCAAATAACAACATTTATTTGAAAAGAATAAGCGCCGAGTTTCTTTACAGTTCTTCTCATATCGAAATCATTCCGAACTGACGGTAGATTTGACATATCATAAGAGTTTGTAATAGGTCTATACAGACTCTTATGATATGTCAAATAATATCTATAAATTCAAGAAATTAAGTAGAGTTTCTTGTCAATTCTTCTCAATTGAATCTGTATACTGAACTGGACGGTAGGGAAAGAGTATTAATACAAAAAACTTATTAATTAAATTCACAGATTATCCGGAGTTCAGTCTGCCGCCGATCGACGTCCAGATCAAGCAGGAGCCGCACGACGACGAGAACAAATACAACCCGGAGGACGCCAACGGGGACGACTACAACTACTAACCGGACCGGACCGGGCCGGACCGGACTGTACCCGACCGGACGGGACCGGACCGGTCTGCACCGGTCCGGATGGGACTGGTCCGGACCGGACCGGACCGGACCGGACTGGACTGCACCGGTCCGGATCAGACCGGACCGGACCGGACTTCACCGGTCCGGATCGGACTGGACCGAACCGGACCGGACTGCACCGGTCCGGATCGGACTGGACTGGACCGGACCGGACCGGACGGGGATTATAGTGACGCATATATTAATACATGGAGTGGTGTGATATATATAGACACATTAACAGAATATAAACTTTATTGCCCGCGGTAATCCTTTTGTTTATGTTCCCGCGGGAAATTTAAGACGTTTATCGGATACAGATGTAATAAAAGTTGCGATAATAAAATAAAATTGTAATAAAAATGACAACACGTTTTTATTATGATTTTAATGAAGGTTGTCGTTAACAAGAGAAATAGGAGTTCAAAATGAATCATTTTAATGTTTTCTTTTCTTTATTAATAATACATAGTGATCATTTTAAATGTATGCGTAAATTAGTTTTTTTTAGAAAACCATACATTGTATGTAAGGATGTTTTGACACGGTTCTATACGAAAGTTATTTTCAATAAAAAATATAGCCAGTATGTTATTCTGATGTATTACTGTAAAGTTTTACCAAAACCCGTTCAGTAGCTTTGGCGTGGAAGAGTAACAAACATACTCACAACCTTTCGCGTTTATAATATTATTATATATATATATATATATATTACCCGGTTAATAACAAAAATAATGTGTAATAAGTACAGAAGTTTAAAATTAACACGAATTGTGAATTTTGTTATATATATTTGAAATACCATTGCACTCGTGTAAACCCGGGTCGAGTTGCTAGTATAAGGTAGTAGTGGTATCCACCATTCACCGTCCGCGTCCACTCACTGTCCGCAAAATAGGTTAAATAAATATATGACTAAGTATATGTGTTTTATTTATAACCCTGGACAATTAACACAGCGCCATCTAGTCCCACGGTAAGCAGAGCTTGTGTTATGGGTACTAGACAACTGATATAAATAAATAAATAACCCTGGACAATTAACACTGTTTCGGAAGTATTAAAATAAATAATATTTCTTAAATAAATATAGCCTAAGTTGTAAAGTCCCGTCGAAATCGGTCCAGTTACAGAGATAGGAATAACAAAGAGTTACATAAATTTGTAATGTCTGTTTATTTTAAAATTGCAGTTTTCAGCAATAGATAAAGTAATTCAAAAGGAAGGTTTATATGTATAATACATGCGTGTTATATAGTAAAGAACAAGCCGAGAAGTACAAAGTTTTATAATGCATCTGTGCGAAGTCGGGACTGGACCCTAGTGCGTAATAAAGAAGAAAATTTGATAGATAGATAGATAGATAGATAAGTTCTTTATTCAGCCATTACAAACACATAGCATACATGAGATACATTTTATAAATAGAAATAAAGTTTACAGATTAAATAATACAGAAATATGGTATTACAAAATAAAAAAAAAATAAAATAAAAATGGAGGTGGCTTTATGTGTCGCAATGATGAAGAGGCAACCAACTCAGCATGAAGCTACAGATAAGTCTGCAGCGCTGATATTCTGTTGGCTCCTATAATTAAATACATACTTACATACATATATACGTGAATGTTTATATATTACACTTCGAGCTCTTAAAAAATTATACTATTACAAAACATTATACAATATACAAATAGATTAAAAATGAAGTGGTGTGTTATGTATACATATATTGTTAACCTATAGATACATACTACGTACATAAATAATAGTTGTTGTTAGCATATACAAGGTCGCTGGCTAAACGCGCCGTGAGTCAGACATTATTGTTCCTGACCATGCTTACCGACTTCGGTCGTTGAAAAAAAGACTCCTCAGATAAAGGACCTCCTATTTAAAGTCAGTTGTTCAGACAATAAGTGTTTTTTTAAAAGGTTTTTAAAATTCACTTTAGTTTTTATATTACGAATGGGAGGAGGTAAGTTATTCCAACACTTGGAGGCCATATATCTGAAACTGCCTCTGAAGGCAGTAGTCCGATGTGCTGGAGTCACTAGTCGATACAACGAAGCCCTGGTTTTAAAAGCATGCTGATTGCCAGACCACACAAGTTTTCTATAAAGGTAATCAGGCATTTTGGATTCAATGACATCAAACAACAAAGTCGCAAAATAAAGGTTGTAACGTGAAGACATATTTAGTAGTTTAGCATTATTGAGATAAGGAGAGACATGACTACGCGGTGGTATACGGAAGCAAAAACGGGCGCATGCATTTTGTACACGTTGGATAAGCCGCCGTGATCTAGCTAGTGTACATGAACCGAAAACAGCTAAACCGTAACTCAGCTTGGACAATATCAGAGAATCGCACAGTCGAACACGTAGATCAGTTGAAAGATAATTTCGAATTTTGTACAATATCTTTAGTCTGTAGAAGCAATTCCCCACACAATCTAGGACATGGTTTTCGAATTTAAGACCAGAGTCCATTAGTAGACCCAGATTGCGCGTTTCAGTTACTTGCAACAGAGGTGTACCTTCTACTGTTATAACTGGTGTTTGATTTTTAATTTTTTGTACCTGCAATTTAGAACCCAATATCATGAATTTCGACTTAGCCGGATTCAAAACAAGAGAATTTTTATTACACCAGTTCGATATACGGAAAAGTGTTGAGTTCAATATTCTAACCGCCATGTTTGTATCTTGAGGATTTATAGACATGTAAACTTGTAAGTCATCCGCATATTGGTGATATAAACATCCTTCACAGTATCTAGCAATGTCAGCACTATACAGAATGAATAAGAGGGGACCCAGAATTGATCCCTGCGGGACTCCTCGCGTCAATACTCTAGGTTTGGAATATAGTAGAGTGCCGTTGTTCTGTGTTACCTTTACGAGCTGATGACGATTACTGAGGTAACTATCAAACCAGAGTATTGTTTGCCCATCAAATCCATAGTATCTAAGTTTTGAAAGTAACAGATTTATATTTAAACATTCGAAAGCTCTCGAAAAATCGAGCAAAGTAAGCAAGGTACCATTTCCCTTATCCATAGCCGCCAAAACATTGTCCACAACATCCAATAATGCAGTGATCGTACCTCTTCGTTTTCTAAATCCAGATTGAAAAGGTGGTAATATGTTATTGGCTTCCAAGTAATAGGACACTTGTAGATGGACAATCCTTTCCAGGACTTTAGACAAAAAAGGTAATATGCTAATCGGTCGCAAATCTGATAAGTTTGATGGGTTGGTAACCTTAGGGATAGGACATACCACCGCTGTTTTCCATATTGCAGGGAATGTTGAAGACTCTATAGACTTATTAATTATGAAAGTAATAATGTCCAGTGTCCTAGGGAGTGTTAAAAGCATCATATCTTTAGATATATTATCAATGCCCAAAGCATTTGATTTTATTTGTAGCATAATTTTACCTACTGTAAGTGTGTCAACAGGTTTTAAATTGAAAGTAGATGAACCACACCTATGATGCTCAAAGTAAGTCAGATCGGATATGCGAACTTCGTCAATACCTGGAGTTTTTAAAAAATGATCGTTAATTTTATCCGGATCGTTTACAGACAAGGGCAAGCTGTTCACCTTTGTATTAGGTAAAGCAGTCTTTTTTAAGTTTGACCATAAAGATTTGGAATCCTTAATTTTTTTATTAATGTTATATTCGAAATAAGCCTTCTTTTCAAAATGCATACCGACATTAACAAGATGTTTTAATCTTTTATATTCGTCCCGCAGTACCACATTGTCATGCTTTTTAGACTTTGCATGAGCTGAATCCCGTAATTTCATCATGAGCCGTACATTGCTTGTCAGCCACGGTTTATGTTTATCCCTACATAAGACTTTTTTTACCGGAGCGTGGCAATTAAAGAGCTCAGTTACATATGCATTGAAGCAGGTCACCATATCAGTCACTGTATCTAAGTAGCGGATTGAATCCCATGGAATTGTATCTAAATCTTTATTGAACGATGTCATATCTATATTTTTTATTGGCCTATATAACTTATAAAGTGGCGATTGTTTCTTTTTTGTTATTTTAAATTGCGCATAAACCATTGCATGGCCGCCGAGCTCAGGTATATGATCAATGCAGATATTTATAACAGGAGTATCAGTACAAATAAGGTCAATGAGAGACTCACTAGTCTGTGTAAAGTGTGTAGGCTGAGTGATGTAATTTTGTAGACCCAAGGATTTTAAAAAAGAGTTTAATTTATGCGAATTCTGTTCCGAGTTATTCAGCAAGTTGATATTAAAATCTCCCAATAACGCAATGTGATCATAGCTTGAGATGGATGATATACTCTCAGTTAACGCATCGAAAAACAAGTCGACATCCAGCCACGGGGGTCGATAAGCCGTTCCAATGATTATCCGTAAGGATTTGATTGTTAGGGATAGCCACATTTGTTCCACTGAGGGTGTATATGGTACATTGCGGAGCACTCTGACATTTACTCCCTGACGCACATAAAAACCAACACCACCACCACGGCCGCGGATTGTTCTGGGACGGGGAACGTGACGTAAAGTGTACCCAGGTAATGACGGAGCACGTCCCTCTTCTCCGGGCCGAAGCCACGTCTCGTTTATAGCTAATATATCAGGGGAATGTCGCCCTACTGCAACCTCTATCTCGTCATGCTTTGTACCCAAGGATCCGGCATTAAAGAGACCAATCTTTAGGTATCTTTGTTTAAACACGTTGAAGATAAACATAATGTATAAATAAATATATGTTTTGATTGTATGATGTGATGCCCAAGAATAGAAATATTAATTTATAAATACTATTGAGGCGAACTAACAAAGTATGTCTTGCAAAATAATTAGCATTGTATATTTGATCTCGATTGATGTATGTTTGTGTTACGTGTTGTGATGAAAAACTAATGTAAAAGACCGATAAATTATGTGATGTTGTGATGATGTGAAGTATGGACATAAAACTTAAGTAAATTAGTTCAGTTAATTTAAATTCACACAAACCAACAGAGAGACACAAAGCCACCCAAGGAACAAGTACAAAATTAAGAAGTCTGTAAAAAATAGAGATGCAATGTAATGATGAAGAACACAATTCATTTAAAACATTATTGAATGTATACAGGTGAGGCATCGGTACTAAAAATGCGATCTATATCTGCCTGCTGACGAATCGTGTGAACAGGAGAAAGTACATCGCGCCTAACATATACCCGGCCATTCCTGGTCCAGACAAATCGCCATCTCTGTCGCCTGGTAGCCTCGCGCGCCCTCCCAAATAAGCTGCGGTTTGTTTTTGTAAGTCGTTCATTGACATATAGGCGCTGCGGTTCATGCTGGGGCAAACCCATATCAGCAGTAGACGCATGTCTGCGTACCCGTGCGGCTCGCAGGAGCTGATCTCGAAGGAGACGTCGTGTTAGTCTGACGGCAAGCGGGCGCGGGCGTGGCACCCCTTCAGTTGCGTCACCGCCGGTAGATGTACCCCGTCGTAGACCCACGCGCGAGGCACTGACGATGTCACGCTCGTCCATGCTTATACCCAATTTGGCAGCCACCGTGATGATAATATGTTCCACCGACTCAGCTTCGAATTCAGGGACCCCAGATATTTCTACGTCATTGAGAAGCTCGCTTCTTTCTTTTTCAGCAATCTCTTCCTGTAACTGTACTATAGTACTTTGTAAACCAGTCGTATCGATAACAGCTGTCTGCTCCACTCTTTTCTCCAAGCTCAGAACCCTGTCTTCGATAGAATCCATTCTGCTATTACATTGGCTAATAGTGTTCTTCAATTCAGTAATTTCCTGTCGAAGTACCTGCATCTCCGATCTCGCAGCTTGCATCTCTGTACGGAACAATCTAAATTCAAGTGCCCATTCCTGAGTTGTAAACTCCTCTGTAATATTGTGAGCGGTGTCGTCTAGTGACATATTGTGTGATAGCAGGTCATCACTTCTCGACGTGCAATCCGCATGTATACCACGTACAGGGGTGGCCAGATTACTTTGTCTCGGCTCCTTAGCTTTACATTCTGGACAAACCCAGGTAAGCGCCACCTGTCCGACGGCAGGCAAACCCACGCATGCGCGGTGGTGAATAGCAGAGCACCTGTGACACGCAACGCCATCTGAAGTAGCCATGAATTTGCCACAAGCAGCGCACTTGACCATGTTGAAATAGTATTCTGAATAACCACTAGAGGGCTCACGTTTGAGTACCTGCTATTCGCCGTGAGATGTCGCTGTAGTGATCCAGATCAATACTTTGCCAACAGTGTCTACGATTTTCATATACCCTCTTCCACGAAAAAGAGTATGGTAATTCACAGTTTATAAAAGTTAAATTAATCGAAATTTCGCGATCACTTGTTTACACCAACAACACCGGACACGAAGACGATCAACTAAACACTTTAAAGCGCTAGCAAACTTTGAACAGTAGGTTTTTATAGGTTAAAACGAAAAATAACTGAGAGCTCGATGTGTACGTTGGAAGTTATGGACTAAGGGTGATTTAATACATATTTATAGAAATAAATAGAAATAGAAATAATCTTTATTCAAATAAACTCATTACAAGCACTTTTGAATAGTCAAATTTTGATTCTACCACTCATTCGGAACGCAGACTCATCACAAGAAGAATGAGCGAGAAACTTGTGTGTTGCTCTTTTTAATAGATGTTTTTTTATATATTAATTACAGTATAATAAGTAAGAGGCATGCGATAATCAACATAGAAATCGCTACGCACTCATTATTAGTGTAATCAGATAATATTGTCAGTGCTATGGATTTTAAGTTTTTCTATAAAAACATTGTCGTTAACGAATTCTCAATTTTATAGTAAGCTTTTTTGCAAAGAAACTGTTTTATTTGACATTTAAATCTTTTTTCTGGCAGATTTATAACAGACTCTGGTATTTATATTCCTTAAGTGACAAATTTAAATGTAGGGTTTAAATTAATACAAATTGTAAAAATTAACAATTTATTATGCAAATTCTTATTTAATAAACTATCATTTAACAAACTTAAAAAAAAATTGTAGACCTTTGGTGTAGAACACATTTTTTTATTAACAGCTATATAATAATAATAATAACCCTGGACAATTAACACAGCGCCATCTAGTGCCACGGTAAGCAGACCTTGTGTTATGGGTACTAGACAACTGATACAAATACATACATTTATATAAAAAAACACCCAGACGACAATCATATTTATGAATACAAATGTCGGTACAAACATTTGTATTCATAAATATGATTGCGAGGAATCAAACCTGCGACCATCGGAAGTAAAGCAGTGTGTTGAACTACTAAACCATTGACTCTTATGTACATTAATATATTTTTAGACTTAGAAATACAAAAACATAAGGCAAGCACTTTATCACATAAACTCAAGAGGCTCTAACCTATTGTTAGCAACGTACCATGTCAGGTTGACCTCCACGCGGTTACCCCTGGAATCCATCGTGATAAATTCCTGGTGAATTCACGACGATGTGCTAACTGACCTGACCTCATGTTCTTATCATCCTCCACTGGTGCCCCGCCAGCGTATACCGCTAGCGCAGGCGGGTGCACCATTCCATTATCATTAATAAAAAAACACTTATATAATATTTATAAAAACAGACTACAATAAACAATGAAAATGTAAAACAGTATCCAAATTCAGTAGATGTGACCAGGGGCAGATCTACCTAAAGGCTTTTTGGGCTGCAGCCCAGGGCCCCCAGAATACAAAGGGTCCCCAATTCCCACTAAAACGATATCTAGAATAGAATAATAAAAAAACCTATCATAAGGTTGGCAACACTGAGATCAATCAACTCATGCAAGTGCGCGTCTATTGAAAGGAACGGGGAATCTCTGGTCGCTTGTTTTTGGTCGGTGTATTTTTTTTAGTTGAGTAATATAATTAGTTAAGGCCCTAAGTAGATTTAGTCCAGGGCATCACAAGTTCACGATCTGCCCCTGGATGTGACATATCATAAGAGTCTGTAATATACATAATAAAGATATTTGAATGAATTCAAATTCAAAAAATCATTTATTCTTGTAGGATATTTTAGCCACTTATGAACGTAAAATTTTTTACATTATATTTCTTCCCTACCGTCCAGTTCGGTATATAGATCCAATTGAGAAGAACTGGCAAGAAACTCAATTGAATTACTTTTTTTAAGCCGGTTTATTTATATAGGTATACTTATATGTGTATGTCTAACATTAAATTATTTAAAACAATTCCAATACCATTAATAGTTTTTGAAATATATATTCTATCTTTATATATAAAAATTACGTGTCACGTTGTTCGTCCGCGATGGACTCCTAAACTACTGAACCGATTGCAAATTTGATTTGCACATTGTGTGCAATTTGATCCAACTTGAAAGATAGGATAGCTTACATCTCAATTTATAGTCGCAATATTATTTTATTCAAGAACCTTAGACACAGCAACACGTGGCTAGTTATATGTTTGGGAAACGACTCTGCTACCAAAATATTAGGGAAGCGTCAGTCATTTACCCGTATGGTTCTGCGGATTTCTTGGGCTTCAGGGTCTCGAAGGTATCTTCGCTAGCTTTCCAGTTTCACAGTAGGTTTAACACAGTTCTAATTTATTTTAATTCACAACACAATGCGCGCGCGCGTCAAGGCCGCTGTACAGTCCGTTTGTTACTAGTTAGGGAGGGGAAGGGAACGCGCGGGAACAGAAAACTAACGGACTCTAATATAATATAATATCTGTGCTTACGATGATACAGGGTAGATTTTGAACATTATATATATATATTCATTGAATCAAAGCAAATGACAGAAAAACTAGTTTCATTGAAAGTAAAGCTGCATGCTAAACAAATACATATATATATTTTTTCGTAAATACATACATATTATACATAGAAAACACTCAGACCGATACAAACAATCATACTCATGAATACAAATGTTTGTACCGAGCCAGGAAACTAACCCGCGATCGTTGAAAGTAAATCTGTGTGCGGTTTACACTAGACCACATGGCGTCATAACATTTGGTGTTGATTTTAACAAATTGACTAACAATTATGTTTGTTTTGTTCACGTAATCCGGCAGATCTCATTACCATCAGAGGTCGCTGGCTGCTGTTTCTGTAACGAGGAGATTTCGTCCTGAAAGATTAAAAGAATACATTTTGTGCTGTGCTCGCGGTTGAGCAAGCGTGAAATTTATAGCTTTATATTATTATCTATCATAAGACCTGTCATTTTGTATGGATCTGAATGTTGGGCCGTAAAAGGGATGGACGAAAGGCGTGTGCATGTGGCAGAAATGCGAATGTTAAGATGGATGTGTGGGGTTACCAGGAATGACAGAATAAGGAATGTGTATATACGAGGAAGTTTGAAAGTTGCGCCGGTTATAGAAAAGTTGCGAGGTAACAGATTGAGCTGGTATGGGCATGTTATGCGGAGGAATAGGGACCATGTCTTATGGAAAGTGTATAATATGAATGTGGATGGATGTAAAGGGAGGGGACGCCCTAAGAAAAGATGGATGGATTGTGTGAAAGATGATATGAAGAAAAGAAGAGTATGTTTAGATATGACGACTGATAGAGAGCAGTGGAAGAGAATGACATACTGCGCCGACGCCAAATAATGGGATAAAGGCAAGGCAATGATGATGATATATTATTCTGTTGTGTAAGCTATATTACTGTAAAGTTTCATTAAAATCCGTTGAGTAGTTTTCGCGTGAAAGAGTAACAAACATACTCACAAACTTTCGCGTTTATATTATCATTATATATATATATATTACCCGGTTAATAACAAAAAAAATGTGTAATAAATACAGAAGTTAAAAATTAACATGAATTGTGAATTTTGTTATATATATTTGAGATACTATTGCACCCGTGTAAACCTGGGTGGAATTGCTAGTATGTTTTACGGTGGTAGTGGTATTCACCGTCCGCGTCTTTCAAACTTTCGCGTTTATAATATTAATAAGATTATTAATTTATTCATTCATTCATTTATGTATTAAAAAACTAAACTCATTATAAGCACTTTTGAATAGTCATATTTTGATTCTACCACTCATTCGGAACGCAGACTCATCACAAGAAGAACGAGCGAGAAACTTGTGTGTTTAGATCCAATTAAACACGAAACTTACAAAATAACGAATGCATCATCAGTTTATAAGTCAGCAAGGGGCTGTTCAAGTATTACGTAAGCAGGTTTATTACAAGTATTTACCCCCATCCCCCTTGTCAGCACAAGTAAGCAAAGCTCTTACCCCTTGCCCTCCCCTATACCTAAACATATTTCAATTAATGTACTGCTATTCGTGTAAAAAAAGTTAAAAAGTCGATGACGCAATCATCATCCAGACTCCCCTACCCCCATGTCATCCAAAATAAGCAAACTAAACACCCCCCCCTCCGCCCCCCGCCCCCCATAGTGCTTGAACGGTCCCCAAGGTAAAAACAGACTTACAGCGGGAGATACGAACGACAGTAGCCGGCGGAGACCACGCCGACCGCCGCGTCGATCGCTCGATTTATCGGACGATCTGTCGTCTGATTTGTCGCACGACGTAGTCGCCTGTACAAACAAATATTGGATATAAATATCAAAATACGAGATTTATCGGACGATCTGTCGTCTGATTTGTCGCACGACGAAGTCGCCTGTACAAACAAATATTGGATATAAATATTAAAACACGCGATATACCGTATGATCTGTCGTCTGATTTGTCGCACGACGTTGTCGCTTGTACAAACAAATATTGGATATGAATATCAAAACACGCGATTTATCGTAGGATCTGTCAACTGACTTGTCGCACGACGTAGACGCCTGTGCAAACAAATCTAAATATATATAACTCAAAGGTGACTGACATAGTGATCTATCAACGCACAGCCCAAACCACTGGACGGATCGGGCTGAAATCTAAATATATATAACTCCAAGGTGACTGACATAGTGATCTATCAACGCACAGCCCAAACCACTGGACGGATCGGGCTGAAATCTAAATATATATAACTCAAAGGTGACTGACATAGTGATCTATCAACGCACAGCCCAAACCACTGGACGGATCGGGCTGAAATCTAAATATATATAACTCAAAGGTGACTGACATAGTGATCTATCAACGCACAGCCCAAACCACTGGACGGATCGGGCTGAAATTTGGCATGCAGGTAGATGTTATGACGTAGGCATCCGCTAAGAAAGGATTTTGATTCATTCTACCCCCAAGGGGATAAAATAGGGGACGAAAGTTTGTATGAAACTTTGTCAATTTTAAACCGATCGGTCTGAGACTTTGCATGCATAAAGCTACTATTACGTAGGCATCCCCTAAGAAAGGATTTTGATAAATTCCACCCCTAAGGGGATAAATTAACGCGGCAAAAGCTACTTGGATATAAATATAAAAACATGTGATTTATAGTAGAATCTGTCATCTGATTTGTCGCACGACATCGTGGGCTGTACATACGATACTAATATTATACTAACAATATAAATGTGAAAGTAACTCTGACAGTAACGGTTACACAACGAAATTACTGAACCGATTTAAATGAAATTTAGTAGATAGATAGTCTAGACCCTGAGAAAGGATATAGGAAATAGAAATAGAAATAATCTTTATTCAAATAAACTTAATATAATCACTTTTGAATAGTCAAGTTTTTTATTCTACCGCTCATTCGGAATGTAGACTTATCACAAGAAGAATAAGCAAGAAACTTGTGTGTTGCTCTTTTAAATAAATATTGATTTACTTATATTTAATTAACAACAAGGATTAGGCATGCGACAATCAACATAGAGACCGCTACGCACTTAATCTCTGTTCAATCAGATAACATTGTCAGCGCTATGAATTTTAAGTTAGATATTTTCTACAAAACATTATTATCATTTATAAATTCTTCAATTTTATAATAAGCTTTTTTACAAAGAAAATATATTATGACACATTTGAATTTTTTTCTGGCAAATTGTGTAGGCTACTTTTTAGTGCCAAAAAAGGGTTGTAAGGGGATGAAAGGGGGGATGAAAGGTTGCATGAAAGTATTATCATTTCTTAAGTAGAACGATAAAACTTTTTTGGGTTATAATCAAATTAGATATATTTTCTTTATTTAATCCAATTCACTATTCCAGGTGGACGAAGTCGCGGGCACAGCTACATATAAAGAGACTTATATACTCCAAATTAAAGTATAAATAATTTATATACTCACCTCAGGTACCGCGAGGGTTTGTTCGCCATTCTGTTCGGCCGTCTGTCCGTCTGGCCCACATGTGCACGTCCCACGCGTGGGACCATTACTCTCTGCTTTACTATTGCATAGTTTGCATTCACTTGGCGTTGGATCTGTGGATGCAGTATATATATGATTTTACCTGTGACTTCGTCTGCGTGGAATTTAGTATTATTTTTTATTAAATTAATCTTTTTTTCTAGTCTGAGTTACTCCATATAACATTAGCTATTTGCATGCTAAAGTCCCTTCAAATCGGTTCAACTGTTTCAGAGATAAGCAAGAACAGACAGACAAACAAAAAGTTATTAAATTATTTTTTTCATGTCAAATATTTTCATTTTCATTTAGAAATTACATACAAAATTTCAAACTATATTTATATGTATACTAGCTGTACCCGCGACTACGTCCAAGTGGAATTTAATTTTATTTTCTAAAATAAAAGTAGCCTAAGTTGTTACTTACATTTATATACATTACATGACGGCATCGGTGCTTTAGCCCACCGCCGTACTCCCGACAGTCGCGAGTTCGATTCCTCGCACGGCAGAAACCTTTGTGTTCATGAGTATGATTGTTTGTATCGGTCTGGATGTTTTCTATGTATAATGTATGTATTTACAAAATGTATCTATGTATATGTATCAGTTGTCTAGTACCCATAACACAAGGTTTAGCTAGATTAACTTGGGTCTAGATGGCGCTGTGTGGATTGTCCTGAGATTATTATTATTATTATTTAACTAGCTGTTCCCGCGTCTTTATTCGCGTGGAATTTAACTTTATTTTTCTAAAATAAAAGTAGTCTAAGTTACTCCTTATTACATCAGCTACCTGCCAAAAAAAGTCCCGTCAAAATCGGTCCAGCCACTTCAGAGATTAGCCAGAACAAACAGACAGACAGACAAAAATTGTAAAAAGTATTATTTTCGTATATGTACCGTATTTACATTCATATGCATGTAGTAAAAAACGGTTATTTCAATATTACTGTGATGACAGGAGCGGTGGTGAGAGTAAACACACACAGTAGGGTGTAACTTGTATATTAACTGTTACATCTTGAATTACTCTAGCTTACACTAATTACATAAACTATATATATGAGCTACTACGTCACCTACGTGTCGTTATACAAAACGTACACTGGCACAATCTACTATCGAACGTGCTGATTTGCATCACTATATCACATTACAAACAGACACTATAATTTTATTTATATGTATTATTATTGAGAATAGCCGGGGAAAAATGTTGAGGCACTTGATATGACACGACGAACTAATTAACAACATTATAGAAGGAAAAATAGATGGAAAGAGAGGAAGGGGAAGACCGAGACACAGCTATATCAAGCAAGTTAAAGAACAAGTTGGAGTCGTGTCGTATCAACAGCTAAAAGGACTGATGGAAGATCGTGGAAGGTGGCGGGAGCTCCACCGACAAGAGCACAGCTCTTAAATTATGAATGAATGAATGATTGATTGAATGAATGAATGAATGATTGAATGAATAAATGATTGAAAGAATGATTTTTTGAATGAATGAATGAATGAATGATGGATGAATGAATGAATGAATGAATGAATGTATATACATCCACTCACGTAACCGCTGTTGGACGTCATCGCCCGGCGCTACACCAGTCTCGCAATATTTCAAATATTGTTTTATTTCCTCCGCCCGCTCCATATATCTGTAATTACAAGATAAAATATAAAAAATAACTCTATTTTGGGGAGTTTCCTGTATTACGAAAAATGTTATGCTCGCGGACTATAGTCTGCATAAATTATATATAACTCAAAGGTGACTGACTGACTGACATAGTGATCTATCAACGCACAGCCCAAACCACTGGATGGATCGGGCTGAAATCTAAATATATATAACTCAAAGGTGACTGACATAGTGATCTATCAACGCACAGCCCAAACCACTGGACGGATCGGGCTGAAATCTAAATATATATAACTCAAAGGTGACTGACATAGTGATCTATCAACGCACAGCCCAAACCACTGGACGGATCGGGCTGAAATCTAAATATATGTAACTCAAAGGTGACTGACATAGTGATCTATCAACGCACAGCCCAAACCACTGGACGGTTCGGGCTGAAATCTAAATATATATAACTCAAAGGAAGACGTAGTGATCTATCAACGCACAGCCCAAACCACTGGACGGATCGGGCTGAAATTTGGCATGCAGGTAGATGTTATGACGTAGGCATCCGCTAAGAAAGGATTTTGATTAATTCTACCCCCAAGGAGATCAAATAGGGGATGAAAGTTTGTATGAAACTTTGTCAATGTTAAACCGATCGGGCTGAGATTTTGCATGCATTCAGCTACTATGACGTGGGCATCCCCTAAGAGAGGATTTTGAAAGGTCTTAGATGTTCGACTGATTGAACTGAAATTAAAGATTGAAGTTACTATGATGAAGACGTTCGCTTAAATAGGATTTAGATAAATTCAACCCCCATGGGGATAAAATAAGGGATGATGCAGGTTGTAAATTTATTAGTGTGACACTATCAGTACCTAATGGAACGAATAAATTAAGACGAACAAAATAATTTTTAGTTCTTTAGGCTACTTTTATTTTAGAAAAATAAAGTTACATTCCACGCGGACAAAGTCGCGGGAACGGCTAGTAGAATAGGAAATTCTTTATTAAAATAAACTTAATTTTAAGCAATTTTCAATACGCATTTTTTTTTTAATACATGCAATATTAACTTTATTTGAATAAAAAATATTTCTATTCCTATAAAGATATGTTCTGATGAGTTTGTGACAATGCACTTTGACGATTTCGTCACACTTGTGTGTCATCCCGGCGGGACTGACCTTGTGACCTTGGCTGTGAGAGCCTCTTTGGCGAGTGTGTCTGTATGTGCCCGGGCCGCCGCCACCAGCAGGCGCAGGGCGGCGCTGTATGCCTGCAGCGCTTCCTTCAGCTGCCAGTTCGAGTCCAGCTCTATGGCCTGCTTGATCAACTGAACAGCCTGCGATGATATTCATAGATTTTAGAGAGTAGTGCGGCACAAGATGGCGGCCTATGAATAGTGACGTGGACAAAAATGGCATTACACGTGCATCTCATTTGTAATAATTTTTGTGTGTGTGAGTGTGTAAGACACCATCCATATATTTTTATTGTAGAGTTTGTGCTATTGTCAGTTGCTAAGACCTGTAATTTAAACCCCTCAATCCGGCTCGGAGGACCAAAGAATGTGTCTTTGGTCCTTCGAGCTGGATTCATCAGGATATCTTAAGGATTTTGGTGAGTAGGAGTCTCACAGAACCCAGTTTTCTCTAAGACAGGAGAACTGAGCTTAAGCCACTCAATCCGGCTCGAAGGACCAAAGAATGTGTCTTTGGTCCTTCGAGCCGGATTTATCAGGATATCTTAAGGATTTTGGTGAGTAGGAGTCTCACAGAAACCAGTTTTCTCTAAGGGAGGGGAACTGAGCTTAAGCCGCCCTATCCGGCTCGATGGACCAAAGAATGTGTCTTTGGTCCTTCGAGCTGGATTCATCAGGATATCTTAAGGATTTTGGTGAGTAGGAGTCTCACAGAACCCAGTTTTCTCTAAGGCAGGGGAACTGAGCTTAAGCCACTCAATCCGGCTCGAAGGACCAAAGAATGTGTCTTTGGTCCTTCGAGCCGGATTTATCAGGATATCTTAAGGATTTTGGTGAGTAGGAGTCTCACAGAAACCAGTTTTCTCTAAGGGAGGGGAACTGAGCTTAAGCCGCCCTATCCGGCTCGATGGACCAAAGAATGTGTCTTTGGTCCTTCGAGCCGGATTCATCAGGATATTGGTGAGTAGAAGTCTCACAGAACCCACTTTTCTCTAAGGCAGGGGAACTGAGCTTAAGCCGCTCAATCCGGCTCGAAGGACCAAAGAATGTGTCTTTGGTCCTTCGAGCCGGATTTATCAGGATATCTTAAGGATTTTGGTGAGTAGGAGTTTCACAGAACCCAGTTTTCTCTAAGGCAGGGGAACAGCTTAAGCCGCCGAATCCGGCTCGAAGGACCAAACAATGTGTCTTTGGTCCTTCTAGCTGGATTCATTAGGATATCTTAAGGATTTTGGTGAGTAGGAGTCCCACAGAACTCAATCTTCTCTAAGGCAGGGTTTACATGGAGGATCTTCTCCGAGTAAAAAAAGGGGTACCTTCTGGTAATTCTCCTTTGAGGGCATATGTTCAAGGTCCAGGTATTCATGGGCGAATAACTCCTCGTATGTGATCCGCCGGTCAGGGTCATGCTGTAACAGCCGCGTCAGCAGATCCTGGCACCCGACAGAGATGCACGAGTTCCGGGGAATCTATCATGTAAAGCATCTTCTTTGTAAGAAAAATTACTCTTCTTTATATAGCATGAAATAAAGTTGCCGTCGCTGTCTGTACGTCTACATCCTTCAAACTACGCAACGGATTTTATTGCAGTCTTTAACAAATAAACAGTGATTCGAGAGGAAGTTTTATATGTATAATACTTGCTGGTCTATACATATAAATAAAATTGGAGTGTCTGTTTGTAATATTGAAATAACCGTTTTTAACACCAAAATATTTTTTTTACAACTTTAGTCTGTCTGTCGGTCTGTCTGTTCCAGCTAATCTCTGAAATGCTGAACCGATTTTGACGGGACTTTTTTTAACAGGTAGCTGATGTAATAAGGAGTAACTTAGGCTACTTTTATTTTAGAAAAATAAAGTTACATTCCACGCGAATAAAGACGCGGGAACAGCTAGTTAAATAATAATAATAGAATAATAATCTCAGGACAATCCACACAGCGCCATCTAGACCCAAGTTAATCTAGCTAAACCTTGTGTTATGGGTACTAGATAACTGATACATATACATAAATACATTTTGTAAATACATACTATTATACATAGAAAACATCCAGACCGATACAAACAATCATACTCATGAACACAAAGGTTTTTGCCTTGCGAGGAATCGAACTCGCGACTGTCGGGACTACGGCGGTGTGCCAAAGCACCGATGCCGTCATGTAATGTATATAAAAGTAATAACCTCTATGGGAGCTTGGTTCTGTATCTTGTCAACTAGCTCCTTCAACGTGGTGGAGGAGTAGGGGGCACGTCCGAACAGGCACTCGTACATTATCACACCTGACAACGAAATTATAGGGTTAAATGTATAATGACTAGCTAGGGGCGGCGGGAGGTGAGTGATAGTGTGAGTGTCAGTGTGATTGTCAGTTTGAGTGTCAGCGCGAGTGTGAGTGTCAATGCGAGAGTCAGTTCGAGTGTCAGTGCGAGGGTCAATTACGAGGGTCAAGTACGAGTGTCAGAGTGGGTATCAGTGCGAGTGTCAGTATGAGAGTCAGAACGAGTGTCAGAGTGAGTCACAGTGTGAGTGTGAGTGTCAGTGTGAGTGGCAAAATGAGTGTCAGTGCGTATGTCAGAGTGAGTGTCAATGCGAGTGTGAGTGTGAGTTTGAGTGTCAGTGCGTATGTCAGAGTGAGTGTCAATGCGAATGTGTGTGTGAGCGTTAGTGCGAGAGTCTGTGTGAGTGTCAGTCTGAGCGTCAGTGCGAGAGTCCGTGCGGGTGTCAGTGCAAGTGTGAGTTTGAGTGTGAGTGTCAGTGCTATTGTCAGTGTCAGAGCGAGTATCAGTGTTAGTTTCAGTGCGTGTGTCAAAATGAGTGTTAATACGAGTGTCAGAGTGAGTGTCACTGCGTGTCAGGGTGAGTGTCAGGGTGAGTGTCAGTGCGAGTGTGAGTGTAAGTGTCAATGCCAGTGTTAACTTGAGTGTCAGTGTGAGAGACGGTACGATTGTCAGAGTGTCAGTGCGAGTTTCAGGGAGAGTGTCTGTGCGAGTGAGAGCGTGAGTGTCAGTGCGAGTATCAACATGAGTATCAGTGTGAGTGTCAGTACGTGTGTCAGAGTGTCAGATAGAGTGTGAGTGTCAGAGTAAGTGACAGTGCGAGTGTCAGGGAGAGTGTATGTGCGAGTGAGAGCGTGAGTGTCAGTGTGAGAGTCAGTACGTGTGTCAGAGTGTCAGATAGAGTGAGAGTGTCAGTGCTAGTGTCAGGGTGGGTATCAGCGTGAGAGTCAATGCGAGTGTCAGAGTGAGCATCAGTATGAGTCAGAACGAGTGTCAGTGTGAGTGACAGTGTGAGTGTCAGAGTGAGCGTCAGGGTGAGTGTGAGTGCGAGTGTGAGTGTGAGTGTGAGTGGTACTGACCGACGCTCCAGAGGTCGGCGCGGGCGTCGTACCGCCCGCGCACCACCTCGGGCGCCATGTACAGCGGCGAGCCGCGCGCGCCGCCGCCCCCCGCCTCGCTCGTCAGCTGCGCGAACCTGAACCCACACACACACTCGCAATAGTAACCACCCACGACTATACATACGGCACCGTCTACATAGTTCCGAGCTAAGCAGGTGGTTACCGTGAGAGGTAACCATAAGAAATATATACGAACAGCTCTATGAACATAATTTCACGCGATACCATTCAATATATGTACTTCCATAAAATGGAATGTAATTGACTTCCGTAAAATGTAATGAAATGAACCTCCATGAAATATAATGTAATGAACTTCCACAAATGTAATGAAATGGATTTTCGCAAAATGGAATGGACTGATACAAAATGTAACCTCAATATGACCCGGACATTGTATGTGAACATAGTTTTAATTTAATTGAGCAAGAAACTAGCAATGAATTTAAAACAAAAACATTTTCAACTAATGTAAAATCAAAGTTTTGTGACTGGGCCACGTTTGGTATTTATAAGTCTAGGGCTAATCTTTACGAAAAACGAAGCTATATATCCGATCCCCTATTTCATGAATATGTAAAATCTTATTCGAGAATATTTAAAAGGGTTTGTCATACAGCTAAGTCTCTATATTTGGGTAAAATAATAACTGAATCTAAAGATAAAATAGAAGCCACTTGGAAAGTAATAAATAGCGAAACTGGAAAAGTTAATGTTCAAAATAGCAAAATAGCTTTTTTAATATTAATAACAAATTGGTAAATTCCGACACAGAGGTCGCGGATACATTCGAATCTTATTTTACTAATATTCCATTAATTACGACACAGGCTCTAAAATCTTCTCCGTCTGCTGCTGAAACTTTACTAACAGACAATTTTAGCAAGTCATCAGCTGTATTTAACTTTAGACATACATCATCAGTAGAAATAATGAAAATATTCAAACAGCTTAATAATAAAAAAACAGAGGATCTATGGGGTATATCTGTTAAAATACTAGGTAGTATAATGGAAATTATTGCGCCCTCTCTTGCTTTTATTTTCAATAAATGTATAGATGAAGGTAAATTTCCTAACATAATGAAAATTAGTAAAATCATACCGCTTTTTAAATCTGGAGATAGGAGTGACCCAATAAATTATAGACCTATATCTATACTCCCAGCACTCAGTAAAATTTTTGAAAAAATAATCCTTATGCAGCTTGTCAGTTATTTCAATTTAAATAATTTAATCCACAATAGTCAATTCGGTTTTTCCAAAGGTCGTTCAACTACAGACGCAGGTGCAGAGTTGCTTAGACACGTATTTACTGCATGGGAAACTAAAATGGATGCGATAGGTGTTTTTTGTGACCTTTCTAAAGCTTTTGATAGCGTTGATCATAATACATTGCTAAAAAAACTTGCTTTTTATGGCGTCAAAGACAATGCTTTAAATTTAATAAAATCTTATCTATCTGATAGAATACAGAAAGTGAAGGTTAGCAACGCTACGTCTGACGGGTCACTTATGCAAATGGGTGTACCTCAAGGATCTATTCTCGGTCCATTTTTATTCCTAGTATATATTAATGATCTGCCATGCAGGATAGATGCCGCATAGTATTATTTGCAGACGATACTTCATTGATTTTTAAAGTTAATAGAATGACTAATAATTATGACGATGTAAATAGTGCTTTGCGGCGTCTCTTGCACTGGTTTACAACTAACAATCTTATGTTAAACGCTAAAAAAACAAAATGTGTTAATTTCTCTCTGTCTAAAAGTTTTAATACTAATTGCAGCATAACATTAAATGACGAATCTCTCGAATTTATAGAATCTACTGTCTTTCTAGGAATCACATTAGATAATAAAACACAATGGGGTGCACAAATTCAAAGCTTTGCAGCGAAACTAAGTTCAGCAGCTTTTGCCGTGCGTAAGGTTAGACAGTACACTGATACTGATACTGCTAGATTAGTCTATTTTAGTTATTTTCATAGTTTACTCTCTTATGGAATATTATTATGGGGAAAAGCGGCAGATATTAAAAATATATTCATATTACAAAACCGTGCCGTTCGAGCGATCTACTGTATGAAGAGTCGTGACTCATTAAGAGAGAAATTCAAAGAGGCAAATATTCTCACCGTTGCTTCTCAATTTATATATTCAAATATCCTATATGTTCATAAAAATCTTAACTTATTTCCAAAAAACAGCAATATTCATAATATTAATACAAGATTTAAAGACAAACTTGCTGTCCCCAAGTATCGTTTAGAAAAAGTTAATAGGTCTTTTATGGGAATAGGTATAAAAATTTACAATAAGATACAAAAGGATATGTTGGAATTATCCTTAAATAAATTCAAAACATCTGTTAAATCATATTTACTGAGCAAAGCCTATTACTCACTAAACGATTACTTGAATGACGAGTGTGCATGGCAATAGTTGTTCATTCACTGAATTTTCATTTAATGTTAGACATAGACACCTATATAAATATACATTGTAAATAAACTGGCTTTAAAAAAAAAGTAATTCAATTGAGTTTCTTGCCAGTTCTTCTCAATTGGATCTATATACCGAACTGGACGGTAGGGAAAAAATTATAATGTAATAACTTGACGTTCATAAGCGGCTAAATTGTCCTACATGAATATTTATTTTTGAATTTGAATTTGAATAACGTAATAGACTTCTGCGAAATAACATTTAAAATGATAAAATATTCACATACAGACAACTTTTTACAAAGTCTACTTCTGTAAAAATAATTACATAATTGATATAAAAAATCACTCACCCAAAGTCAGCCACTTTCAGTATGTATTTCCCGTCTGAATCTTTGTGCAGTAACAAATTGTGAGGTTTTAAGTCCATATGTACTACGCCTGCAATAAAATTCAAAATATATTAGAAATACTGTTAGGGAAACTATTCTGCTACCAAAATGTTAGGGAATTTACTCTCTGCACATCTATAGGGGAATTTAGTGTGTAAGCGTCAGTCACGTACCTGTATGGTTCTGCGGATTTCCTGGGCTTCAGGGTCTCGAAGGTATCTTCGCTAGCTTTCCAGTTTCACAGTAGGTTTAACACAGTTCTAATTTATTTTAATTCACAACACAATGCGCGCGCGCGTCAAGGCCGCTGTACAGTCGGTTCAGTACTAGGTAATGGAGGGGAAAGAAAGGCGCGGGAACAGAAAACTAACGGACACACGGATCTGTGCTTACGATGTTACAGGGTAGATTTTGAACAAATACAAATATTTTTTATTCAAATAAATTGAATATAAATATTATTATTGATGTATTTGTATTGTTTTGTTTAATTCCGGTACAATTATCATGTGTGGGACCACAAATATTCAGTGCGGAAACCGGACCACCGCCACTGGAAGACTTACTGTTAGACCTACAATGAGAGTCACTGGTAGTTTTCTATATTCGTTTATCCATATTAGAATATGAGAGTTCTTTTTATACATTTTTTATAACACTTCTATCACTGCGCTGTGCTATAATAAAATAAATATAAAAAGTTCTGGCCCCTATTCCATGGCAATAAAATCTAAATATATATAACTCAAAGGTGACTGACTAACTGACATAGTGATCTATCAACGCACAGCCCAAACCACTGGACGGATCGGGGTGAAATTTGGCATGCAGGTAGATGTTATGACGTAGGCATCCGCTAAGAAAGGATTTTGATTAATTCTAGCCCCAAGGGGATAAAATAGGGGATGAAAGTTTGTATGAAACTTTGTCAATTTTAAACCGATCGGGCTCAGACTATGCATGCATAAAGCTATTATGACGGGGATATTGTAGAAAAAATCCGATATTTTAAAAAGATATTAAAAGAAGGTAGTTTGTGTTTAGTACTAATGAAGTACCCAATGTAAAGATTATTACAAATATTGTAAATAGCGCCATCTAGTATTTATAGAGCGAACTAAGTTGTTTGTCATAAGATAACCATTACTCCCGCTTCTCTCTCTACTACACTGACTTCGGTCTATAAATACGGAGGTCGGTAGTTGAATAATCCTCTTTCGTTGGGTGCTGGTGTAATTAGTGCTTCTTACACAAGGTTGTAACACTTGGACTGGACTGGTCTGCTCTATGACTTATTTTCTCTTATTAATTGTTTAACCAGTTGTTGTGTATTAAATGTTTTTTCTATTTTATTATTTCATTGAATTAGTGCTAATCGGTGGTTTGTATTCACACACTTAAACTTAAATTGTAAGTAAGAATAAATTATTTAAAAGAGCAACACACAAGTTTCTTGCTTGTTCTTCTTGTGATGAGACAGCTTCCGAATGAGTGGTAGATTAAAAAAAAAAATGTTATGACTATTCAAAAGTGCTTCAATGTAAGTTTATTTAAATAAATGATTTTCTATTCTTTCGTGTTTGCTCGTTGCTCAATCACACCGACAGACCATAGACTAAGTAATTAATTATAAACATAGACAATGTATTTTTATGGCTCTGAATACACAACAAATACAAGCTCAAGCGGACGCGGATCTCTCATGTCTGCGTTTCGTTATTGCAAAAGCTAATTTTCTATTATCCGGGGATTTTTGTTTTGTTTTTACTCAAATTAACAATGTTGCAGATTTAAAGGAATGTCTTAGAAAATTAGTAAATATAAAGAAAAAATGGAATGTTACCCGATAATTGGTATATCGGATGAAATATATCGATATTATATTCGATACTAGATGATTCGATATCGGATTGAAGCGATATATCGCATATGTGTTAGGGTTCACATTGATATTGTCGAAAAATCTGATATTATAAAAATATTAAAAGAAGGTAGTTTCATTATTACTCGGTATCGTTAAACTAGTTGCATATAACCCCCACTCATATCTTCTCTGTACAAAAGGGAGGGTTTTTGTAAGCCGCGGCACTCAGGCCGATAGAGGATCAAAATTACGACGGCCTGAGCCGAGGTTCGAACCCCTAGCAGTGCCTTCAAACTAAAGTCGTATCCGTCAGACGGGAGTTGGCCTTCAGCCGCTCCATAAGTCCTTCCTTTGGTTTGGAGTGCCATCTGCACTCGCCCCCTATCGTCCGGTGAAGCTGTAAAGGCCAGCTGCGGCCAGCATTAGAGTAGTCCGAAAAAAAAAGCCACGGCATTCGGTGTTTGAGCACAGGATGTGCTGGTTGTATTTTAAATGCTAAAGTGAATTGTGTTAGAGACATAGTTAAATTAATGCTATATAGTTGTTATTTTATTATAATACATACTTTTACTAGTACATAGAGTTGATATATCTTACACATATATCGATATTTTTTGAAATATCGATTTATATCGCCCACTACTAGCCTGTATTATGGATCCTAGACAGCTGTTAGAAATAAACAGTGTTTTTTTTGTAGTTACATAAAGTTATTACCTTTTTCTCTGAGGAACTTGAGTGCAGACGCCAGCTGTTGTAAGAAGTATAAAACCTGATAGGAAATCAAGTTCATAATTAATATTAACATTATAAATAGATAAAATATGTGGGTTTGAATGTTCCCCGTAATCTCCGGTACTATTGATCCGATTCTGATAATTATTTAATATAATTACAGTAAGTATTTATATAAAAAAACATCAATTAAAAAGAGCAACACACAAGTTTCTCGCTCATTCTTCTTGTGATGAGTCTGCGTTCCTAATGAGTGGTAGAATCAAAATATGACTATTCAAAAGTGCTTGTAATGAGTTTATTTGAATAAAGATTATTTCTATTTCTATTATAGTTAGATATCCCATTTATTTGTGGTCGTCGTAATATGTTTTTCGGTTCCATTCATCCCTGTTCGCAGTCATCGCGTTATTTACTCCCTTTCTCACCATATCATCTTTCACACAGTCCATCCATCTCTTTTTCGGTCTTCCTCTTCCCTTATAACCACATTCATATGTAACACCGTCTTTAGGATATGATCTCATTTATCTATACATATAAATAAAATTGTATTGTCTGTTTGTAATATTGAAATAACAGTTTTTTACTACATGCATATGAATATAAATACGGTACATACACCAAAATAACATTTTTTACAATGTCTGTCCGTTTGTTCCGACTAATCTCTGAAATGGCTGGACCGATTTTAACGGGACTTTTATTGGCAGGTAGCTGATGTAATATGGAGTAACTTAGGCTACTTTTATTTTAGAAAGTAAAGTTAAATTCCACGCGGTCGAAGTCACGGGAACAGCTAGTGTTTAAATAATAACCTTCATAACAATAATGATAAAAATGTAATTTCTTTGTGATGAGACTAGTTTTATTTACTTACCTGTTTCTCTGGCACCCTGCCATAGCGGTGTATGTACTTGGAGAGGTCACCCCCGCAACAGAACTCCGTGATTATATAAATATTTCTGAAACAAAGTGTTGCGGGTGAATAATAAGATGTTGCTGGTCGAGACGATGTATATTACAGATGATGATAAACTGACAATATGTACATAGAAATAATGATCTTATATACTAAATAACAATAGGAAAATGTAAGGTGGGGTGACACAGTTTAGACACAGCAGTGCCTAGTACACAATATTGAGTTTGTCTTACTCATCATCTGCTTCTTCCGTATCCCATTTATTTGTGGTCGTCGTAATATGTTTTTCTCTTCCATTCATCTCTTTTCGCAGTCATCTCGTTATTTACTTCCTTTCTTACCATATCATCTTTCACACAGTCCATCCATCTCTTTTTTGGCCTTCCTCTGCCCTTATAACCATCCACATTCATTTGTAACATCTTTCTTAAAATATTATCCTCGTTCCTACGCATTACATGTCCATACCATGATAGACGATTACTCTTCAACCTCTCTGACACCGGTGCCACTTTCAGTTTTTCTTGTGTCACGAGTTTGTCTTACTAGACATTATTAAATGCAATTATTATTTTGATGTATCTAGGTGACTGTTTTTGTAGCTGTGACGTGGTCGTGTGGAATGAGTAGTCATGCTCACTAAAGACATGTGGCGGCGTGGTGGGCCGGGTCAATGGGCTCCCTAAAATATGGTCGAGCGCAATGATGGCTGGCTCATCCGTCATACTCGTGAACGAGTGCTGCTTGTAGGGACTGGTCTGCTCTTATCACTACGACTGATTTAATCTTATTGCATGATTATATTTGACCCAAAAAATTAGTGCTTGTTGGTAGTTTGTATTCACACGTTTCGACTTGTAAATGTAAACTTACAAGGATTATTTAAAAGAGCAACACACAAGTTTCTTGCTCGTTCTTCTTGTGATGAGACAGCTTTCCGAACGAGTGGTAGATAAAAAACAAATTGTTATGACTATTCAAAAGTGCTTAAATTAAGTTTATTTGAATAAATGATTTTCTATTCTATTCTATTCTATACTGTGTCCCATACAAAGCAAATATATGCTGTTTAATTATAATTTTTAGGGTTCTTTAATTTTTTATGTGCATCGAACAGGGATGAATGGAAGAGAAAAACATATACGACGACCACAAATAAATGGGATAAGGAAGAAGCAGATGATGATAGAGCAGAGACTACTGGAGTAGTCAGCTAAGTTCCTACCGCAGAAGCTTACTCGTTCCAAAAGTATCTTTATTCATGTAGGTCTATTACAGACTCTTATGATATGTCAAATCTACCGTCAGTTCTGAATGCCTTCGAGGTAAGAACTGATAAGAAATTCACAAGACAGATGTACCGGGTTATTAAAATCCAATCAACTCAATATATCTTTATTCATGTAGGTCTATTACAGACTCTTATGATATGTCAAATCTACCGTCAGTTCGGAATGATTTCGAGATGAGAAGAACTGACAAGAAACTCAGCTCGTATTCTTTTCAGGGAAGTGAGCAGCGCGAGAGTAAACACGATATGCCATTGGCGTTGCTACTGGCGCTGCGCGGCGCCCCCTCGATTGTCGGTTTTTCGGGCTCGTATCAAAGGACTGGCAGCGCGAGTGACAGCGTGTGTTTACATTCACCTCAGTTAATTCATTACTAAGCAGACATGCAGCTGTTGCCGCAACAACCTCAACGTCCGCCATCTATGCGAGTCGCCCGGTAAATAAGTATGAGGGCTGACTGTAAACGACACTCGCTCGCGTTGACTCTCGCCGACGCTGACGCGGCAGCGCGAGTGGCAGGGGAAGCGACTGAATGTAAAAGTGGCATAAGGAGATGCTAAGTAAGTATTCCTTTCTATATAAATTAGAAACCAAATCACCACATCTCGACACGACATGTCACGACACATAAATGTACCTTTATTGTTATATAACAGATAATAATATCTCAAGACAATTCACACAGCGCCATCTAGACCCAAGTTAAGTTAGCTAAAGCCTGTATTATGGGTACTAGACAACTGATACATATACATAGATATATATTTTTTTCGTAAATACATACATATTATACATAGAAAACACCCAGACCGACACAATCATACTCATGAATACAAATGTTTGTGCCGTGCGAGGAATCGAACCCGCGATCATCGGACGCAAAGCGGTGTGCTAAACCACTAGACCACTGAGGTCGTCAACTTAACGTAACAACAACATAACTTACTTATCATCCCACGTGAACTCCTTCATTTGAACGATGTGTGGGTGTGTGAGGGTCTTTAGCAGCCGTATCTCTGTGATCAGGTTATCCACGGCCGTTCCCGAGTGCTTCACCTTGGACCTGTCCACACATTTCACTGCCACGATGGATCTACCACCCACCTGTAACATGGAACAAGTGGTGAACAGTAATAAGTAGTGGAGATGAATAATAATGACCGTTAAATAAATTCAAAACATCTGTTAAATCATATTTACTGAGCAAAGCCTATTACTCACTAAACGATTACTTGAATGACGAGCGTGCATGGCAATAGTTGTTCATGCACGGGATTTTCATTTAATGTTAGACATAGACACCTATATAAATATACATTGTAAATAAACTTGCTTTAAAAAACAAGTAATTCAATTGAGTTTCTTGCCAGTTCTTTTCAATTGGATCTATATACTGAACTGGACGGTAGGGAAAAAGAAAATTATATTGTAAAAACTTTACGTTCATAAGCGACTAAAATGTCCTACATGAATAAATGATTTATGAATTTGAATTGGAATAAGTAGAGGTAATGATTGCTTCTGCTGTCTGATACTCTTAGATTAGAGTCTGGTCTAGAGCCTCAATATATAATATACCTTTTATATGTCTTTATATAAAAATTACGCGACATTGTTTGTCCGCAAAGAACTCCTAAACTACTGAACCAATTGCAAATTTGATTTGCACATTGTGTGCAATTTGATCCAACTTGAAAGATAGGATAGCTTACATCTCAATTTATAGTCGCAATATTATTTTATTCAAGAACCTTAGATACAGCAACGCGTGGCCGGGTCTAATAGTAATATATATTTTATATATAAAATTCTCGTGTTACAGTTTTCATTCCCATATTCCTCCGAAAAGGCTTGACCGATTATTATGAAATTTTGTGAGTGTATTGAGTAGGTCTGAGAATCGGCCAACATCTATTTTACATCCCCCTAAATGTTAGGGGTACTCCACCCCTAAATTTTTTTTTTATTTTAAGGCAAAACAACGTTTGCCGGGACAGCTAGTATATATGTATATGTGATTAGCATTTTCTCCAAGATTTTGTGATTTATAAAATGTCCCACAATTCGGTGTGCGTTTTGGTTTATCCCTCCTTCAGCTCTCTCCATTGAACTCTGTCTTCCAGAACCCTATTCCAGAATGGTCTCAGAGTCAGCTTGATGTGGTATTTCCAATATAGTCTCTAGGATGGGTTGAGCCATTGTCCCTTAAATGTACACCTGTACACAATAGGCGCTACTGACAGTTCCCTTTGGCGGGGCCGCTTTGAAGCCAAAGAAACGGCTGCTCACGTAATCCTGGAGAGCTTGCAGTCCAACTTACATTACATCTCCATTGCTTTTTTTTTCGGATTACTCTAATGCTGGCCGCAGCTGGCCTTTACAGCTTCACTGGACGATAGGGGGCGAGTGCAGTAAGGTAAGTGATTACCGCTGCCCATGTGCATCCGCAATATAAGGGGAATTACAAGCACATTGCCTGCCTTTTAAAAAGTTCAATATTGTATCGGTTCGGAAATACCATTGCTGGAAGGTGATTCCACAATGTGGTTGTGCGAGGTAAAAAGAACTGGTTAACTATTAATGCCTTACTATTAAAAAATGCTTCAATTTAAATCAATTTGAATAAATATTATTTCTATTCCATCCTACATCTATACTCTATACATATAAATAAAATTGGAGTGTCTGTTTGTAATACTGAAATAACTTTTTACTACATGCATATGAATATAAATACAGTGCATACACCAAAATAACAGTTTTTACAATTTTTATCTGTTTGATTGTTCCGGCTAATCTCTGAAATGGCTGGACCTATTTTGACGGGACTTTTATTAGTAGGTAGCTGGTGTAATAAGGCGTAACTTAGGCTAATTTTATTTTAGAAAAATTCTCAAATTAACTTTTTTGTTAAATTCTACGCGGACAAAGTCGTAGGTATAGCTAGTATAATATACGAATACAGAGCAGCGTCATGAAATAGTAGCAAAGCGAACTACACTTTTTTAAACCTAGATAAAAGAACAAACATTGACAACAAAGGATCTCAAAATAAATATATATTTTTCAGTTTAAATCGCGTCATAATTACGTAATAATACGTTAAAAATATGTACAGAGAGTATAACCACCCGATAAACGCACATTTATGAACACATAAGTGGTTTAATCTAAAATAAATAGTGTACAATGTCGAAATAAGTCGAGCTTGTAACAAACCTTTGTATATGCTTTATAAACAGTCGAATAACTGCCAGAACCAAGTCTCTCGGTCACAACGTACCCCTCTACCTTGGGAAATGCCATTTTAGTAATTCCAAAGCCATTTATTTTATAAATAAGCGAGAATATAAGATAACAATTTCAAACAAACAGCACTGGGAACATCAACAAATGTCATTGCAATATTTTGACGTTTTCTATTTGACAGTCCTATTCGGACAGCTATTTTTTTATTAAGTATTTTATGGCCCTGGAAATTTCCTTTCCTGTCATCGGTGTTGCTACAATTGAAAAGTATAGCAGGTAATTTGGTCACATCGCTATTTATCTTAATAACATCATAAACGCGAAAGTTTGTATGAATGGATATTTGTTACTCCTTCACGTAATAACTACTGAACGTATTTTGTTGAAACTTTACAGTAACATAGCTTATACAATAGAATTAAAAAGATATTATGTAAATTGGGCGATATATAACGATAAGTGTCATTCAGACGAAGTTGTGCAAGTCAGCTAGTAATACATAAATTACTGATAAATAAAATATTTTTCTAGAACGCCTAAATAAATAATGTTAGGAAAAATAAATAACATAATTGAGATATAATATGATTATCGCCCCATTATTTTTTTTAATAAATAAAGACAACGGCTGTATGGGTTTCGACTTTTTGCTTTTCTTATGAAAAGGCTTTTCCTATGATAAATAAAACAAAAAAAAAATTTAATATGGACAATAACACTAGTATATAATATGTTTATATACTAGTGTTGCCAACTTAATTTGACAAAAAAAACGGATAACCAGTTTATACTTTTTTTTTGTCAAAAAAGTCGAAAGGATTAGGATAGGAAAAATATAAAGTATTAGGAACAAAAGTATCTTTCAAATTTTATGTTTTTATCGCTCTAAAAACGTAGTTTTGTGTGCTCTTAACACTAGAGCTGTGACAAATATCTCAACTCACAATTGACACCTAACATTTCGTTCAGTAATTATAAATCGTCAAGTACCCATAATGAGTATTTTGTTTTACGCATTACAGTTAAGGTTGAAAATAAAGTATTTTTTTATACTTTATTTGTAGGTAAAATGTAAAGTATAATTACTAAAAATAAAGTAGGATACGTTATTATAAAGTATGGTTGGCAACTTATAACCCTACTTACGACGCTGCAATTCCAAACTTCCACAAGTGAGTCTCGCGGGCGCTATTTTATTCATGTATAAATTAACCATTTATTCCTGGACTCAAAACGGGACATTGGTTTATTTATATAGGTTAATAGGATAGAAAAGAATAGGTATTCTAGTGGAGTGGAGTGGAGTGGAATAGAAAAGTATAATTTTTATTATAACTCAATTGAATTACTTTTTTTTAAAGTCAGTTTATTTATAATGTATATTTAGCAGTGGAGTGGAGTGGAGTGGAATAGAATAGAATAATATTTATTACAATTAAATTGAATTTTTCTTAAAGCTTTTTTATGTATTTTGTATATATATATAGGTGTCTATGTCTAACATTAAATGAAAATCCCGTGCATGAACAACTATTGCCATGCACGCTCGTCATTCAAGTAATCGTTTAGTGAGTAATAGGCCTTGCTAAGGGTAATTCCAGTATATCCTTTGGTATCTTATTGTAATTTTCTATACCTATTCCCATAAAAGACCTATTGACTTTTTCTAAACGATACTTAGGGACAGCAAGTTTGTCTTTAAATCTGGTATTAATATAATACATATAAATAAAATCTGAGTGTCTGTTTGTAATATTGAAATAACCGTTTTTTACTACATGCATATGAATATAAATACGGTACATAAACCAAAATATCAATTTTCTACAATTTTTGTCTGTCTGTTTGTTCCGACTAATCTCTGAAATGGCTGGGCCAATTTTGACGGGACCTTTTTTGGCAGGTAGCTAATGTAATAAGTAGTAACTTAGGCTAATTTTATTTTAGAAAAATAAAGTATAATTCCACGCGGACGAAGTCACGGGTCAGTTAGTACATATAAATAAAATTGGAGTGTCTGTTTGTAATATATGAATATAATACGGTGCCGTATACACCAAAGTATCAATTTTCTACAATTTTTGTCTGTCTGTTTGTTCCGGCTAATCTCTGAAATGGCTGGACCGATTTTGACGGGACTTTTTTTGGCAGGTAGCTAATGTAATATGGAGTAACTTAGGCTATATTTATTTCAGAAATAAAAAATATCTAGTGTTATAATATGAGTCTTGTTTAAAACGGCACGTTTGGTTACATCTTCATGTAAAGCTTGTTGGTGCAGATGAAAACAAAACTCCTGGGACTTCCATCATTTGTAAAGTTTTAAACCATGTACATTTATCTCACAATTAAATTAATTTAACTCTAATATAATATGTATTAACAAGTAAATATTTCGTTTATTAGCATACAACGTTATAATTTAATTTTCTCATTGCTTTCTTGATTTAATTATTTTAGAAATATGAAAGCGTAGCGGTTTTTGTATTGATTGCCGCATGCATTCTTATGTAAAATGTGAATACTATAACTATCAGATGGCAATTGTAAGTAGCTTTGACGTGGTCTAGTGTTTTGAGTAGTCATGCTCACTAAAATGTCCAGACTTGTGGCGGCGTGGTGGGCCGGGTCATTGGGCTCCCTAAAATATGGTCGAGCGCAGTGATGGCTGGCTCATCCGTCATACTCGTGAACGGATGCTGCTTGTAGGGCTCACTATGACTGATTTCCTCTTATTAATTGTTTAACCAGTTGGTTATATATTCAATATTTTTTTCTATTTGAGTATTTAATTGAATTAGTGTTAATTGGTGGTTTGTATTCACACACTTATCCATAAACGGTTTTTAGAGTGTTAGAAACAATTTAAAAGGTGTTTCTTTTGGTTATAATCTTTAAAATATCATTAGCAACATTGTTTATCTTGTTTTGGTAATTTTCAGTATTACACATATTTTTATTATATTAAATATTACGTAGATATACAGTCGTGAATGGATTTCAAATTTATTAAATTGGGAAAATTGCTACGACTCACTATACGACATCAGTGTTGCCAATTCGATATTACATTTTGATCCAAAATCACATTGAATAAAAAATGTTGGTCCAAATTAATAAAAAAAAAGTTGTATCAACTAGACTGAACGTGTAATATAATTTAATTTAATAATCGCATTTTTTAAAATAAAATGATTTTATATTGCATCACAACTTTACAAGAAAGCATTTCATATAGTGTTACATTAGCCCACCGGTCTGACACTCTTTTTTTTTATTAAGTATTTTACGGCCCTGGAAATTTCCTTTCAGCCACTGTCTGACACTCATCGTGAGTGTTGCCTGGCAATAGTTGTTGACTGTCGTTAAATACAAAATAAAAAACTCGTAGATGTTACACATATTGTGGACTATTTGTTATGTGATGTTATAATGAAGCCTATATGTGTACTACGATACATATAAAAATTACTATATATCTTATCTAACTATTTGAACTGTGATACTGTGCATAGTGTAGAGTGTGAATTGGTTAAGGAGGGAATAGGGTATATAATTAGTTTTTTTTGCCGTTTATTTTACTTTTATGTTGAACTAGCTACTCGCCGCGGCTTCGCTCGGGTATACATGTATTATATATTCAAACCTTCCTCTTGAATCACTCTATCTATTAAAAAAAACCGCTTCAAAATGCGTCGCGTAGTTTTAAAGATTTAAGCATACATAGGGACGGACAGACAGCGACAGCGACTTTGTTTTATATTACGTAATGAAGATGACTAGCTACGCGCCCCGGCTTCGCACGGGTGTACATGTATTATATATATAAACCTTCCTCTTGAATCAGTCTATCTATAAAAAAAACCGCTTCAAAATCCGTTGCGTAGTTTTAAAGATTTAAGCATACATAGGGACAGACAGCGACAGCGACTTTGTTTCATACTATGTGATGATGATGATGATCCAGCACCAAGTTCTGAGTGTCACCGCCATTCAATTATTTCCAGACGTTCCAGAAAAATCGCCTCCATTGCTGTAATAACAATAATATTAATCTCAGGACAATTCACACAGCGCCATCTAGACCCAAGTTAAGCTAGCTAAAGCTTGTGTTATGTGATACAAATACATAGATATTTTTTTTGTAAATAGAAATAGAAATAATCTTTATTCAAATAAACTCATTACAAGCACTTTTGAATATTCATATAAATACATATTAGTCGTAAATAAATACATATTATACATAGAAAACACCCAGACCGATACAAACAATCATACTCATGAATACAAATGTTTGTGCCGTGCGAGGAATCGAACCCGCGACCATCGGTCGTTAAGGGTTGGCAACGCGCACGAGATACCCCAGACCGGAAGACGCAGCGTGGGAAGGCCTCCAGCATGGTGGACCGACGATCTGGTCAAGTTTTTTATATATTCGTGGAGATCTTTCCTTTGTTCAGCAGTGGACGTCTTACACATGATATTCTTCAAATACGAGCAAGAAACTTGTTGAAGTTTTCTCACGAGACTACAGCATGGGGTTTTTCAAGAAGGGTATATTAAGGTTTCTTAAGGGTCGGCAACGCGTGACACTCCTGGTGTTTCAAGCAGTCATATGCTACGGTGACCATTTACCATCAGATGGGCCTTATGCTCTCTTTCAAATAATTGTTGTATGGCTTGATTGATGCAGCTGGTATTAATCCGAACAGTTCCTCAGAATACTCCCCGTGATGTATGCGGCAGAAAATGCACAGAGATGCAATATCCACAAACCCAATGGATCGAGTCTGTCACATAGACGTTTATGTTGTAACTAGCTGTTCCGGCAAACGTTGTTTTGCCATATAAATTAATAACGCTATAAAAAAATAGGGGTTGATGATAGAAGGGTGAAAATTTAGGATTGTATTTTTGTATGTTGTATCATAAAAAAATAGAAATTAAAAATTTTGTCTAAAAAATAAAAATTTTGGTGTGGACTACTCCTAACATTTAGGGGGATGAAAAATAGATGTTGGCCGATTCTCAGACCCACTCAATACGCTCACAAAATTTCATGAGAATCGGTCAAGTTTCGGAGGAGTATGGGAACGAAAACTGTGACACGAGAATTTTATATATAAGATATTTTGCATCATTAAGCATGCAAC